TTCTCTTGTTTTTGAATAGTCATTCTTCGAACTTTAAATAAGAAGCAGCATGTATTTTCATAGATAAACAACGCCTTGATGAAACATAATGCATATTATATTTGAACATAAATCTATAAAATTTTGACAGAGTCTTTTGAAATTTTAATAATCAATAATTTTTTATAATAGGAGTGTAAGTAAGATTTATTAAGTTATATATTTAGTTTGAGAATATCTTTTTAATTTTGAAAATAAAGTTTTTTAGTTGAGATAGAATTATGCGTTGAGCCTTATTTCTTTAGACCATCAATGATAAAATTTCTTTAAATGATGCATCTTTCATATTCTTTATAACAATTTGATATCTGCAATATGACATGATATCGAAAAAGACTTTGCACTTTGGATCATTACATAATTATTATGTTCAATTAAATTAATAAAAATTAGGAAATTATAAAAATTGATTGATAAAAAAGTAATATCTGTATGTTTCTTAAATTTATACTATTTACCACTTATCATAATTACTCATTTTCTCAGTTTTCTATCTTTTCTTTATCTTTCTTCCAAGACTTCTTTGTATTTCATGGACAAATCAAAATCATCCAATTACCACCCAATTAGGTCTTCTCTATATTATGAATCAGAAGCTAATGGAAATCTCTCAGGTTTGCATTTGAATGGGAAATCTTTCATCAAATTGAACACGGTTTTGCCATTAAATTTCATAACTTCTTCTTATTACCAGCTAATATATAATTTCAATATATTTCATACTTTCCTTCAACTTCAGCCAAGACTTATGCCTATTGATTAGACATTTTAAATTTACCGTCCTTTTTGTACTTCTATAATATAGTCTGATTCACTTTGTATATTTTACCCTCAAAGTAATCACATTGAGTTTTGCCCTTCTTTTAAGGGTTGAAATACAATTCACTCATAATTTAATTCTTATGATCGACGTATAATTATTGTCCTTCAGTGTAAAAATAACGATCTCCATAAGTGATACCAGTAACATAACCTTTACAATAACTATATTCGATCTTCGCATCACTAAATTCTATTACAACTCTACCCTCATTGCCTCCTGTTACTGTATTTGCCCCTATGCTAGCTGTCGATTCCAAATTACCATATATCTTATAACCCCTGCCATACATAATAAATGCAGCAATTGGAGGATGATGACTAATTTATTCTAAGTAAACTGGACATCCCTTAATCCATAATTAACATGTTTCTCCTAGAATAGGGTTGAAAGGTTTTTCTAAATTCAAATAGACTATAGTGAATGAGAGTGAAAATGCTATCACTGCTCCCATCTACTAAACTGGATCATTTGGTACATTCTCAAGGAAATGTGGAGCATAAGCAAACGAATCCCCAAATCTTTATAAATTAGTTCTCTTCTCAAAAACATAGACTGGAAGAGAAACACTTAAGATGGATTTACCTTTCAATAAATTGGATCCCATTTTGCTTAAAATGTATTTGAACACTTTTTTCTATGCCTCCAATTTTTTAGTATTGATAAATTTTAAATATCCTTTCTTTGTATCAAATTACCACTCATCCCTATAAAAAAAATGCTATCCATTAATTTCATTAATCCTTTCGTGTTAAGCATCATCCTTAATTGTGACAGTATAGGGATGCAATTGAGAATTCCACATTTAATATCGTAATACGAAGTCTAGCAATTCCTTATAAAATTCATCCTAATTCTAAATCAATTATGATTTCTCCCATTCTGGTCTAATATCTTCATGCATAAATGCTTCATCAATTTCAATCTCATCCTCAGACTAATTGTCTACGTTAATTTACTTTTTCTCTTCTATATCCTCTGCTTATTTATTATCTTCAATAGTTCCAGCTTTCTATGATTAATTCTGATGATCATCAATAATTTAATCATGAACAGGAACATTCAAATTAAGTATCTATTTTTATTCTATTGTTGTGTTTTACTTAATTATACTTTCTTAATTTTATTTTCTAATTAATTAAAGAACTTCATCACTAATCTACTATGAACTAGTTTACTTGGAGTCAGAATAATTTTGAAACTTTGATTGATATTTCTATTTTATTTGTAAATATGATATTGAATCTTACCTTGTTAATTCAGAGTCTTTTTCCTGCTCTATCTATGGCTATGATTTATGCATATAATTATTAGTTGTAGTAGTCTGAACATATTCTGGGATATCTAATTGCTGAATATTTTTGGATTTGACTGGACGACTCTCATAAATATTGATTAAATCTAAAATGAATTATGGTGCTTATTTTTATAATTTTAATTCCATAACATATTAAATTAAGTGCACATACTCCTTTAAATACTGAATCGTTAATTATAAATCTTAGTACTATGTCATATATCCACCATTAATTGTCTTAGTATCAACAATAAATAGTTTAGGTGTATGTTAGGATATAAACACAGCACAAATATTCCAATGTATATTATTGTTCCCCTTATCATCTGATTTATCTATGACATATATTTCATTATAGTTGCAATAAAATTACCTGACATAGTTGAATGTCCTTGGTTTATAAAAATAACCAAATGGTTCTCTAGTTTCCTTAATTTTAATTGTTGTTGAGCCTAGAGTTTCCAATTACTCGATGTTTTTTATTTATTTATTCCATTTTGTTTGGGTTTTTGTATCATACAATGCCAAGATTAAACTATTGGTAGTAGCGTCAGTAATGGGAAGAAATATTCTAAAGTTGTAACAATCATTTTTATTCTGCATGATTCTTATTGAATCTTCAAACAAATAGAGATTAAAATCAGATTCATCCATCAAATAATCGTAGCTTAATTTATATTTCAGATCTTTGAATATTAACGTTAATTCTGGTAACTCGATAGGAGTATCATTATGAATTGGTAAGTTTTGGTTGAAAATTGCTGATTCTCCAAGTGGCTATTGTAAAAATATTATTCTTTCTTTATCGATCTAAGTTTCATTTTTGGATTCTCCTTAATAGTATGCCTATTGGTTATCGAATTCATTAATTGAATAGTGCTTCTATTGAATTAAGTCTTAAGAATAAAACAAATTTTAGTTTATACTAGGTCTCTCTCTATCCATTTATTTCAATAAGTCTAAATTGATATCTTTTGCCAAAGGTTCAACGGTCATAGTCTCATATCGTCTTCCCCTTCTGCCTTAATAAACACATTATTTAATATCATTAAACCATTAATTAACATAATTTTTATCATCATCAGCAAACCAAAAGTTTTAAGAGAGAGATCTATGTTAAAGTAAAAATTTGAATCTCTTGTTATCTGAAATTGGATTTTAGATTTCAAAGAAACGTAAATTGAGAATGATTTCTTTATCTGACACAATTATCAATTCGCATAGATCAATATCTATAGTAAGCTTTCTTGTTTTCCAAGTTGATTCGTCCTTCATTTTAATATCAATTGAGCCTGTTTTTTTTGGTTGAGACATATAAATCAGAATCGTCTGTCTAAATATTTTTTCCTTAGTTTCCCTACTTACCTTAAGTTTGCTTAAATCTTTGTCAAATGCAAGATCCTAATATAAAGATTCGACCTTTTCAATAACGTTTTCTGATATTTCTTATGGGTGAACTTATTAAAACTTTTAAAATCGCTTATAAAGACAAGCTATTGATTCTTCTTAATTCATTTATTAATAACTAATCAAAAATCATCAAACATATGTTATTTTTCATCGTCAATTGGTTGAATATCATCTCTTTCCTCTGGATACTTGTCAAACCATTGAGAATCTGTTTCATTTCTTAAAAAAGGTATCCAAGGAGGCTGGATTTTCTTCTCGTAAACTTTTTACCATGGAACACCCCTAAAGAATTTGTGATTCATCAAAGCTGCTCCTTCCTAATTTAACAAGATCAAATTACATCTTCAACTCCCAATCTCTTATTGACATCAGAATTTAACAATTTCCTTATGACATCCTTAGCTCTTACATGCAAAAACTTGGGGAACTCAATAACTCCATTTAAGATCTTCTTGTATATGTTTGTAGGCTCAATATCATAAAAAGGAGGATGTCTAAATGAGATTATTAATCTAACTTTATACCCTGCTAACATTTCGAAAATCAATACTCCCAATGCCCACCAATCTATAGACTTTCCATATCCTGTTTTTGCTCCTTAGATCAACTCAGGAGCCAAATATTCAGGTGTACCACACAAAGTTTAAGTGTGATTGTTTTTAATCTTTTTCGCAAACCCAAAATCTGCTATTTTAATGTGTCCTTCTCTATCAATCAATAAATTTTCAGGCTTTAAATCTCTATAAACGATGTCTTTTCTGTGCAAGTGTTGAATTGCCAACAATATCTATGACACATAAAACAATGTGATGTCTTAACTAAATCTGCCATCTTTCCTCAATCGAGAAAACAATTCACCTCCTGATACAAATTCAAATAACATATATATGCATTTCGCATCTTAAAATGAACCTTTTAACTATACTAAAAAAGGATGTTGAATTTCATTCAAAATATTCTTCTCTGATTTTATATGATCCACTTATTTTAATTTTATGATGTCATGTTTCTTCATTATTTTCAATGCATAAACTTAACGACTGGGATCACGTTTTATGCGAACTTGCTTAACACGCCCAAAAGTGCCAGTGCCCAATGTTGTATACACTTCAAAACTATCTATCGAGAGGTTTTAGAAAAGTTATTTATCATTAAGTTTTCCTTAAACAGACTAAAATGTTGGCTCCTCATCCGACGAATCCTCATTCAGTCGTTCAAGTTGCAATTTTTATAACTTACGTTGAAGTTCTTCAATTTGAAGTTGGTTCATGACAGTTAATAAAATTAATATATATATATTTATTTATCTATCAAATTGATTTCAACTTTTCTCCAATTACTGTGATCCCATACCTCTAAATTGAACATAAAATGCTACTATAAACATTCAAATTTTAACATATATATTTGATAAGATTTAATTACTTAATAAAATCATAATAGGATTGCATCTTATATAAATTCTTCAATGCATTATTCAAATACCATGTCTCCTATCTCCATCAACAGCTCCAGCTTGTCATCTGATGCTAAATTCCATCTAAACTCACTATCTTACATCTGTATTATATAATTGATTCATTACATCTGCAATCAACATTTTATGTACTCTTTACTCTCTTATTTATATGATAGGATCATAGTAATATGGAAGATCAGTATCATACAATTCTGGGTTCTATTGCATATTCATTTGTTATATCATCATTTCTGTAGACTTAGCTTCTAGAATAACTTATTTCTCTCTTGGAACATAATATTCTTCTTCTATTGGCAAGAATCCACATAAGTAATTTGCAAACTAAATTATTCTAGATTCCATCTTATTCAAAACTTCACAAAAGTCTTCACATTTAATAGTTTACTGAGGGATTCGAGCCTCCCAAGGATAAGGCTCTCCATTATCTATTATAAGATTCATGATAATACTGTAATAATAAGGTCTGAATGTATTCAAGACCTCATTGCAGGCATCAAATATAGCTCTATTGTGAATATGTTCGAGCTCTTTTAAAGCCTTAGAAACATGATTCAAATTCTCAAAGTCGTTCTCTTAAAGTCGATGAAATTCATATTCAAAGAAATATTAATCTAACATCACAAAATTTACATAATTTTGATCCATATTTTATTATGAATAATTTCCATAGAAAAGCTCTAATCGCTTTTATGGTGAATAACCATATGGAATATTAATCTTTTAAACAATGTCTTCTCCATAGAGAGGCAAGATATAATCAAAAAGGTTGTGAAGATAGTATCTAATTTCAATAATTGAAGTTGGTATTTGAGACATCGTAGGCGTAAGTTATTGAATAACTAATCCAAATTGGGTTTATTAATTCAGCAATTCTAAGATATTATTATATTTACCTTCAGTTAAATTGTCTAAAATGTCACTAATTAAGTCATTTGCAATCAAATCCAATTTATCTTTCATGTTCATCTCTTCATTAGGTTAAATAATAACCTCTTTAAGAAACTATCTTTATTCAATTTAATTTTCTTAATCAAGATCTTCAGATTAAGTCTCTTCAAGTTTTTCTAATTCATTCTCAGATTGCACATAAACATTATTCAAAATTTTAACTTCAGATTGGCTTTGTTTTGATTTTTTAAGATTACTAAATCGTTCATCCACTTTCTACTTAAGACTTATAAGTTTTGAATTGTTTTCATCGAAACTTGATGCAATCATCAAATCTCTCTAAATCTTTTTCATAGCACTTGCTTCTTTTTTCTTGCTTAATTCAATATACTATCTTGTGATTTAAAGATCTTCTAATTCCTTTTTCAACCATTTATTTAATTCTGCTTTTTTGTTTTCATCATTTTCAACTTTTTTTATTTCTGTGAAATATCTTAATTAAATTGCCTCTTCTCTCATGTTTAATAATTCTATATCCTTTTTCATCAACTGAGATTATAACACTAAAATCGACGATTTACTTATCTCCGTTATCTAGTCTTTTGATGATTAAATTAATTTAGCTTCGCTTTAATCTTAAAGGGCCTTTACTTTCTTTCTTGCTTCATTAAAATTCTTCTCTGTACTTGCTTCTTAAGATTGCAACAATTTGACATCAAATGAATGGTCAGATTAATTAGAATTAACTTTGAATTTAGACAACTGACTTTAAATAATAGAAATAATGGCGTGTTTCATTTAATTTTTAAGTTTTCTCATAGCAACTGTCTTCTTTTAATCATTATCATATGTTTCCAATTGAAAATTCCACCCATTCAATTCATTTTAAATTTCATCTGCCATTTTTGCTTTCTCTAAATTTGATGCATTCTATGAAACACTGAATTGATTGCTTTGACAAAGTTAAAAATCGGTTTGATTTTCTACAACTAAAGGTATTTTATTTATCACTTTCTATTCTTCAATAATTTAAGAAATAAGTTAATTTTTATTATTGACAATATTTTTATTTTAATCTTCCTATTTAATCTGTTTGGTATTTGGGACAATTTAGGCTTACGCTTTTTATTTTAATAGTTTATTTATTTGAACAGGATGAGATTTATTCTAAGCTTAATCATTGAATAAGGACTTATAATGTTTCTAGATTAATCTCTTAATCTCTTATTAATTAATCTTTTGATTTCTTTGCTTCTTTCTTATACAGTGTTATTTCCAAGCCTTTTATATCTTAATTACTGCTTTTTGGATACCTTGATATATCAGTACTTTGAAATTGAAATCAGATAAAGTTACACTAATATTTTATGAATCTTAAAATAACAAGATCAATTTCTTTATCATCTTTTACAAATAAGTTGTAGGAGGATATTTCTTGAACAATTTATTAATTTCATTATCTAAAATCAATTCACTATGATTATATAATTATTAGGGACTTTTAATTTACTTTTAATCTTATCTAGCTGAAGAGGACGATCTTTTTTTTGAAGAATCGCTTTATAAATCTGCCGATTTTAAAGAACTTTATTGAAAAAAATCCTATTTGCTTTGATTAGCCAGACTATGTATATCAGTTTGATATTCTTTAGGCTTTTGCTTTTTCTTGGTTGCTTTCTTTTTAGCTTTTTTAGGTGATTTAATCTTTTGATCGATTGTTTTATTTTTCAATTGTATCTTTTGCTTCAACTGTTCTAATTTAACTTGGTTCTCTATTCTAATTCAAATTATATAATTACTTTTTTTTTTATTCTTCTAAAATCTAAATTTCATAGTTTTTTGCAAAGATAGAGTTTTAAGCCTTCTTTAAGGTCTGGTATAAATCGATTTACTTTTGATTAGGGTTATTTTTTAATTCTTTACAATTCTCTTCTTTTATATGGATTTATTTATTCTAATCCTTTTATAAATTTTATTGTTTTATTTATAATTTATTTATATTGTCTTGTGCATTCCCTATCTTAGGATGCTATTTCTTCAATACGGTTTCACTTAAAGTTATATCATTGTTCTTAAGATTAAGTTTGCGGCTGGTTGTTGTTAATGATTGAACTTATTATTTAGGATGTTTATTTTAAGTTGGATAAAACGATTTTTTTGTTGTGTTTATTAGAGAAACAACTTTGCCTTGTTTTTTTTTAGAAGCCCTCTTCTTATTAGTATTCTACATTTATAGAGACTAGGATTTGAGTTTATTATTCTAACCTAATTGTTATTCTGGGGATTTGATTCTCGAACTATTTCTTTGTCTCTTATTATTAATTATGCTATTTGGTTCTTGTAAGTTACTTTCATAAAATTAAGTATCAAATGAATTTTGAGTATTCATGTATGAAAATAAATTAATAAATATGTTTAAATTGATCACTTAAATAAGAATATTTTTATGCACTGATTAAGTTTTTACAGGACATAAAAAATAATTAATTGTATGTTTGAAATTTACTTTATGATCATCTATTTCTAATTTACATAATGATAGAATTTTAGAAGTCAAATATTAATATCCAAAATAAAATTAATGCTAAATCATAAAAACAATGATAATATATTAAATAAAACATTAATATGAATTAGTAGATGTATTGTCTTTACTAAAATAAATAAAATGAATAGCTAATATATTATTTGAATTTGTTTATTATAAATAAATATTATCTCATTTTAGTATTAAAGAGAGTTAGATGAAAACATTTGAGTTATAGATTGTTAAATAGGATTTGAGTTAATCACAATTATTGTTATTAAACATAATATTCATTAATTATACATAATTTATGAAAGCAGATTTTAAGTATTCTCTTTTAATATTTACTCCTCATTTTGAAAGTATTTCAATATACAAATCTTAAGGGGAGTGTAGAGAAAATCTATTATTAAGAATTTTTAAAATTATTCACAAAAATCACTCTATATCTACGATTTAGACAATATTTTGTTATATATATTCGAAATCCTTCCTTATTGTAATTTAAAAATAAAATCATAGATATATTTCAAAGCATCAGTGATCTTTTACTATTGAAATTATATAATAATATAAAACCTTTTACTCAAGACTATCCAGATAAGCTTTTCATCTAACTCATGAAACATAAGTTATTTATATTGCAAAACAAAAAATTGATAATTTTGTTATTTCTATATAATAAGATTAATATTCATTTTTTATAATAATTTGAGGATTTATTTGTTAAATTTTAAGGATTTTAGAAGTCTAGTAACTCCAAGAAGTCCAAAAAGATGCAAACACTTATCAATTGACTCAATATTGCCAAAGAGAGCTTTCTTACAATAATGACACACCATCATAAAAAATAAATAATTAAATTGTTTATAAATATTATTTAATTCCATGAAGAAAAATGAAATTGAATTTCAAGATAGTTCTATATCCATTAAGAGACAGCCTCTTTTAGACAGAAAGAAAAGTTAGGATAAGGATCAGGGTCTTAGAAAGTCAAATGTTTATGAAGGTGGTTTGAGTTAATTGAAAAAATCCATACTTGAAACTAGTTAGTTTTAAAGAATTGAAAAACATGTATAAATGTGATATATTGTAGCCATCTCTTTAAGAATTCTCTGATTCTATGAGCTTGATGAGTATATAATAGAAATGCCATCAACTTGTAAAATCCGTTCAAGAATAAGAAGTCTAAGAAATATTTTTCATTTTAGATCATTTTAAGACATTAACTCCTAAACCTAAACTCAAAGATATTTATGATCAAAAATAGTAGACAATTCTTCATATTTCATGTTTCAAAAATCTGCCAACTGCAGTTGAAAGAATCTTGATGTATGAAAAGGAGAATTCCACAGCCGAAGAATTCAATATTTGGATGAATTAAAAAAATAAGGATTCATTCACAGCAGTTCATTTTGCTGCCTATGTTGGATCGTTAGAAACATTAGAAATTTTAAAGAAATATTCATGTGATTTAAAAATAAAGAATGAATAGGGTCAAAATGCACTTTCAATTGCAGCGCAAGGAGACTAAGTTTCTGCTATGGTTTGGCTATATTTGCAAGGGTTGTCTTATACTGAATAAGATGAGAAAGGGGGAACACCATTGCATTGGGCTACTTATTATGGTAGTGAGTTTGCTGTTCAATTTTTGTTGAGTTGGTTACAAAAGTCTAAGGAAGGGAAGAAAATTATAAATCAATAAGATACTGAAGGGATGACACCTCTGCATTTGGCTGCAATGACAGGAAATTAGAGAATTGTTAAAAAACTACTTTACAAAGGAAGTTCAAAAACCATTAGAGACAATAGAAATTAAACTCCAGCCTAAACAGCTTTAGAAAATGAATACGAAATAATCTATAAAATTTTGGAAACAAATAATTGTCTGTTTGAATTTTTAAATATCCGAACAAGGTAAATGCTAAGTTCACTCTTAATAGTTATAAACCAGCCTCAATCAGTTGGAATTAGATTTGCTCATTCTTTTTTATTTATTTCTATTGCATGATTGGATCCGTGATTTTCGTATATCCATTTTTCGATGCTGATGCTTGGTTATAATATTTATCCATAGCTTCATTTTTGATTGGACTCGTCTTTTATTTTTTGACTATGTTCATTAGTCCAGGATATGTTGAAAGAAATGATGATTCAAGAAAACTATTTTCACTTCTCACTCAATATGAGCCTTGGGAACTATGTCCAGAATGTTAAATACATAAACCATTAAGATCTAGACATTGTGAGTTTTGTTCAAGATGTGTTATAGTTTATGATCATCATTGTCCATGGTTACATAATTGTGTAAATATTTATATTTTTAATAAAGATAGGAGCTAAAAATTATCCATATTTTATTTGTTTTATTTTGACAATTTTTGTAAACTTAATTCATTTGATCATATTGAATTCAATATTCTTGATAGATGATTATCATGATCCCTTACATAATCCTCATTATCCATGGTTCAATAATGTCACTAATCTAAAGGCACTTGATATCTCCAAGAAATGTGTGCAATTAACTATTTTAATTCTATGTTTACTCTTTCTGTTCCCCTTGGCATATTTGGTCTACGTTTAAATGGACAACTTATTCAGAAACATAACTACCTTCGAGAAATATCGATAGGAAGAATAATCAAATGTTTAAGGTTCAAAAGATAAGAAAAGTCAATAAACTATATAGTAAATATCCTTCTAATTTTAGATCTACTTCATCTATTAGATCATAAGTATCACACAATTTATCGTGTTCAAATTGTTTAGAAATGTGCTGCAACAATTCAAGAAATACTTCATATCAAATATGACACATTTAAATATTTATAATAATTTGAATTTTATTCTATCAAATTTGATATGAAATTTAATATATTATATCATTGACTTTATTGGTTATTATTATTTACTCTTCCAAATCACTATCCTGTTAAATTTTGTTTTGGGAACTTTATTACAATGATTCCAACTCAATATTGATTAGATGTGATTATTATGATTTTTCATCTTCTATTTCTATAACATCCTCCTGAAAATCAATAAATTTAGTAACAAATTAGCATTAATTTGAGACATGATCCTTAAAATTTTTCAAGTCTCCTCTCCAATTTTCACATCGCGTACATTCTATTTATACTTCTGAAATCATAGACTAAGCAAATAAATCTTTTTCTTATAAAAAATTTCTGTTAATTTGATATCTACACTCAGGACAAGTTCTCTTATACTACAACCAATTCAAAATACAAGATCCGCAAAAAGTGTGCCTATTTTTACAATATCAACTGATTTACCCACATGATACTCTTAATGGTTTATAAAATACATCCCTACAAATAGTACAAAATAAATGTGGACTAATCGGATATAATTGTTCATTAGATATTCGAAATTACCGAGGCTTATTCATTATTTTAATTAGTATTCAATTTACAAAAATTGCATTATAAATATCAGTCACACCATCTATTTACTTTGTGAATTTTCTTAATTGCATAGCTTTCTTTATTTATACTGTATTTTTGCTTATTTAGCTTTATTGACTTAATCACTAATATTTTTATTTGATCATATTTACATTTTTTTATGTTCAATTCTAATTGATTCAAAGAATGCTACCAATATACTTTAATTATATATCCTTACCTCATTCTCTTATATAAATAACATCAATAATATTGTTAATTTCTGAATGTGTAAAAACGAAATTTTTAGGCATTTCCTTTTATCTTGAAAGTATTCCTAACAAAAACAGGTGAATTGATTAAATTGAGTATTAATAGAATGGTTAATGCTGTCGATTTTTAGATTATATTCATGTATTTTGTTTTTATAATTGAAATATTACAAAGTCATCCAAAAAAAACTTATGATCTGTTTCTATAGGTTTCAGAAGGTGGCTACAATGGAGGTAAATTATAATGCCCACTTCCTTCGTTTAAAATGAATTTGCCAATAATTTTAGCTGAACTTTCTGAAACTCGTGGGGATGCCAAAGGAAACAAGGCTCTCTAACTTTAATATCTCTATTGATATTTCATTGGTATAGACGTTTATTTACTCAGTTCTAATGGCGTAAAGATCTTATTATCCTTTTATGACATTGAAAGTGAAATACCTCTGGTTTCTTAAATCTTTGATAGGAAACATTTGAAAGTGTTGATAGATTATTGATTGTAGTGATTTTATCAGTATTTTTGAAGCAATCCTGTTTATCATACCATTAATACTACTCAGTATGAGCTATTTGATTCTTGTGATCTAAAAGTTCGATTATAGTAAAATTACTTTAAAGTGTTCGAATATGGGTTTTCTACTCTCCATCATACAAGACTTATCTATATAGAGGATTAGCTTCTGGATTGAGCATGGGATTAAATAATTTATATATATATATGAAGTTATATAATTTTAATGTCAGATTCATATTCCATTTTAAATTAAACTCTTTAGACTTAACTCAACCCTCATTTTTGGTCGATTAGAATCTAATGCTATTTAATATGAAGTACCTTATTTGATGAGGACTCTTTAAGTAGGACATTTGCTTAGATCAACAATTACATGGGATTAATTTTAATTATGAGTTTCCTTAACCTTCACTTAGATCAATTTAGTTTATGATTTATCGGTCCTTAAGTTTCTCTAATTGATGGTTGATACATTATTCTCTTTAGCTTATCGAAATGGGGAAGTCGAGGGTGTGGTTCGTTGATTAGTTCTTGGAGTAAGTTTTTAAGCAACTGCATTCTTAACCAGAGGGGATTTTGTTCTTTGTTGAGTATTAACCTAATTTTGCTATGGTCTTTATTGAAATTTCCTATAAGGAGATGTGCTTCTCTAGGGAGATACATCTTTCTTTTTATTGGGTTAATAATGATTTTGGCTTGGTTGATTTGGTTTATGACTCTAATTTCTATTAAATTAGGGATTTGTAGTTTCTGGGGTTTATTTGGAAGTGTTGCTATGTTAACTATTAGTGTTGGTCGATAATTTTTAGGATTAGTCATCTTTTTATAAGTACTTGAAGATGGATTGAGGTTGTGGATCATTGTCTTAAACAATGGGTAATTCTTAGATTTCATGTGAATTTAAAGTCATTGTAATTGATTCAGGCATAAATGATTGTTAAATGATGTCTGGATCCTCCAGGTGTCTATTAGTGCCAGTCTAAACTGTTGAGAATATCTCTTCACATTAGGTGGTGGAGGTGGATTCTTTGTTAATAGATTTGTATTTGTGGAGTGATCCTTGGGCTGAGAAGCAAACTGGTTTTTAGGTGGGTTTAATTGCATTGTCAAAGGTTTTCATTTAGCAGTTAAACAAAATTTATTAATAAATTATCTTAACTAATGATAAACTGAGTATGTCTACTAATAATAAAGGATTATTTTAAGAAAATGAAGAGTTATGATAATTATCAAAATATGAGGTTCTTATTAAAAAGTCATAATATTTAGGAAATTTAAATATATATTATATATTCGAAAATGTACAAAAGCAACTTTGTCGAATCTCAATCCTTCTTCAACAAATATATGTAGTAGGCTATGAAGAATAAGAAAAAGGCGAACAACGAAGATGCAGCTGCAGTCAGATGTTAGAGATGTTTAAAATATGGTCATTTGACTTATGAATGCAAAAATGAAAATGTGTATTTGTATAGACCCTCAAGGACGATGCAATTCAAGTAAGAATGGCTGTGAGTATTATTTTAGGGAGAAATAATTACAATACGAATTAAATAATGAAAAGCCACCTGAGGTTCCTGATGCATTTGATGGGGATTGGAAAAGAAACACAAAGAAGAAAGTGCCTTTGGAAGTATCTTCGGATTCAAGCAGTGATGAGGAAGTGTAAGTAAAGAAAGAGGGAACCACAATCAATGTTAAGAAATAAAAGAGTTCATCCTCTGAGAGCAGCAGTGAGGAGTCAAGTAGTAGCGATAGTGATAGCGATTCTTCAGGTTCATCTCAAAAGAGAAGAAAGAATAGATCCAGGGATAAAAAATAAAGAAAGTGAATTATATATGCATTAAAATAATTATCAATAAATGAGTAGTAAAAAAAAGAATATATCCAAAAACGACGACGGGTATGATGATGTGGGATATTTCTGTGGGTGGATTAAGAAAAAGAGTTCTAAAAATGTTAATATCGAATAGAGCAGAATATCTGTCAATAAATAGCAAAGAAACTCTCTATATAAATCTGCTCTAGATGCTAGCAATCATAATGGTACATCACAATTCAATTAATTGAATTCAACCAACTCTGAAACATAAAGAAAGAACAGTGATATATCACCTTTCGTCAGCAGTTTTGCCATCCCCATTTTTGAGAACAATTATCCTTTAAATTAGTTGTTCTAACTCAAAAATAATTAAAGTGGAGACTCAATCTTTGCTAAAATCACATCTACCAAAATAGAAGTACCTAAATCGATGGGTTTCAACGAGGACATCTGTAATAATCCAAAAATATCAGATCAGATTTCCAAATACATTGCCACTAGAATTAAAGATTAAATTAATTCATTAGCTGAATTTGGATGTGGAGATGGAGGGAACACAGTTCAAGTATCTTATATAAAATTAAATAAAGTTTGCTAAATATTTAGACTTTGTTATCGCCATTGATAAATCTACTGAGGCATGTTTGAGAACTAGAAAGAATTGTGATCAAGATACTTTAAATTAAGATTTTCCAAATCCAAAAGTTGAAATCATTAATTCTGATATTTTTAAATTAAAAAGACGTTTACCTTTTGATAGTATTTTCATTAACCCTACAATCAATACAGAAAATTCACAAATTTGTAAAGATTTATTGAAAGATTGTCAACCCAATTTGTAACAACTTTTAATGATGACCTCTGATTAGATTGAGAACTTAATTATTTAGTTCCCAGCTTAAATTGACTATTCATAATTGCCTCTATTACTTAATATCAACCAATAATATCAAAATAACACTCAACATAAATATTAATCGTTAGTATCATAACACAACTAATAACAATCCTTCATAGCTCATTGTTCTCTAGAAATTGAAAAAATATATGCTAATGGAATTCATATTTAAAATATAATCTATTATGGTAAAATTGCAAATATAACCAGAGAGGAATTAAGATCCATATTAATTACGCAATTATAAAATTAAGAGGTTAAACCAGAAGCAATCTAGAATCTTATAACAAAATTAAAAGATAAAATAGGTATGTTATTTCCATTAGTTTAGGGAGTCTGGAAGTTGTATATGAACTACTTAAAGCTTAGAGTTTTAAGTACAATATAGACAAATTTTTAGAAGTAGTTTGTGAAAAATATAAATTAGAATATGGAGACTATGCATTCATTCTTTATCAAAAGTTATCCAAGTAAATAATATGGGAATACTTATTATTTTAGAGAATTTTCATAAAATACATTCAACTATCATCATAAATTAAGGGATTCAACCCATGAGGTATAAGAATCTGAATATGCCTACAGTCCTAAGTTCTCATATAATTTGAACGGATTACAAATGGATGACACAAATTCAATAGATGAAATTGAAGATAATATAGAAGCATTGGGTTTGAGTTAGGAAGATAAAAAATCTAAATTAAAATGATATCATTTAATATATTTCTTAATCAAAACTTTTAGTTACTCTATTCTAACTGGTTTTATAATAAAATCTTTCATCCCACTTTCTAATGCTTTGCTTAAATTATCTTCTGTGTCATATGCTGAACACATTATGATATTTAATTTGTCATCAATTTACAATAATTAAGCGGATGTTTGATATCCATTTAAACCTGGCATTTCAATGTCCATAAAAATTATCTTATATTATGCCTGCTATGAAAGTTTTCGCTTCTTAATTTAATTTATGGCTTGATATCCATCATAAACAATGTCACTTTCAAATCCAAGATTCTTAATTAGTAAATTCAAGGAAATCAGATTAAAAGCCACATCATCACAAATGAGTATCTAGGGAATTGTTTCACTTTAAATTAATCTATTTGATAAGAAGGTCTAAGTCTATATGGGAATCTAATGTTGTTCTTCAAAGCCATTTTCAACGTCGATCTGATTTGGAGATATTATTTGATCAAGCTTAATCGATGAATCTTTAGGTCTTATACCAAAGATATTTATTTGGTTGCTAATTCTGAAACTCACCTTGGTAAACAGACCCTCTTTGCTTCTGATCTTGAAATACGATTTTTTAGAATATGCCAATTCGTTGCTCATCCTACTACCTATAGTGAATCCCAATCCAACATATTTAGTAGTGAAATTCTTTAACTAATGATAAATATCGTTGTCAATAGACGTATGAATGATATTATTGATGGCATCTAATTCTGTCTTAGCTATTCCTCTGCCAGTATCATGAACTATAAATTTTATAAATTAATCCTTCACTATTCCTGATGATTTCACTTTATTTCTAGCAGTAACACAAATGACATCATTTTCCCTTGTAAATTTGAGCGAATTATTAATTAAATTAACTAAGAGTTGCAATATTCTTTCAGGATCATTGTAAATCATTTGGTTTTCAAGAGAGTCAAAAATAGAAAAGATTAACTTTATTCCTTTTGTGGAACAGATTTCCTTATAGTACTCCTCCAATTATTTATATACATCCTTAATAAGGAAATCCTTTATGTTTAATTGAAATGTTCCGAGTCCAAAGGAAGCATAATCTAAGATATCATTAATTTGATGCATTAACAATTTATTTGAAACTATAGCAGGATTTAAATAATTCTATATAAGTTGAGTAGAAATGGATTGAGTTTTTAATGCCTGAAGTAAGGTTAATGAACAATTAAGCGGTGTTCTCAATTCGTGAGAGAATGAGTTGAAATGCAATGTTTGAAACTTTTACTTTTGGATATATTATTATAATCTTTCGTTTTCTGTGATATCATAGATGTATAGTAAATACCCTGCTTGATTCAAGACGTTGGCAATTTTACAAAACTGCAATTCTATAATTTTTTCACCGGTGTTAGTTGCTATATTTACTTTCAATTTGTTAGCTTTAACAAAAGTTCTTTGATCTAAACTATAATAACATATAAGGTTTACAGATTAGTTAATTAGCAATCGGCAAATAGGGATAAGAGTAATTGTCTGAATTCAGGGATTGTAAATTAATTCTTCTTTTATTTTTTGGTTAGAAATTAAGAGTCCAGTAATTTTTCACTCATGGATTTGAATCGCTTAAGATTTTATTCGGCAGAGGCGATTAAGCTCTCGATCATTTTGCAATCAGCCTTTTGTAGGAGATGTTTTTATGAAGCTCTGAACTTGATTTCTTTGTGTTGGCTGTTCAGATTTTAATCCTATTCAATGGCTCTATTATTTGAAAAATAATTTTACTGTATAATAATTTTTTATAATTGAATCATGGCAATATCGTATGACTTTGTTGAAAATAACTTCTATGTTTTCTCGTTTATGTATTGAATTTCAAGATTCTATCCAAAGTAGATGATTCCTTATCGACTATGGTTTAAAATATAGATCAATTCATCTCTGGTGATTAAATCTATTTTTCTATTCGAGGATGCTATTTCTGCAGGCACAGTAGAGTATGAGTGGAAGATGTCGTTGGATGAGGAATGCTTATGGGATAGGAGTTAAGAGTTCTGATTTGTCTGGATAAGTATGATGATGACAAAAATCAATGCTGTGATTGTGTATTAATGAATTTAAGTGTTTAGGAATTGTATTTCAATCATGCATTATAGAAGAGTAGCAAATTAAAGATACTTCAATTGTTTATTTGAATGCTCTTAATACAATAAAAATAAGTATTTGTAAACATTGTATGAGTTGAGAGAGGTAAAAGTTAGTCTGATTTCAGAAGCCAGTTGCATCTAATAGAGGATTTGTAGTAAAATAGTGAATTATTAAAACTTCATTCTTTTGTGTATTGCAAATTAAAAGAGTATGCTTAATATAGCTATGGCACATCGTATTCCTGACATTATGCAGTTTATATTTGAGAGCGGGTCTAAAAGGTTTAAAGTAGCATCTGTTCCAATAACCAGATTTATGGCTAAGGCAATCCAAATATTCATGAATTTTTTATACGTAAATTATATCACATTAATTAATTAACAATGGAAACAAAAACATGGATTTTGATATTGAGATGGGTCAACATTGTAGCTGCGTATCTGATTGAATTACTAAATTAGAGTAGTAATTGGAGCCATGGGAATCTACCAATTAGTTACATTTTAGATGTTTTCCAATTTTCATTTCTATGAAATCTGGAGTATATTCACACCAGTTTATTCATTGTAAACCATTTTACCAATCTTTCCAGGATCTTTTGCGGCCTTTTATTGGCTATTGAATTTAAGAAAGATTTCATAGCAGATTAATTTCAATTCATGATGTCTTGCTTAGGAAGAGGCGTATTTTACATATTGTATATACTAATATATTATATTCAATAGTTTGGGATCAGTTGTATCATATTAACCAACAGGAGGATCATCAGCATAAGTGTAAATTATCTCATAGAATATAGAGCTGGATGGATTTGGGGGTTAACTTTGTGGTTAGTAGGAATATTTTATGTGGTTATTCATTTCGTTGGACCAAAGAGTGCCACTGCTGGATTAAAGGATGTAATAGTTTTCCTTTTATTTTAGGCTGTCAGCGCAGAATATGGAACTGCTTGAACAATAGTAAAAATATATATATATAAATAAATAACAAAATTATATTTATGTAAACTCTCCTGAAAAGTTATTCATAATTGTGGGTAAATCAAATAAAATATGGATTCAGACAGTATTCTACTTCTTATATATCCTAGTGTGTCAATACGTAACAGAACAAACAGCAGACATCGATATTATGCTACTAAGCCTTTGCAATATTAGAAATTTTATGAGATGAAGAAAAAATTTGATTTCAAGAATGATGATCTGACCTTCCCCATCAATATACCACTTAAACAAAGGTACTCGCAAACAAGATTATATCAAGATATGCATATCGACCATAAAGACAATTCAATAAAGCCACACCATAAAATGATTATCTTAATACGGAAGTTATGAGTGGCAATGAAATCCTCTTATACTTTGAATAATTAGACAACCTGAGAATCAATGAGATCTTGAATGGTCTTGAGAGATTGCATAAATACAATAAAGGATGTATGACTCAGTTCATTATTAGAATTTAATCTTGCTGAGCATCCTTGGGTTAAAGCTGCCTTAGACAAAGTATTTGTAGAACACCATCACATAACCAAAAGTCAATTTATACAATTACTCAATATCTACAGTAATTATGGCATTGAAACACCAGAAGTTTGGGCAAAGTTTTAGGAAAGAATGATTAAGTAATGTGTAAATCTAATCTCATAGACTTCTGCCTAATATTCCAGCTCGATTGTTCGGGGAATGTGTTAGACTCTTCATGGAAAAGTCAGAAAGATCAACTGATGAATTCAAAAAAGAATTGAGTCTTGTGATCCCAGTTCATTTAACTAAAATGTCGCCATAGGCTATTGCAAAAGCATTTGAAATGGTTTACAAATACAATCTGATGACTGATTACTTATTCTTTGATCATTTACACTTTATTTTGAGAAAAAGATTCAAGTGGTTTTTAATGGGAAAGGCTTGTCCACTCATGTTGAGACTCCTTAGAGAAGCAAACTTCGAAGTATTAATTAACATTATTAATAGACATGTGAATTCTTGTGGCCTGAAATTTACAAACAACTTGAGACAGAATTAGATAGAATTCCAAATGACCAATGTGCACCAATTAGAAATGAATTAGTCAAAATTGGTGAGGCATTTCCCAGTCATTCACAATATAATAATATTATCATTGCCAAAAAGATAGGTGCTAGAGCTACTTGGGAAGCTACTCTTGGAGGATAAGCCAGAAAATTAAGTCTAGTGGAAATTGTTAAAAATGATATCCTTTATTATAAAGAGAAGTAGAAGTTATAGAGAAGTCAAAGCTAACAGAGTGCTTGATATATAATGATAAAATTGTATAGTATCAATTTATAACAAGACTATTTGTATACCATTAATTTTTATATATCTAAAAAATAATAAAGTATATATTTGTATATCATATTAACTTGGCAAGTGAATAAATTAATTATCAAAATAATGCTCCACCCATTATTTAATTAACAGAATTGATCAAAACTATCTATCTTCTGTAATTTAATAACAATGATATCAATTTAACTTTTAATAATAAAATTTATAATGCAAGATATTTCCATATTAGAAAATTTATTACTAAAGCCATAGGAAGAAGCTTTTAAACATTTAGTCAAAGGATCTGATGAATATTATTACTTTTTTTTCCTCAAACTCTTCCACGAAAAAGGAGCTAATTTATCTAAGGAGGAAAAAGAACAATTAAGAGAATTCATATCCAGAGACACCTTACTTTCAGAAAAAATAAAAAAAAGAAAAATCTTTGCATAATTAGACTTGTATTCCAATGATGCAGTTAAAAGAAACAAAGTGCTAGGATTATTAAGAGAATATGTATTTCATATTGAGTATTATAATGATGTAGAACCTCAACCTTTTTACTTAAGTGATGTATCAAGGTTATTATTTATCTAAAATTTAGAGAGGAAGAACAAGAATAGGAATAAGAATAAGAGAAGATAATCGAAAGGGAAGATATTATTGAAACCGAAGAAGTAAATTAGAAGTAAGAGAACCAATAATCAGATGACAACAATTATTAAAAAGAGATAGACAATAGAAGATCATCTGGTAGCGAAAAAGAGGTTGTTTAATAGGAATAAGAGATTTAATAAGATGATTAATTGCAAATAGCAGGCTCATCATAATAATCAGTGGGTGATGATCAGGATAAATCTGAAAATTAAGTTGTTGAATTAAAGGAAGAGGAAGAGCAATAGGATTATGAAAAATACTATCCATCCTAATTTGAATAATCCTTGATTAGTTTGACCACTATGTTAGAAACCATTTACACATATTCGCACGTTTATTTATCTTGGCTATAACCTCAATACTACCATCTTTTAGATATTGATCGAATGTTGCAATTGAATAATCAAAATATTGTGGAGACATACTTAGAAAGAGCTGAGAAACTAGATGAGTAAATATTTGTAAATAATTAGAAATCCGGAGGTTTTGAAGTTATTTAAATATCTTATGAGTTAAAAACAGGAATCAAGGAAGCTAAACTAATTTCTACGAAAATTATCTGAGGCATAATTAACTGAGTTATCAGAATTTAAACCTAAATTATTGGATGACAAGGAATTTGTGACAATATTTTAGTAAATTAAATTTGAAAGAAAAATAAATTAGGTTAAGGATGATAAATAAGCATTTTATAACTTAAAGGAGGCTTAAACAGAATTTTTATTTAAATTATCACCAAAGTTTTAAGATATGAAGATTAGAGAGTTGAATTCCTTAATAGAATTTGGAGCCGATAATAAAATNTTAACTTGGCAAGTGAATAAATTAATTATCAAAATAATGCTCCACCCATTATTTAATTAACAGAATTGATCAAAACTATCTATCTTCTGTAATTTAATAACAATGATATCAATTTAACTTTTAATAATAAAATTTATAATGCAAGATATTTCCATATTAGAAAATTTATTACTAAAGCCATAGGAAGAAGCTTTTAAACATTTAGTCAAAGGATCTGATGAATATTATTACTTTTTTTTCCTCAAACTCTTCCACGAAAAAGGAGCTAATTTATCTAAGGAGGAAAAAGAACAATTAAGAGAATTCATATCCAGAGACACCTTACTTTCAGAAAAAATAAAAAAAAGAAAAATCTTTGCATAATTAGACTTGTATTCCAATGATGCAGTTAAAAGAAACAAAGTGCTAGGATTATTAAGAGAATATGTATTTCATATTGAGTATTATAATGATGTAGAACCTCAACCTTTTTACTTAAGTGATGTATCAAGGTTATTATTTATCTAAAATTTAGAGAGGAAGAACAAGAATAGGAATAAGAATAAGAGAAGATAATCGAAAGGGAAGATATTATTGAAACCGAAGAAGTAAATTAGAAGTAAGAGAACCAATAATCAGATGACAACAATTATTAAAAAGAGATAGACAATAGAAGATCATCTGGTAGCGAAAAAGAGGTTGTTTAATAGGAATAAGAGATTTAATAAGATGATTAATTGCAAATAGCAGGCTCATCATAATAATCAGTGGGTGATGATCAGGATAAATCTGAAAATTAAGTTGTTGAATTAAAGGAAGAGGAAGAGCAATAGGATTATGAAAAATACTATCCATCCTAATTTGAATAATCCTTGATTAGTTTGACCACTATGTTAGAAACCATTTACACATATTCGCACGTTTATTTATCTTGGCTATAACCTCAATACTACCATCTTTTAGATATTGATCGAATGTTGCAATTGAATAATCAAAATATTGTGGAGACATACTTAGAAAGAGCTGAGAAACTAGATGAGTAAATATTTGTAAATAATTAGAAATCCGGAGGTTTTGAAGTTATTTAAATATCTTATGAGTTAAAAACAGGAATCAAGGAAGCTAAACTAATTTCTACGAAAATTATCTGAGGCATAATTAACTGAGTTATCAGAATTTAAACCTAAATTATTGGATGACAAGGAATTTGTGACAATATTTTAGTAAATTAAATTTGAAAGAAAAATAAATTAGGTTAAGGATGATAAATAAGCATTTTATAACTTAAAGGAGGCTTAAACAGAATTTTTATTTAAATTATCACCAAAGTTTTAAGATATGAAGATTAGAGAGTTGAATTCCTTAATAGAATTTGGAGCCGATAATAAAATACCTATTAAATAAGAGTGGATGATAGAATGGCTTAAAACTCAATAATCTATTTTTAATCCTTTGGTTGATGATTCATAGCTTAATCAAAATAATAAAATTGTATATTTGATTGGTAATAATTCTCAGTTTAGAATTCTTATGAAATATTTAGAAACATATTTAAGTGATAATGAAAGTTTAAGCTTTCTGTCTTAATATATATCAAATAGGATTCTAGAATAGATGGAAGCTGAAATAAAATTATATTAAGGTAAATAATTGGAACATATCTCAAAGATTCTGCCACAAGATAGACTTGAGAGAATGAACAACGAGAAAATTCTAGCCATTTTGGAAACTAACTAAAAGTCATTTAAGCATGGGTATTTAATTATAATATTTCAAGAGATTAAGTGAGTTTGTAATGCAAATTAAAAAACATTTAACAATTAAAAATTAAGATATTTTAAATTAATTGTGAAAATTATTGTCTTTTAAATGAAACAAATGCAAACATTGACATGTCATTGGATGGGATAATTCCCAATGAGGAAATAGAATTCACATATCAATAGCCACCAATTGAAATATTTTATAAAGAATTTGCATTTGAAACTATAACCAATTCAAGATACGGAGCCTTTGTAATTGAGTTTTTGGGAAGTGGGTTATACGCTAAAGCCTTTATTGTGAAAGGAAGATTGAATTTAGAGAATACTATTACATCTGCAGGTCACTCTTTAAAAATCTTTAATGAGAACAAAGAGATTTGTAAAGGTGAAGGAACTGGAGTGTGGTTGGAGAAAAAGTTCTACTAAGTAAATGAGAGAAATGAAATTATGATACCATTTTCGATTAATCGCAAAAATATTAATTGCATTATTGTACATGAAAATTATGCAGAAGTGTCTTCTATTACAATTGAGATTGAAAAATATGAATTGAATTGCCTATTTTTCTTGGATTAAGAGTAATTCATCTCAGAAACTGAAGCTTCAATTACTATATTCCCAGAACTCACAGTTGCTAACCAAAAGATTAATATTGGATTATTGAAAAATACCAAAATTAGAGTACAATCAACAAGCAAATCTAAAGTAATCAGTTATAATTAGACAGAAGAAGCATAATTTAAAAATGAGCAGCCTTATTCATTTTAAATGAGAAACCTTTCGAACTTAACTAGAACCAATATTGTTGTATTTGGTTAAATCCTGTCGATGACAGAAAATAAGTTGTTAGACTTATAGTTTGACTTCAATATTGATTATTCATATGAATCAAGACTTTGCAAATAGTACGTAAAATACTCGGAAGAAAATGGGTATGAATTAGCAGTCATAGGAAGGAATGGTGAGATATATGAAAACTTATTATTCGAGATTTCCTTCTAGACTATGTACTCTACTTAACAAACGACAGCAAAATTGAAAACTAATGAAAAAGGCAAAATATTGTTGGGACCATTAGAAGGTGTAATAAAATTTACTTCTCGATGTTAATCTTCAAACTCAGAGTAGAGTCCTCCTGATTTATATTATACAATTCAGAAAACAGAATAATAGTAAAATAGTATTGCAATTTAACATTTAAAAACAACTTATAATGAATTGTTATAGAATATTGAATTTAAGGTTGAGTAGACAGAGGAGAAATATTTAGTGATGGTAGTAGCTTCTTAGTTCATTCATCCTTTAAATTAGCATATTGAATTTGCTTAATATTTACAGAGAAAGCAATTCATGAGTAATGAAAAGATTGATTCGAGTTCTCTAATTTAAAATGAATTCTTATCAAACTAAAATGTTGAGTTTGAAATTGCCTATGTGTAAAATAGAAGATCCAAGCCTGCTTACATAGGAAACACTCTTGATAAGCCGAGCGTTTTGTTAAATAGGTAATTTGTCTAAGAAACTACCAATGCAGAAGAATAAGATTAGGATGAATATGAAAATGAAGAATTATGCGAAGAAGATGATGATGATGAATTATGTAGTGATAGATAGATAACTGAGGAAGAATGTGCAAGAGCCTACAGAGGAAAATCTGGCAAAAGAGAAAAGTTATAAATAAAAAAGAAGAAAATGTCAAAGAGGAGAGACATAGCAGGTGATAAATGTACAAAAGTAACAAAGGAAATTTATGTTACAAACCACTTGAATTTTTTGAAGAGTTCTGCTTAAATTCTAACTGTCAAGCCGGATTAGTCTAATCAATATGTGTTGACTTTTCCAGATTAGATACAGTAAATTCAAATAATTGTTATAAATAAAAGAAGTATTTAAAACAAAGTAATTGGCCTTAAATCTAAAGATCCTTATAAAAAAGACATCACTCATAAATCAAAACTAGAAATTGGAAAATTTTATTCTCCATATAGAGAGTCAATTATTATTTCAAAGGGATAAGAATACTTATTAACTGATTGTGCAAATACTCAATTCAAAATAATTGATTCATATGAAGAGGCTTGTTTAATAATGAAAAATATTTCAAAGAATTCTGATAGCTCATTATTAGAAATATATTCAACATGGAATAGTAAGAATTTAGAGGAAAAACTTAAACTGTATAATAATTGCCAATCAGACGAATTTAATTTGTTTCTACATTTTAAAGACCCTGCTTTCTTTGAAATATACATATTAGGTTATATAAGAAACAAAATAGAAAAGTCATTTATTGATCAATTTTTACTAAAAAATGTATCATATCTATCTCAGAGAGTGTCAAGTGGAAGGTTTACTCAATTAAATGCTCTAGAACAGACTCTATTATTTATTTTTTTTAATGAAATCTAAGGAAACAAAGTCTATTCTAATAGAATCAAAAACTGTTTACAATCAGTAATTCAGAATTATGAAATAAATTTTGCCGATAGAAAATAATTATTTGATACCATACTAGGAGGAGAAGGTGAAGAAAAAGGTTTAGAATCGGAGAGCGAGAAAGACTGTTATGAAGGCGGTGCCGGAGGAGGCGGAGGAGATATATAGTAATACTGTGATGAAAAAAATTGCGTATAATATTATCGTTATGAGGAATGTGAAGAAATGATGAGGTATAGTAGAAGGTCTAGTCCTGAGAATGAGTGTGATGAAGAATATGTTTGTGATTCACATGCTGTTTATAGGGAGATGAGCATTTAGCCATTTAAAAATATTAAATAAACTTGTGAATTTGGTGAACTGCATTATAGAAATGGGACAACTCTGTAGAATCCTAATTTAACTACTTATAATGACTTCTATCATGATTTAGTTGAGCATTCTATATCATAAGGTATTATTGAAAATCCCTTTGTTTCTTCGAAATTCATCTATAACAATCTTTAGAATAGCCATGATCTAATAGTTACTGCAGCTTTATTAGGATTACCTTATAAAAACTAAGCCTAAGTAGAACAGGTGTATGTTGAAACAGATTTATTTATAAAAGCTCAAACACCATGCATTCTGTTAAAGAAATAATTAAAAGAATTGCCAAAATAAATAAATAAATAGATATTAGTAATATAAAAGTTTTATGATGAAAACAATAGATATATGAAGAAAGATGGAGAGAATATCGAATTGTAACCATTGGAATTTGAAATTAAGAAGATATATCAATGTGAAATTGTCATCACTAATTGTTCATCCAAAAAGTTAAATGTATTTCTATTGCAAGAAATACCAAATGGTTCACTTCCATACGATCAAAATAATTATTCAAGTATAAACACAGTCAGTCTTAAACCCTATTAATCAAGCACTTATCATTACTCATTTTACTTTCCAAATATCGGAAGCTTTTCAGTTTATCCTGCAGTTGTATCCACTGAAAAAGCAGTCATAGCAGTTGCTGAGGAATACTAATTCATTGTTGTTGGTAGTTCCTAAATCTTGAACAAAGAGAATCTCATGGATATCATTCAAAAAGGGAGCAAGGATGACATCCTTGAGTATTTAAGAAACAACAGCTAGGTTGATTTATCCTAAATTAAAAGATACTTTAAGGATCGAACATTTTATTTAAAATGTTCTGAAATCCTAAGAGAGAAATTAGAATTGAGAGAGGAAATCCTGTAATATAGTTTTATTCACAATGATCTAGAAGGATTTAAGGATTATCTTGCCTTAGAAACCATTCAAAATTAACTCATAGAGTAATTTGTTTATTTGAAATCTTCTTTTATTGAAATCAATTCCATTAGATTTTATGAATATTATCCCTTATTGGCAAAAAGAGTGCATAACTTAGCTACCGTTGAGTAGGGAATATTAAACGTATAATTGAAATAAAAGTATAAAGAATTTCTCAATTATCTTGTGATCAAATAAGATTTATCAATCGCTGACAAAATCATATTTTGCTATTATTTATTACTATAATCAAGAATAAACGATGCAATTTAAATCTATTAGAGCATCAATACATAATTCAATGAGGATGATCCAATTTTGCAATATGATTATCTAAGTGCTTATCTAGATTTTTACATTGGATATCCTAACTTTGATAGGGCAAGGTCCATTTGTGAAAAGTATCTAAGTTATCCAGTTATCGAATGGAGAAATCTATTTTATGAAGTAATGAATTTATTAGCTGAATTTGATGGAGATGAGGATAAAATCTCAGAAAGAAAGACAGATGAGAATAAACAGAAAAATTAAGATCAAGCCAATAAGGAAGAATAATTAGAATTTGTTGTTGAAAATGACCAAATAAAAATCACCTATGCTAATATTCATTCGATTTCTATTGAACATTATTTGATTGATCTAGAGGTAATATTCTCCAAAAACCCCTTCTTAAGTGATCAAAATTACAATAATTATACCTACACAAAACCAATTTATTCATCAAAACATCCATTAAAATTCACTCAAACTTAACAATAATTGACTATCCTATTTCCTGACAATTTAAAACATAAAAATTAAATTATTCAAATCAAAGGAGATACGAAAATTGTAAGTCATCATTATATTGAAACTAAACTATAAATTAACATCACTGAAAATAGTGGCTAATTGAGAATTTCAAATTAAGAGGGTAAATACCTTGAAAAAATTTATATTAAAACATTCGTTAAGAAAAATGATGGCTAAAATTAATTCTATAAAGACGGATACACTGATCTTAGAGGTAGATATGATTATGCTACTCTTGATTCACAAACTTTAGAAAAAGTATCCAAATTTGCAGTTCTAATTGTTAGCAATGACTTAGGTATTAAATATAATCTATTTAAGGTTCCATGATTAAAGAGATCAACCCTCCCTCATAAGTAGGAACCTATGGAAGAGAAGTCAAACTCCAATCTAAATTATGGACTGGGAAAGCATAGAAGGAATAAGAAAAATAAGAAATCATCTATAAATCAAAGAAATTATGCAAAAAATGATTTATTCTAAGATTATACAATTATTATCAAATAACAATTTCTAACTTTAATTCAAAATTGTGTAGTTTTAGTTTTTCATAATTCTCATCTCCAATATCCTAATAATATTTACAATATAATTTTATTAATAATGATCTTAAAATATTAAACATATATTTGAATAACAATGAAAATTATGATTTTAAACTAGGAGATTTAACGAAATAATTCACTTGATCATAAATAACTTCCTTATTTATTAGGTTGTGTACCAAAATTTATTTAATATTTAGCTTATGAATATTCTCAGACAGTCCCAATAGTGATTTTATATTAAATTTATAAATTATTGATTGAATAGACTATGCAATAGCTTCATACTAAATTAAGAGCCTCGTCTGTGCAAGAACAAGGAGAGCAAAGATCAAAACTCCCTAATATTCTAACACCCACATTTGCAGATTGGAAAATCCCTAGTGATGCTAGAGCTCATCCAAAAATTAGCAGAAGAAACCCACTATTCAAATTTGGACTTATTCCTCCTAAAAAAGCAACTACGCCCTCTTCATAAACGCATCAAAACCCTCATGATTTTAGAGGACTCAAGTCTGAAGAACAAAGTTAAAGGATTAAAGAGATTATTGTTGAAGATAGAGTGAGTACAACAGAAACAAACAATCTTCATTAGTTTGAATCTGAAAAAAAATACTTTCAACTAAGAAATAGATCCATAAGTGGACCTAAGCATTCCAATTAATTGGTAATCGATTTTAATTATTAATCATTAGTTAATCGAATGCAAATAATTATTTGATAATCAGAAGAAAGCTTTCGAGGAAATATTAAAGCAAAACAGTCTCTACAACAAGTACTCTAAAGTTATTGACAAAGAATAAAATGTAACAAATTAGAAAATAATGCAAATTTTTAACTTATATAAATGATTATATATATAACTTAATTATTAAGGAACAATTCAAACATAAATCGACACATTATTTCAATAACCAATTTGAATCCTCAATAATTTTTATTCTCTCTGTAATTCATTTCATTCTTATCTTCAAATCCTATTTAATGCAACGCCTTAATTATCTATCTATGATGAAGATAGTATTTATAATAGGCTATGAAAGTCAAAAATTTAGTTAGTTAGCAATATCGTTAGAATTTAGATGAAACTCCCTTTACTATATTTAAATGCTTGTATTAATCTAAGATATTATTATTATCTTCATATTAATAATATTATCAACCATTAGTACTAATACAGTTCACGTGTCAGGAGAAATTATTATTCAAATTACTGTTGCTCTCTGTTATTTAATTCTTTATTTATTTTTAAATAAAAACTGCAATAAAAGAGATCCTGATTAAATGTTAATACTGTAATGAAATCTCATCCAATTTCTTCCTATAAACTAAATTAATGACATAATCTTATTTTTAATAAACTAAAGCAATCCAAAATAGATAGAAATATCAATTTCATGAATGAGTTAAATAAGAACTATAAAAGGGGATTATCTAAGATATCAATGGTTGCTTATTGTGCCAATCTTATAATTTAACATGAGGTGATTTAATATTTAAAGAAAGTTAGAAAAGCTTGATTTTTTATATGACATTTTATAATAAGATACATAAAAAGATTGTTTATGAATGGATTTTGATTGGAAATTTTAAGTTATAAATCTATATAAATATTTAATCAGTATAGGCTTGGGGGGAATAAGCCTGGCTTTTGATATTCTAAGTCGATTGCCTTCCTCGATTTATTGTATTTGCCATAATATTCCATGCAAGTAAATGTAAATCTTTTAATTAAGATAAGGAGAGTACCTGATGCAATTTCCAAACTTAGCGGTTCGCAAATACTCTTTAGAGATTCCAGTTTTGGCAAGGTCATCAGCATATACGAAAATATCTGAACCATCTGAGTCCATAACAATGAATCCATAGTTTTTATTCTCATCAAAGAACTTTAAGAAGCCTGCGCTTCTATTCTTCTTAGGTTGATCAAGAGCCAGTTCTTGTAGGAGTTGGGTAACACTGACTTGAGAGTCTTGAATGAAGCGATTGCATTCCTATATGATTAGATCACCATCAATATTACTTTCCTCAATCAATTATTGTTTTTACTAAATATTAATGATGAAATCGATACGTAATTTCTGGGATAGGAAGAACTCTTCTTAATTTGTGGAGGTTTGTGCATTTGATCCATTTTGAAAGTGTCATAGTCAAGATCATTTTCACTAATGTTTGTTGAGAAATCCTTGTATTCAGATCTCGAGGGCGACAACTACAAATCAATCAATTTCACAGGGAACATTAATAGACAAATAATTAAATATTTATGAATAATTTTTATTTTCCAAATCCTTGAATCGTTGTCCAAAAATAAATTGTATTTTTTATAATACTAAAATTACCTTATTGTAATCAATCTGAAACTATTTTGTACTTTGAACTGCTATTCCTTATTGTATATGACATCTATTGCTATAAGAATTCTTAAGAATTAATCAAGAATTCCTAAAAGTTGCTTAAATTAGATAGGGATTAATTAAGAAATTGAAATCATATTGAAATTTAGATAGAAAATGAGATATTTAATCTAACTCTTCACATTTATATTAATAGATTATGATAAAAATCGATTATAAAATAAAAAAATGAATTTAATTAGTGATTATCAATTTTTAATAATAATATTTAATATGTTTTCTAAGCGATCAACTAAAGTAGTCTTGTTGTCATTCAGAATACGACTAGCTTATAAATTCTCCTAGTTGATTGAAACACTTTCAAAGATGACCTGCCAACCTATGGATTATAAAATGAAGTTCAAGTGATAATCAGTGGTCATCTTATTGCACTAAATATACTTGGGTGGCTTTCTTTTTTTCTTATAACTCTTTTATGATATACTTATGATCCATTTATTGTTTCCTTCTTCTACTTATCCCACACTCCAGCGGTGATAGTAAAAAACATTCCATTTTCGCTCAGATTGAATTCATCGAAAACCTACAGTCTAACTCCTATTGGCTTATCGTTAATTCCCAAATATGAAATCGTTACTGGAATTCTGTATTTCGAAGCTGCAATTAACAATACACTCATACTGATAAAGAATCTATAGCAACACTCGCTATTCACTTCCTTTTTCACTACGGAATTCTCCTTGTATCTATCATAGTCATCTAAGTCCAACTCCTTTGCAAACGTGTTTAAATCAAACATTTGAGTAAGGAGATAACATAACAATTGAATGTCCGCATAATCCATTATCGATATCAATAAACCGAAGGTCCTATTGACATCATAATAATCAAATTGATCCTATCCCAAAGCTTTGACCTTGGCACCCCTTGGAGCTATAATTTGTAAAAATGATTGGTATACCATATGTATCATAACAATTTTGTAGCAGAATCTCAAAACAGTTATCTTGGTTGTTGTCTGCAATGATTATAATTCTTTGTTGGGTAGCCATTTCAGTAATTTTAATACAACACATCTTAAGATTTGCTAAGGCATTATTGGGCATTTAGATTTATTACCCATTTAATAAATTAAAAAATCCACCTAAATCATCAATTTAAAATATATTTGCCAATTCATTTTCAAGATTCTACTTGAGTGACTCTAAGAATTAAATGAATCTTATCTTGTTCTTAATTACATAACTATGGACTTGATGAGTAACCTTTTTTGAAGTAGGTTGCATCTATTATTATTAAGTTTAATTAATGACTCTAATGATTTGCTAGATTGATTCCTTTTCGTATTCTTCATTAAAGTAGGAATCAAAGAATAAATCTAAAGAGGCTTAATCAAATTGCATATCTATCCAACCTTATTATTATTAACCTGTGATAATCAATCTAAGAATGAATTATTCAATAGTGACCACAGTAATTTGGCACTCCTCCTCAAAGATCCAAAACTTATTTTATTCACTAAAGATTCCAGTGGGTGCATGTGATAACTTAATTTAATTATCATTCAAGGCTACAAACGGTAGAATTAGATGTTGAACAAATTTGTTGAATGAATTTATACATTTCAATGGACAAGTATAAGGTAAGACAGCTCTTAATTCTGCAACTTAAAAAAACTAACTGTAAATACAACCTAAATACATTATTAAGTGCATTGCTATCGAAGGTTTCAGTTTTATCGGCATCCAAATAAATTTTTAGATGATTCCCATGAATTGAGCATTAAATCTCATACAAGGTATCTTCAAACATAACTTTCTTCAAGATAGTGATGTCATTCTGAAGTAGAATAGTGTATTCTCTGCCTTAATCCAGCTCTATATAAATATATCATTAATTACAATCAATAATAGTGATTTCCATATCATCATTGAAGGAACTGCTGAGATTGATATCAGGTATTTTTAGCACTTTAACTGTATCTTCAATTTGACCCTAGGATAAGGTTTGTATCAAGCTCCTAATTTCAGTAGTACTTTGTCTATTAATTTGTTTGGGAGGAGGGAGAAATTATAAATTTTATTAATGTTGTTCAAATTGTTAAGGTACCACAGTTCCAAAAGATAATCGATCATGTATTACATTTTGCTATTCTTCATATTTTAATTTAATTTTATTTGATTCATTCCCTAATTCTTCAATTTTCTGTTTTAATTCATTAATTTCTTACTCCTTCTCTAATCTTTGCTGTTGCATTTTGAGATTTTCTTTTTAAAGTTCAGAAATTCTTTTCTCCAAAGCATTTATTTTGGGTTCAGTTTTTTTATTGCTAAAAGTTTAGACGAAGTGATCAAATTTAGTTTGAATGATATTTTAGATGTCAATAGGTTGTTGTCTTGGGGAATGCACTCTAAATTGTTTAATCATTCTTTCTGAACTTTTGGTGCCAGATTCACCCATATCTATTCTGGCTGATTCTGATTAAGCTTTGATTTATTACTCTTTGTGGTTATTTTGAGTCTACACCTTAATTTGTCTCATAAGGATGTTGCAAGAGGCACTAATTCTTTTGGCATCTGCTACCTTAATTGATTTTCCTTTTTGTTTGATCATGATGCTCTTTCTGGAAATGGAAACACTTCGCTATTGGGTAAAGTAGGAAACCAAATAATGGTTTGAATTCAGAAACTTTCTACATATCTTTTGGCCATTGTGGAAGAACTTATCATAATCAATGTCGAGCATTTCTTATTGTTTTTAGAGTTGCTGAACGCACTTTCCATAGAATAGGTAGCCATTCAATAGGAGGATGATGTCGGATGGGTTCTTTTGCAATTTGGGTGTATTGGTTTTCATCTCTTTGAATATCTTGGTGATATAATATTGAGTTTACATAGGGTTCGTATTTGATCAATGCTCGTTCGACTAGTCTGAAACATTTGTTGTAATTGAATTAGCAGTAATGAATCCTGGCTAGATTGAGGTGTGTGATCAGGAACAGTTGAGGTTGTTCATTCAAGTAGTGCTTGAGATTGAATTTGGCAAGTTTCTTACTTAGATCAATTAAATTGGAATTGAATAATAAAACAGTCAGAGTATTGAGTGCTTGAGTAATGAGAATGGCATTGGAAGAGTGTTTAGCCATGTGGATGGACATGTATATTAAATCTTGAATGTCTCCTACCAGTCTAATAAAAAAGGAATTACCTTCTTCGCTTAGGAATGAAATCATTTGTGTGAGAGCAAGACCGAATTCCTCTAAATTAATTTGTTGGATGTTACGAAAATTGATGTACTGCTTCATTATTGAGATGTCCACCTAAGATTTTTTGTTGACAAAGTCATTCATAAATTCAATAAGGTTCATGATTGAATATTGATTTGACTAAATTGATAAATATTTATATATATATTTATATTTTTAATATACAACTCAATATGCAAAACCCACTTCAACAGTTCCTCACTATTCTGGCCACGAGAGAAGAAGTTATTTTTATGATCCGCATCCTCACCCACTAATCTCTTGAAGATGGAAGAAATCTCAGAGAATATCAATATGAAATCATGAGAGGAGAACGAAAAAGAGAAGAACTGGAAACCCAAGTGTAAAATAACTGCCTTAAATGTTTGCTAGTTATTCAGCTATAACCGAATCTGCACATCGAAAAGTGTTCCTCCCCAAAGTCGTTTAGAAATTCAACAAAATACAAACATATTATTCCAACAAAACCAAAGTAATCAACTTTCAATCTATCAGATCTACTTCCCTAAACAAGGGTAACAAATCGGATAGGAGAACATCGTCTAGCCAAATCTAAGGAATGCCATAATCAGCATGCAACATGAGAGCTTGGTTTCCATCCTTAAATACTTGAGTAACGTGCAGAAAATGAAAATGAAACTAGAACTCAATCGGGCATAGTATATGGAAAAGTAATATATAAAAGGCTATGCTTTATTCTAGAGAAGAGAGATGTAATCGTAATGAGAAGTTCTTTTCCGAACCTCTGCTCATGGGAAACTTCGGTATGCATTACATCAACAAATTGCATCAGAAATACTATTTCCTAGCTTCTCACAGAAATTGGAAGAATGTTTACGATGTTCTCCTATTAGATGACACCACTAAATAGTTGTACCTCTAAGGAGCAGGTTGATCCCCATGTATTATTATATAGGTTTCAAGAGTGTGATTGCCAGTATCAATAAATAAAAGAAGTCCAATGATGCCCCTTAAGTCTATGTCCCAATAGAAACAACGTAGGAAATCATCACTACTCGCTATGAGAAACTACTCAAGGATCTCTTGGACATGAATCACCATGTCTCCAAATCTATTATGAAATATAACACTTTGCATCAACGCAGAAAAAAGAATAAGGAATCGTAAAGTAGAATCAAAATAACCACAACCAGACATTCACAATAAGATAAAATACTTAATTTAAGTGACTTTGGGAAATTCTCTGCTCCCTCCTCCAGATATAGTAGATCAAGGTAACTCAAAACGTAGTTGTCATGTTTATAGTCTCCATCTGAACCGCACATTAAATAATATGAGTTTCTTTTAACTTTGCGTCAACCTGTTAATTCAGGTCGTTTGATTAATAAATGCATTAATTAAAATTCATGAAATACTTTAAGGAAGCATCCTTCTCATTGAAATAAAAATTTGGCTACACCCCAGAAGAATAGGCTCTCAAACTCTTTGATCAAGCGTATCATTTCGATAGTTCAATCCTCCCCATCAATCTGATGGATCAAATTGCTGAATTAAGTTTTCAAATGTAATCATTATGGAAATATTCCTAGGGAACACTATCCAAAAATAATCAATTAAATTGTTCTGCAATTATCAACCATTGGAATCTCTTCCAATGTTATACTCAAAGTACTCTAACTCTTCTCAATTATTGTAGACACTCATTATTACAGATTATCTCTTAAAATACGGATGTTCTGGTATAATCGACGATTTGAAAGTAAGGATATACATGTTTCGAAATTATCAAGATTTTAAAATTGATTTCCAAGAACCTATCTACATAACAAGTATCAAATTCAATATAACAAGTACGACAAAAAGCAGGGAATATTGCCAACTAATTAACCAATAGAAAACTGCTCTATAAGGAAAAAGAAATAGCAAGGCAAATGAAGCTTAAAATATAAATTAATAAACAAAAAACTTAATCATTGAGTCATTAAGATTACAAATAAACAACAACTACTATGGATGATATTCTAGAAAACTATATTTTTAAATACATGGATAAATTTAATGATAAATTGGAAAGTTGGGGAGATTCGATAAATGATAAATTAGATTAAATAATTGACAATATCACACTTAATACAACTTATGAAAGAGATGAAAATGGGTATTACTTTCCAGAATCATGTATGGATGAAATCACCATTACAAATACACCTATTGAAATTTAAGAAACATAAAATTAAGAGCAAAAAGTAACAAACAACCACAAAAAAGATTTATGTAAGTATCTTAATAATAAGCTAGTGGAATTCGAAAATAATGATATGTAAATTTATTAATAGCCGAAACAAGAGATTAATTTACTAGATTGATTATACTATTTAATAATATAATTACAATAGTGAGTCCTATAATAATCATTTTAATGATTCTTATATAATTATTAGATTTATAAAACTTATTTCGTTCCATTTCATACCAAAATTTCTGTGATTTTTAACATTCTCATATAAATTAAAAAATTTTAAGACTTCATATTAATATTGATAAATTTTAATGGGGGTGATCAAATTTATAATGTCTAATTTTGATTAACCATATATTATAAATATTTATTAAATCACATGGTATTTATAGTCGAGTGATATATCTTGGACATCTTTTACATAAAAGACTCGTAAATCACAAATTATGTCATCTTGATACTTATTCAATAAGATATGTTGGTTATTGCAAACAGATAAGACAACTTATTATTATTTAAATATTTATAGTATTTAGGTTTTTGTAACCTTTGGGTATTATTTGATTAAACTTTGCTAATCTTATTATGCCATTCAGAATATTTATGATATAAAGTATGAATATATATATATAAATTCAAATAAAACTTTATACTTATGTAATATCTGCATTTTAGATATTCTTCCAATTATAGTATTCAAGAGAAAGTTCAAGAATTTAAGTGTATAATTGTTTGAATTTGTTAGAGATGTCTTCACTCAACAACTCTTCTCGTATTAATTCTTCGATCTCAAATGCGATCTTTTCCATGTGATTGACAATAATTCCTATTGTTATTTCGGAAACAGAAACAGCAACATTATTTTTTTGTTTACTCAAAATGTGTTGGATCTGTTTCTTTAATTCTAAGATATTTTAAGTTCTTTGACAGTGTACTAACTTATTCAATTTTTTTTCCAGCATCGCCCATATTTCTAGTATCTTGTCATAAAGCTCAGGCAAAGTGATCGGTTTCGAATTGTAATTCTCATTTTCAACTTTGATAAGACGAATCAGAGATTAAGGATTTTTTGTATTTGGTTTTGTTATACAAAGACCCATTATAATTAGATATTTAAAAATATTACAAAATCATACTTTAATGACTGACTCTTAAAACTCCGAATAATATCTTAAATGTATTTTTAATTAATGCATGAAAATATTCAACATACAAAATTAATTTGATCATTGAGGTTGTTAAATGTCGACTTTAGATGGTGAATTAAGCTGAAGTGTAAATCCGAATTTGTCAATCAGAACTTTATAATCAAACAGTTTATTCCCATTGAATTCCTTAAAGATGTATTATCCCAAAAATTCCTTTTGTTTTTCATCCAATATAATATTACTCGATTGCAAGGCCCCCTTAAAATCGTTTTCATCACAAAACTCACAAAACTATGAGTTAGTTTTCTTCTGTAATACTATCTTGATTTATTCCACGATCATCTATCTGAATTTCCAAACTTATTAAGCAATTGTTTGCATTATTTGTTACTATTATTCTTCATTCATTAATGTGTATTTTCCAATCACATTCTTCAATACACTTTTTATGACACAAATATCATTAACCTACGAAGGTCGATAATCAACAAATTATTATGAATTATCTTCAATTAAATAACGTGCCAATAGTAATGCTTATTTACTATCCTAAATATTAAATGGATAAGCTGATAGTGTGTCAACTAATTCTGAAATTGTGATTTCTTATTTTTAATCAAAAAATGTATGAATGTCTTCAATTGGAATCTTTTATGACAATAATTAATATTTCAATATTTTTCCAATATTTTCAACATCACTAAAATTAACTCTTGGAAGTTTTTATTTCACTTATTCAGTTTCTTGAATTGAACTTATGATCTATGAAACCTTTTATTCCTCTTTTGCAGATTCAACACTAATTCGATTTGGGATAATCTGAGATTTCTCTTTAATATCGTCCTCTAATATAATTTTAGAATCCGAGCCTACCTTAACAGAAGCAATCATTTCATCATCTGTGATTATAATATTATTTTTATTCACTTTTTCATCTAAAATCTCTTAGAACAGTGTAGGAGCTTCTCTTTTATTTGTGAGCCATGACTTTTTTGTTTAATATTAATCTTCTAAATCTTTAAATTAGCGTTATTTCTGAGAAACAAGCATTCTCTACTTATCCAATTCATTCTATAATGACTAAATTATTGCTTATTTGTCTGCTAATTACTAATTGAGATTCTCAATAGTTTCTTTATACTTTTTCTTCTTTTAAATTTCCTATTCATGATCTTTCTTGAACTTCTCAAAATCTGCTTATGCTTATTCATATTACTTTTTATATTTCTCTTTCATAGCTTGACATGTCAATAGCTCTTGTCTAAGATTCAGAATCTTCTTCTTTTGCTTTTGGTGTGAATTTTAAAATTATCTCAATTATTCCTCTAATTCAATTGTTTGAACAGTTAACTTTTGAAATTTATTCACGTCACTTTCAGTCCTGAGAATTTCGTTGAATTACTTGTTTAAAAACTCAAACTTTAATTTAGTTGTACAAAGTTCGTTCTTGGAATATCAATAAGCACAATACTTCCATTTCTTAGAGTCGCATATAACGTGTACTTTTTTTGAGATTATCAATTTCAATCTATTTTTCTTGCAATAGCAGTCGAGCTTATTTCAATTTCTCTGCGAGTCTTTAGCTTTGATTGGAATTCATTTAATCATCGGATACTTCTTGAGTTGTTCGTTTCTCAATTTACTCTTTCTATTATCAATAATTAATTGATTACCTCATCAAGTTTTATCTAAAAGCATAATTATTAGTTTAAATGTTTGAGTTTTTGATTCTCCTTTTTTAATGACATAATTTCTTCTTTCAATTATTCAACATCCTTTTAGAATGGGAGTGAAACTCTGCCTGTTAAAATCTCATTGCTTGGAGAGTCCTAATATTTTTGAGAAATTCTTCTCCTGTAAAATTGAGATGTGCAAAAATTTGTATTATCCTAATTAAGCACTGGCAACCCATTTGTCATAGATTAATTCAGAGAATATGGAACTCTTTAATTTAATCGAATAGTTCGATTCATTATAAATTTATTAATAGTAACATTTAGACCACATATAACCAAATTTAAAAGATAGAAATCGTCGATATATAAATAATGAGAACGAACTTACGCAAATCTTCCTTCTATTTCTACTGATTTCAATCAAGTTTATAAGCTTCTACCAAATTAATTAAAGAAAATAAAAACGAAAAACTTAAGTGAATATACTATCATTCAAAATCAATCAAAACTCTTTTCAAGTTGATAAAACACTTCTGAAATCATTTCAATTCTAATTGGTTTTGAAAGGAATGCATCGAATCCCAATTTCTCACACTTCTCCTATTAAGATTCATCATCAAATCCTGATAAAGCAATCAATTTAATACTATCGATTTCTTTATTATTAATCTACGCATAATAAGGAAAGTCATTACCATTTTACGAATTTTTTCAGCTGCTTGCCACCCATTTAAAATCGGCATTTGCAAATCCATAAAAACATACTTTATATTTAAACTCTTCTGATGTTCTTATAACTACATTTAATAACACAACTCTTACTTTAAGTATGGCTTATTGTCCATTAAAAGCTTCAATTATGTCTGCTTAAGGTATTAAATTCTGCAATAACATTTTAAAAGCAATCACATTAAATGTTTGATCATCTACTATTAAAATACCAAATTTTTAACTCTGAACCAATTATTGTATTAGAAACTTAGGGTCTTAAACTTCCAAAGGATCTTATGATTGTAAACACTTTTAGATAGAAGTTTTCTAACTTAATGATTACAATTGCAAAATATTCTTTGATTTTGTATGATCACCATCTTCTAACGATGGTTCGTACATCTCTGTTTCTGCCTTCTCTAGAGGTTTTGTGTATAATCTAACATAGGATGATCTGACAAATAAGGATTATTGATAGGGCTTATCCTTCGAATATGGAGATTCCTCATTCTGAAAATTACTTAAATGTTAAGAACTGTTTTCTTATTTAAAACAGCTAACGTAATTTTAAGTTCTATGAGGATTATCTTACAATTTAGCATAAATCTAAAATGTCATTTTGGTACCTACATTTACTTAACTTTCCAAATCAATTGTATCCGATGGTCCCAACAAACTTACAAGTTTCTTACAGACCATCAGACCTATTCCAGTGCCATTCTTATTTTCTATTTTTTGCGATGAGAAAGTAGCAAACATTTTGAATAATTTTGGTTTCACCGAATCTGCAATTCCACAACCTGTATCTTCAATTGAGATTGTATATACAAGTTTGTTACATGCAATACTAGGATGTTTGCCTTAAAGAGACTTTCGAATCTAAGAAATTGATTGATTGGAATTCAAAAAAGTAATGTTTTTGGAGGAATTGTTTCTCTTTATATGCTAAGATTTATCTGTATTCAAAGATTAGACTGTGATCGTAATACTGCCTTTTACTGTGAATTTCAAAGAATTCGATATAATATTCATGATAATTTATTTGATTCTATTCGGATCCGAATGCACCTAATAAAAAGGAATGTCATAAAATGTCTTAATTTCTACTCCTTTTTATTCTGCTGAAATAGCTATGGTCTCAATAACCTCATCAATCAATTCATTTATATAAAAATCACTGGGACATAATCTAAGTTCATTTTTTTCTATTCTTGCGTAATCCTATATATCATAAATCATATATAGCATCAATTAAACATTTTTCCTAATAATACTCAGAAAATATTTCTCTTCTGGATTTAAATCCTGTTTACTTTCCAAGGTTTCTAAAATGGTCACTATACCATTAATGGGTGTTTTGAAATCATGAAAAACACTGGCAAGAATCAAATCTTTATTTTCGCATATCTATTTCTACTCTGATAATTGTTATTGCAATTAAGTTAATGATTTTTCGATTTCTTTATTTTAAAATATCAAAAGAAAAGCTTCATTCTTATTCCAAAAACAATGATTAAAAAATAACTTCAACCTTTTCTTCTTCAATTCACTTACACATTTATGTCTTAAACTTTGGCTTTGTATTAGCAATTCCTCCATAATTTTAGATTTCTTACTTTTTGGAGTTTCCTCACTTAGTTATATAGGAATTCTATTAAACTATTGATATTTAGGAGTTTCAATCATGATTTCAGGATGCTGATCGAATTGTTATTTTTGTTGTTCCTCCATCTGGTCCTCTATGTCATTGTTAACTTCCCCTATATTTCTGAACTCTTGAAACAAGGGACTTGAGGCTAAATATTAACAATTATCCATAATTTCTGTAAATATGGATCTAAATCTATTTTGTGGATTGTATAAGGAGTCTTTTGAATTATCAAATAAACTCTGGAGCGTAATTTTGTTGTCTGAAAAAAAGTGATTCAAACATTCGATAAACTCTTCTGAGTGAGTTGTATTGTATTTGTATTCATTTTCCAAAGCCTTAGTGTGATACATAGGTTTCCGAGACGATTTATCTATTACTAACAAAGGCAATGGCAAGATCTCTTTAAACAGCAGCAAAAGATCATTTTCATCGCTTTATTCTTGTAACTACAATTATAATAATCACTTTTACTATCAGAATTGGGGTAAAGATCAATCCTAAATAAGATATGGGATACGAATACTCATTGAATCTTATGATGGAATAGGTGAGCACTATAAAGTATATCAATTTCTGTAGCAGTTGTACTCGGAGAACCTTAGTTAGGGCCAAAAGTTTAAGTATTATAAATATGAAAATTCCCTTGATTTTAAATGTCTATTTATACCTTCTGTTGAGTGATTATAGTCATTTCAACTTACACTATCTGCATAACCAATTGAGTTAAAGCCAAATAATAATCTCCTGTTAAACAAATAAACTTTTATTTGCAGTCTAACAATAAAAAAGTTAAGGAAAATATGAGATCCACAACAATAAATAGCCCAGAATCTAATGTATTGATAAGTTAAGTAAGTCCCAAAATCAAAAATAGAATGGATGCAATGAGATTGCATATTGTGAATCTTTGCTGTAATCCAATTTTCATAATCTAAGAATAGAAAATATTTAATAAAATAATTTCATATGTTCTTTGACTTATACGCAATAGGTAAATGAAAACTATTTGAATTTACATGCGATAATTTATTACTTTATCACTTTTCTACTAAAATACAATGAAATAAATAAAATATTATGGGGATTTTTAAATAATCATTGAGTATACTAAGGGGCCTTGAATACCTTCTGTAGGTAATTTATTTGCTGTACCATTAAGAATAAATGCAAACGAAGTAAACCTTTGTCACTTATAACTGAAAATAAAATTAACCGGATCTAACAAATCCAATTTAAGTATAATGCTTTGATTATATTAAAGCCCAATTTTTATATGTTAATAACACTTAAACTTTCTTATTTTTTAAAATAATATTCACTATTTCATCAATTGTGCATTTTCAATTAAGTAGACAATCTTTTCAATGGCAATATCTATTTTTTATTTACTAATGTTATAAGATTTGTTATATTTACATTAAATATAATTTTTCATTTTGGGAGTGACCATAATCTAAGACTTTCTATTAAATTCGAAGACCTCCCAGGTTATCTGGTAAAAGTAAAAAGAAAGTATAACGAATATTATCCTTTAGTTTGAAATAAAAAAACTTGAGAAGAAAAAAAAAAAAAATAGAATCTGAAATAAATCTATCAAATAATATTTATTGCTAATGGTTTAAATATTACATGGTAGTTATTAATTTGTTTTAATAAGAAACTAGTATATTATGGATTCTCAAAATTGGAAATTCTTGCAATCATTCAATAGATCTTTGCTTTGAAATTAGTGAATTCTAACTAAAAATATATTTAACACATATCAAGTATGCTGAAGAGATTATTAATTGTTCCAATCCTCTAGTTCTTAAACCTTTACTCTATTTTGATTCAATTACACTATTTTCACTTTTATGTAAAAATTTCTGCCCATCTTGTTCAATTGAATACAAATTTAATTCCTCCAATGTATTTGTTTTTTTGGTTAATGAACCATCTACTTTCTCTAAATTTATAATTAGTTGAAAACACCTTGAAGTTAGGCCTGTAGAATCCAAGGAAATCGGAAAAAAATTATTCAACCATTTAATATAACACAAAATAATATATTCAATTTTAAGGCTTTTTTATAATTATACTTGACTTTTCTAAAGCTTACAATCCTTATGTTTCCACAAAAAGGATGCAACAATGATATAATAGCATTGAAGTGCAATACCTAAGTTGAAGTTATCAATATTGATTCTTCATCAACAATTTAACTATCAAAGTCAATATAAATCTTATAGTTTCATTCTAATATTCCTGTTCATATTTATTAAAATACATGAAAATGGTATTACTTTAGTTTGAGTTTAACTATTATACTATCAAAATATCATTAACAGGTTGGTCCTAGTAAGAAATTTCTATTTAGATTGAATATTTGTTGATTACTCTTTGATTAGTCAAATCCCGAAAATTAATATATTTCATCTAATAAAAGCTATAAGTGTTTATAAAGAATTGATGAACGATGCAAATATCTTAAGAGAAGTTGTTCATCATCAACTTTTGGCTAAAACTGTATGATTTCACTCACATAGAATTTATAAAGAGCCTTGGTAAGGATTCTAATAACTTAATAGAGACTTGGAGTATAATTAGTACCTTCTAGAACTTTATTTATGATAAATCATACCTTAAATTGAATAATTTTATGATTAGAATTTAGAAGTAGCCTAAGTAAAATTACAGTGAAAAATGAACAAAAAATGCATGGTTCTAAAATTAAACACAAGAGATGAAATTTCAATATTTATAGTTTGAGAGACATGTAAGGAGAGTAAGACGAAAGCATTTAATATAACAAGTTTATGCAGAACTTCAGCAAAGAGGAGAAATTAGGAGAAGGAACTTATGGAATAGTAACTAGAGCATTTGATAAAAAAAGAGGAAAAGTGGTTGCTATTAAGAAATTGAAATTGGATAACTGTGATGATGAAGGAGTTCCAAGTACAACCATCAGAGAAATAGCAATTTTATAAAAATTGAAACACGCAAACATCATAAAGTATTAGGTGTTGATAATTTAGTTTATTGGAAGTAAAATACTTTATGTAAGAGAAGAAGATACTATTGATCTTTGAATCAATGCAATGTGATTTAAGGAAATACTTAGATAAGAACCCAACCTTATCATTAAATACTATTAAATTAATTGTCTATTAAATCTTGTTGGGCCTTTCGTTTTGCCATAGTCGTAGAGTATTACACAGAGATTTAAAGCCATAAAATATCCTATTGAATGAGACAATGACATTGAAATTGGCAGATTTCGGACTTTCCCGAGTGTTTCCATTTCCAATGCCTAAATTCACAAAAGAAATAGCAACACTTTGGTATCGAGCACCAGAATTGATGTTGGGAGATGACAATTATGGAACTGGAGTGGATATCTGGGCAGTTGGATGCATAATGGCAGAATGTTTAATAGGTAGACCATTATTGACAGGGGATAGTTAAGTTGATATGTTGTTTAAAATGATGGAGGTATGAATAGAGAGATGTTTAATATTAGTTACTAGGCACTCCAACAGATAATTCGTACGTTGGTTTGTCAAAACTGCCCCATTTCAAGGTGACATTCCCAAAATTCCAGGGCAAAGATTTAATGCAGGTGATACCTGTATTGGAACATGATAGAAAGGCCTTGGAGATTTTGTAATCAATGCTGCAATTCAATCCAGGGAAGAGACCGTAGGCAAAGGAATTGTTAAAGCATAATTGGTTTGATGATATAAGAAATAATTATTGATTATTGTTTATCATCATCATTTCTCCTCTTAGACTAGTTTTAATAACATTTCTTAATAGGCTTCTGTCCAATTTTAGACATACCAGTCGTACTGGGAACTATCTGGGTTGAAATAATCAAAGCATTCTTCTTTAGACATGTCATATTTGGAAGATGTTTATAAGAAACATGAATGATTGTTATTGTGTTCGAATTTTCTATTTTTAGATGATTATTATTGGCCTGTCAATTATAAGAAACTAGAATGAGTTCTTGATTTGAGTTGTTCTTCCAAATTGATAGAGCCATGATAGATTTCAAAAGCAAAGGAATATCTAATTTTCAATTCGTCATAGGCATAATCAACACAACTTCCTGGTGCTAAATAGCCTATGGCTTATGATGCAACTCCAACATCACATGAGGGACAATACTTGCCAGATATGTCATTAAGAATGTCCATCATTTTTTCTTCATTTTGTTCAGCTAAATTATTGAGTTTACGATTTACCTGCATCTGTTGAATAGGCATGAGGTGTAAACATTCCTAAAGTACCAGAATGCACAGTTAGGAAGATGTCTGGGTTAAATGATTTCAAAGAATCACGCACTGCTCTTGTTTCAGGTTCAGAGAATGGATTTGGTCCTGATGTTACTTATCTTACATCATCTTGAACCTTTTCCCAGTGTGCATCGTAATTTCTATTGATGTCGACTCCATTTTCGTTTTCTCTTAAACAGTATTCTCCACCTTCTACTTTCTATCTTGAGAGGGGATTTGCATTAAGAATCAATCTCAATTCGAAGTCATCCAGAATTTATTTATTTTTTGGGTCTGTTTTTTCAAAGCACAAGTCATTCAAGAAATGAATTCCTGATTCTGGACTGATCAATTCTCTTGGGTGTTCACCAAATAAAATGTAAGCTAAAACAGTTAGTTCAATGCAATACCCCTATATTTTTTGTTTTGATTTCTATTAATGTTCACTTCCTTAATCAATGGACTATCAGAAGCATTAGACAATGACAAGAATGAGCAACTTCTACTGAGAGATTCTAATTCCTCATTCAATTCTGCTGTTGTGTGGTACTTGCTACTGAACTTAGTTGCAAAAACCAATGACAGGCTCAATATGACTAATATTGCAATTTTCATAATATAATAAAAACGGAACTTAGTTTAATTTCAGAATTGTAATATTTTATTTGCTTGATTGAACGGACTTCCACTTGTATACTTCATCATAACTGGAGTTGCATACATTGTGGGAGTTGAAGTTTTTGGTTGCTCATAAGAGTGATTGGATTGATAGAGGTTCAAATTATTAGTTTGAGGTTATACTCTCATACTGAATTGCTGATGATGTTATTGGGCTTGGAAATACTGACTAAAGTAGTGATTGCGAGGTTCAACATGGGGTGATTTGTTGAGTTGTTTATAATGCTGACTATTGTTATTTCTTATGACTGGTTATTGCTTGACTCCTGGTTCACTGACTTAGGTGAGACATCTGTTTTTGGGATCACTCTTCATTTATTTAATTATCAATTGCTCAAGCATCTATTTAGTGATGGACTTTTGTTATTATATCAATTCTGCATTTAATTGCTTTAGCCGTTTAATTTCCTCGAGCAATACTTACATTTCGTCGTTGTGTTTACTAATTTTGTTCCCTTGATTCTTGGTAATGATCTTCTTCTTATCAAAATCAAATTCAATCTCTATCTCTTCGGATCCCTACTTCAGTAGCTTATCTTATTGTTACAACAATATCTGATTTAATTTCTTCTCCAATATCCAATAATTCCTTTTCCAATCATCCACTTCTAATTCCATCTTCTTTATCATCTCTACTAATTTGGTTACTTTCTACACTATGAAGGTCTCCTAATCACATTGTAGATCTATCGTATCATCCATATCAATTTGATCCAGAATCCTCAACAAATTGTTGGTTTCTATCTTGGATGGAGCCAGTAATGATTAACCCAAACTCTTTTGATAAAATTCAGTCTCCTCTTGAATAACCTGAAGATCATTGTCATCACAACGCTAATCCTCGAATATGGAATTGTCCAGATTGCACTTCAATTACACTATCTCTCTATTGTGGATTCGTTCCTATTCCTCATACTTCTCTTCCCACATCTATTTTCAATAATCACAATACTTTTATTTGTCCCTTCAATCCGTAGATCTCCTCCTCCAATTACTGTATGGTTGACTTCATTTGCTACAATTACTTTAATATTCTACTTCGTAATCTTGGGCCTTTTAAATCGATGTCGTTGCTGATTCACTACCAGTTGATTAATTCACTAGCATAGTTATATAATTAATTATGATTAATTAATACATTGAAATCATTAAACAACTCAGACTTATTAAGATCGAACAACTATTACTACAGAAGTTAATTTACAAATTGGCAAACCAACTGCGACATTTCCCAGAGTTCAGAATGCTCAAGAAGTTCAATAAACAAACAACCAAAATCATTCAATCGTGTACTCAATAAATTAAAGACAACTCATTGTAAGGACCATAGATAGTAGAGTCAATCGAGAAGACACAATCCTTCTTATTAACGCTGTCTTATGTCATCACGGGAAATATTAAAAGAAAATTACTCATCTAGTTCTAACTCTTAACTTTTGGTGCAATAAGCAGAATATAGGCATGCTTTGATCAAGTTAAAAATATAATTAATTAAATGGAATAAGGCAAAACAAGCGCAAATCCGTAAGTCATTTCTTGAGATTATACATTCATTTATTTTATATTGTTAGAACATTAACTTAGTTTTTCTTTAATATAAATTTTGGCTACTGAGTTTTCTTATTATTTGATTCCTTTAGAATTTTTGCCAAAAAATGAGACTAAACTGAAGGTTTTATTTGACGTTAAGTTTGAACTTAAGGCATTAGCATGTAAGTTCCTTTATCATAACTTGCACTTTCATTGTTCGATGATTATTCCTCCTACCTCTATACTCTATCTGATTGAACAGCTTCTAGAGTAATTGACCTTTTACGCAGATCGTTGTTACAATACTTTTGTATCTCTACCTTCTTTTTTATTTTAGACAGTGATGCACCCTTTGGTTAATAAGGAACTGAAAATTATTTTACTATCATTTCTATTCTCCGAGGATCTGATAACGAAAATTAACGATAATCACTTCTAAAACCCATGGTCTTAAAACTCGTCATGCAACGATGATTTTATCTTGTTATTGACATTTATATAAATATATATATATCACTTTTCAATACATTAAATGAAATATCTTAATTGTTCTTGTAACTAATCCAAGGTAGTTACTTCTTCAGCTTCATCCTATTGATTGCGCTCATCATTCTAGATAAGCACCAAGGCAAGCCATTGCATCACTTAGATGAACTCATAATAGAATAAGCCTTCGAATCCATTAAATTTCTCATCATGAAACAATTCTTTATATGCAGTCTTGATGATTCCGTCTAGATTGTCTCCCTTATACCCAGAATCTTGGATTAATTATTTGATTTCCTCCTACCTGATGTGGAATTTGATGTCAGAATTGTCATCATTGCCTTGGCTAAATCTTTTAATGAATATATTCTGCATTTAATCTTAAATTTCCTAAATGTTAAACTTTCAACTTACCCGAATAAAATTGACCAATATTTCATTGTACTTCATATGCTACTAGAAATTATTAAACTCTTTCTCATCAGAATTAATTTCTATTATTTTATCCACAATCTTCATGACCAGTTAATCTTAGGCTGAAATAATATAATTCGATATCATGTACATTCTACTTCACTTAGATTGTTAGTTTTTTTAAATTGTGCCAATTCTACGATGATCACGAAGAACTCTTAGAACTTAACAGATAATTCCAAGCTTTTTCTGACATCCTTCGATTTAGTGCCCTATTTATCATACGTTTCAACAAATGAAAATAGTTCCTAACTATCCTGTACTAATCCATACTACATTTAAATTGAGATTGAATACAAATTTTAGGAAATGCATCACATCTTAGAATGAAATGCTAATTTCATCTTTTTTTGCATGATCCGTGTTGTAGAGAATAGCATATTGACGAAATACTTCGTAAAGGAGTGGCAATTTGTCATCCATGTATGCAGCAATCTTATTGTAAAAGTTTTCTTCCTTTTGATAAACTAAATATATTATACAAGATCCTTGAGTTCAAGATTGCCCTCAGCATTTTTTTAAATGATTGTCCATAACTTCTCAAATTTATATGGACACTCCTCTGCTGCAGATTATTTATTTTTTTAACTATCCTCTCTCTTTTGGATTTGCTACTGTTGGAGTTCTTTCTCTTTTTGTAAAGCATACTCCATAATTTTCTTTTGGATTTCCTATTAGGAAATAGGAACAGGATTGAGTCTGGCAGTATGATCGAAGTTTTTCATATCCAATGCAAAGATGGATTGTTGTGGTTCTTAACCTTCTTTTTCAGTGATGGTCTATCCATAGAATTAGAATGTGAATTAGCCAAGTGGCAATGTGATTTCTGCAAAATACTTTTTGAAATTATCTCCAGCCCTAGGGATTGAATAATAATATAAACGAACTTGATTTCTTTCATGATGATCTTGTCCTTGCTGGGATAATTTTTGGTATCGAATTCATGCATGACTTCAGGGAACATTTTATACTCATATTGGATGAGATATGTTGGTTCTTGGCGATTGACGACCTTCTAATTTAATGGAGCCAACTAAAAGGTGGCAGTGAACTGATTTCTCATCTTTCCAAAGGCTTCATCATACCATTCTAATATAGTGGCATTGATAAATACTTTCTTATTGGTCAGTCATAATCCACCCTTAACCTTTTCTTATTTCCACTTGCACTAGGGTTTCTTTGCCTTCTTCATCTTCTTTGAGGTAGTCGAAGATTTTGGCACGTGGGGGAGGAGTTAGAAACATGTCAGTTCCAGGGACTCTGAATTGCAAATAGCAGGGAAGGTAATTGGAATCAGGATTCTTTTTGTTGGAGTAGAGTTTAGCAGCAGCAAGGGCAAACCATGCGAAATCATTCAATCCTTGTCCTACGTTGATGTAAAAGATGAATTCTTCGACTTGCACTTTAAATTTCATTATTATTAATTATTTAATGGGAATTTGTACTAATAAGCAATATGCTTAAACTAATGAACCTCCGCAAAACCACAGACAGAATCGATTATATTTAAACTATCAGCAATTGGCAAATATCAACCATCCTCTGAATGTGAATCACAAATACAACAACTACTTCCAAATCCTACCAGATACCACGGTTGGGAAGGGAATCAAGATGACCAATCAATATACAAGTCGTCTCAGCAGAGAGGAGTGGCTGGAGAAGAGGAAGGAATTCTGGGGTAGGATTTTATATGTTATTTAAAGAATCGAGGGTTGAGGGAGAGAAAGTCTATTGGCAATCAATCCAAAAAGCAATTGAAGAACAAGACGAAGGTATTTCTCATCTATATGTAGCCAATGCATAAGCTATTCTCAATGCATGTGATCTCAAACTGGTTAATAATTCCATTTAGCTACTTTACGACAACTCAATGCATAAATATGATGTCCCTGTCTTTATGATCAATGAACCTCAATCCTTCCCGTCCACCAAGTTTTGCGACGCTGGTTTGCTTCAAGATTTTCAAGAAACGGAATTAAAAGTATATATTTCATAATCTATCTCAAGATCAAAGTGAGATCCAACAAACTCCCCTAAGATTTTGAGGTTGTTACTCACACCAATCAAAGCATAGCTGAACTGAAGACTAAAGTTTAAGAGTCTGCTCCCGGATCTGAACAGTGTAGACTGTTTATCAAGGGAAGAGAAATGAGGAATCATCATCTCATTGGAAATTATTAACTTAAAGATGGAGAAGTATATACCTTACTATTCATTTAACTAGATGGTCCAGGCCTTTATGTGATATTACTTATTAACAAATAATATTATATTTATAATGGCATTAATTCATAATCAAAATGACATGCAAAACATGTTTAGTAAGGCTGGCAAAATCACCTCCGAAAAATATATTGTCTTCCAAAGGAAAGATGAAATCATCAACAACAGACCAAGATATTTCAAAACCAAATCCTAATCAGTTGCATCTCCAGAAGAAGTCAATCTATAACCCGAAAAGAAAGTCCCAGATCTGGCCAACAAGAAGTAGGCTCAAATCACAGAAGCAGAACTCATTCAACATAAAAATCAACTCAAACTCTCTTAACCCTTCTCCAAGTAACTCTCTCGATAAGTCGGACATTATACCAAACTCAGCAACGATAGCAAACCCTCCTGCGGCCAATATCATGTCAAATACAGCGAATTAGACAAGTATCTCCCTTCTTTATTATCGACAGAGCAGTTCATTCCATTCACGATTATGACAAATCCCTCAAACAAACCACACCCAGACTCGTACCAGGAAAACTTGGACAACCAGAAAACATCGAGTAAACAACTATTGCATTTATTCAAGCAAACCCATTGTTGATCGACCAAGATATTCTCGCACTTGCTTTACAGATCTAACCAGGCAAACCCAAAGGTATTCAAGTATATCTTACTGAAAAGACCTGACATCTTCTTTGGAAGACCCACTCCACACCCAGATAGATTCACATTCTTAAGTGTTACTGATTCTTGGAGTAAAATCCCAAGAACACCGAATGTTCAATTAGATAAGCAACTATCAAGAGAACAAATGATCATCTATAAAAAGAAACAATTTGCCCCAGATTACCATCCCAATTTCGAATTCGGTAGAAAGTAACTTAATCCCCCTAAGTTCAATTAGACAATTAGGCAGTTGTGGTGCTCCTTTTGATAAACTCGAAAAAAGAAAAGATATAATGACCAAGATCCCTCCCTACAATAATGAGGCTTATTTCGAATTTGATGTCTACTCCAAAGAGCCATAAAGTCAACTCTTTAGAAATCCCACAGCCCCCAATTTTGAAAAAATGCTCGAAAGAGAATGCGATGGAAAATCATTATTGCCAAGTTTTATGTAGGTAAGCATATTCTCAAAATTAGAAATACACCAATACTCGTATGGGAATTGCTCATTTGAATCAAAAAATGTTAGAAGTCAATAATTTTAGAGACGGAAGATTCTAAACTGTCACATCAAGCTTTATGCCCTCTAAATTAAAAAGAAAATAGAAGCTTGATGAGTCTAGTGAAGAAATCGAACAGTTGGAGGACCAATAATGAATTTATTTATTTAAATTTATTAATCATCATATTTCACAGGATCATTGGATAAATTTAAGAAAATTTATAATTTTATATCGGTATTCTCAAAATTATAATTAAATAATTATCTTCATCAATCAGGATTGTATAATCTCTTGAATAATATTTATAATCTTAAATATCAATAATATATCATAAACATAAACAATATCTAATTTTGATAGAAAATAATTTTTATCCTATAACTTTATGGTTTAACAAAAATCAAATTGATTTTAGACTCTAATAAAATCTATTTTCATTTAATTTTTAGTATTTTTCAATTTATCTTTATGATTGACACAAATTTTATTCACAGTCATGCGCAACAATAAAATTTTATAGATCCAAATTACCAGAGAAAAAATGTAACATTACTTTGACAAACCTTATTTGTTAGTTTAAGAAATAACAAAGTTAATATATAACAAAGCTTTACATCACTAATATGAAATTCAAGCGGAGAGGAATCTGAATGTCGTTTGTTAAAGAAATAGAATTTTACATGATAAATCTTTTTACAAAATCAGGAGACTATAAATTTTTGTAACTTATATATTATTCCTAAGTTCACAATACTTCATTATAAGAATCATCTTATATCAAATATTTTTAATATTACTATAATTTTAAATTGGCTACACAATTGCTAACCTAGTTATTGTTTCTGTTATTTGAGGATTTGCAATTTTGATCTAAATGTTAAATTGAATCCCCACTTAGGTACTAATTTCTAAATTTTTTAATATAGAATCTTGCCATTCTTTTTTTTACTTGGAGAATAATAAATAATGATATAGAATAATTTAATAATTGATTAAATAATATACTTGATATTTTTATTAATATATATATATTTCGTTTTCTGTCAACCTGAATCCCTTAATTAATGACCTAAGTTAACATCTTTTCTCAAATATGCAGTGATTTAATATCAAAAGTTCGCTTATATATTTTTAATAATTTATTCAACTCTTTTTTAGATAAATGCTAGAATATACTGGACAGACTAAAGCAAACTCAGAGGGAGTTCACACTGTAGTAGACTCAGACTTAGAAAGTTGGTAAAAGTTATACACATAAACTCAAGTCTGAGAAGACCTAAGTCTTCTTCAGAGCAGGATTATAGAAAACTTTTCGAAATAACAAAACACTGTTTTAATCAAAAAACACCCTAGGCAACTTGTGATGAGATTCCCGAATTTGATTCATAGGATGATTCCTTTTTATTAAGACCCTCTCTGTGTACAAATAAATCAAGCAGATAAAGCTGTGAAATTGTAAAGGAAGAAAAACAATCAGAAAAAGAACTGATAACTCCTTTGAAAGAGGAGGACAAGCATCTATTAGTTAGGAGCGATTAGGGGCTATGTAAATTGTAAGGAATTAAAATGAAAAGTGGAGGATTTTACAAAGGATATTGGTACAAAAGAAAGCCTCATCGTATGGGGGAATATCTATTTGCTGATTAGAGCAGATATCTAGGAGACGTAGAAAAGTTATTATATATGTAGTGGAATCATGGTTATGCAAGTGGAAGAGGAGAATACTTTGATGCTGATGGTGGACACTATCAAGGAGAATTTTATTAAAACTGTATGCAAGGAACAGGAGTTTATAAATATGCAGATGGAACAATCTATAATGGTATAGTATATCCTTAGCATTAAGGTTAGTGGATGAATGATAAATATCACGGAGTAGGAATTGAAACAAAAAATGACAGCCAGTATAAAGGTATTAAGAATAAGTTACAAATTAGGGAAATTTTAGAATGGCTTAAAACATGGTCAGGGGACTTTGGTATTTTTCAACTAGGAAAAATATGAAGGTTCATTTGTAAATGGTCTGTTTGAAGGGAAAGGGGTTTATGTATCAATCCTATTTTTATCTTTAGATTTGGCCAGATGGAAGAAGATATGAAGGAGATTGGTAAAAAGGGATGATGCATGGTTAGGGGATGTTGGAATGGCCAGATGGTAATGAACTGTCTCTAAATAGGTCGTCTCTATGTAGGATAGTATGTTAATGACAAAAGGTAAGGATTCGGAACATTCCAATACCCTGATGGTCGTAAATATGCAGGATATTGGATGACTGGTTTATAACATGGGTCAGGAGAATTTACTGAATATCATGGTTAAGTTACCAAGGGAGTTTGGAGAGAAGGCAAATTATTTTCGCATTGTTGATTATATATATGATACTAATTTATATATCTCATAATTTTGGTTAGGAATACTTGGCAAAGTTATCTGGAGTTGGTGCTGGGAATAAATTGGGTGTGAATAGAGTACTAAATTATATTACTAATTATTTACGCTTTCTTCATATTTCCCTTGATCTTCATCTATCCTTTTAAGAATGCTTCATTAGCTTATAGTTTTCCTAAGCAGACCTTTTCAAAATCGTCATCAATCATTGTGAAAGTGGCATCTGCTTACTCTTTTCCTTCCTTAATTGCACCTTGACCATTCTTCAAATCAATGACCCAGGATTTTATGACGGGACCGCCCTTTTAAGTGATTATTTCAAAATTGAAAACTCCTTAAATTTTAGGAATTAAATCCTTTCCTTCACCTCTATCCAAAAATGCTTTCATTAAACCAAATATCTTTTCTGCTTTTAGATTAACACTTGGAGTCTATGTGGTTTATTATGTTTGAGCTGATGTTGTTTTGCCTTCTTTTTATTGTTTGATGAAATCTTCCTTATTGAAAAAGATTTCAAAGATCTCTGACGATGTTTGAGGATAACAAACATTATCTCCAAAACCAGCTACTTATTCCCATTTATCTCTAACATCTTCTGGTGTGAATGGAGTATCGAAGAAATATCCTTGATTTCTTTACCATCTCAATTTAGAAATGTATCCAGCTCCCAATTCATAAATTGCACCTGTTTCCTTTGAATCATCATGACTCAACACAGCTACAAGTGGAACAACGAATTCTGGCTTCAAATTTGCAAGTAATTCTTTGCTCATAACAGTCTCAGTCAATCTACTTGCGGCCACAGGACAGATTGAATTAACTAATATATTTCTCTTTAATCCTTCTCTTGCCAAAGCCAATGTCAATCCGTGAATACCCATTTTGGCAGCACAATAATTTGTTTAACCAAAAACACCATAAACACCAGATGCTGAAGATGTGTTAATAATTCTTCCATATTTTTATTCTCTCATGTATGGCCAAGCAGCTTTAGTGCAAGAGTATGTACCTTTCAAATGAACCTAAATGGCATATTATCTTATATTACTCTATAAATAAGGTCCCAATCTTCATCTTTCATTTTTTCAAATGAAACATCTCTTAAAATACCAGCATTGTTTATCAAAATATCAATCTTTCCAAATGCCTTAATTGCAGTGTCAATCACTTTTTCTCCAAATTCAACACTATCATAGTTGGCAACAGCGACTCCACCAGCAGCTTTAATTTCATCAACAACTTTATCAGCAGCAGAAGATGATGCTCCTGTGCCTTTCATTGAACCTCCTAAATCATTGACAACGACTTTTGCCCCTCTCTTTCCAAAAAAGAGTGCGTACTCTTTTCCCAAGCCATTACCAGCTCCAGTGATAACTACCACTTTGCCATCAAATCTCAATTAACTCATATTTTTAATAAACTAATACTAATCCTGTCGATATAATATATATAAAGAACACTTGTAAGAAATCGTGCGTCATATTACTAATAGTGATTCAATTATTATTTAAAATATGATCACCTTAGCACAAATTATAACAATAATTTACCTCTATCAATTTTTAACATTATAAATTTAAAATCGGCCAATCAATTTATTTACTAAAATTTCATTGCTAAATTATTCTTTAAGGAATCCTTTTTCGAATATTGACTCAACCTATAAATGTTAAAATTCTTAATTATACTTCAGTCTAAATATATATATTATCCATTTTTGTGTTATATACTGTAGAATTATATGATTTTAATAATTTCTTTGTGATAGCAAAATGTTAAAATTACTTTTGGATTATTTTTCAAAGGCAATTATAGGTTTTCTAATGAATGATAAGGATTTTGAATTGTTAATAAAAATATTGTTATTGTTAGATTAGGATTAATTTTAATAATTGTATTTAAAAAATGTCTTACGACACTGCACTCACAGTTTTTTCTCCAGATGGATAGCTATTTCAAGTCGAATATGCAATGGAAGCAGTGAAAAGGGGATTGTGTTGTGTTGGAGTAAGAGGAAAGGATGTCATAGTTCTGGGTGTAGAGAAAAAGGCAACATCAAAACTCTAAAATGTTAAAACAATTAAGAAGGTGTATTAGTTGGGTAGCAATTTATTCAAATGATAGACAACAACTTATGTATGACATTTTCTGGGTTAAATGCTGATGCAAGAATATTGGCAAATCAAACTAGATTATAATGCCAATAGTACAAAATTTATTACGAGGATGATCCTTCAGTTGATTACATTGCTAAATTTACAAGCTAATAATAATAGAAATTCACCTAAAGAGGTGGAGCAAGACCTTATGGTATTTCAACATTAATTGCCGGATTTGATAATCAAAATAAGCCAAAGTTATTTTAGACGGATCCTTCTGGAGCTTGTTCAGAATGGAAGGCTACCTCTCTGGGAAAGAGTGCGAAATAAGTGAAGGATTTCTTAGAGAAGCACTGGAGGGAAGGATTGCATGAGAAGGATGCTCTTCTACTGACAACTAAAGTATCGGAATATGGTATATGTCAAGGCTTTGATGGATGTAGTTGAAAGTGGAAATAAAAACATTGAGTTGTGTGTGATTAGGAGGAACACATGCTGGTTTTTGAGTGAAACAGAAGTGGAGGAGTTGACAAAAATAACAGCATAGATCTAATGATTATAATATACATTAAATAATTAAACAAATGTGGTTTTGGTTTATTCTGTGATAGAAAAATAAGTAATAGAGATTAATTAAAAAAATTATTAGATGATTTATAATTATATGGTATTAATTTTATTGTTATAATTAATAATATATATCATAATTAATTATATTCTGAAATCTAAAATATAATAATTAATGAAATAGGAATTATGGGATGATTTGCATTTGGCAAATGAAAAATCTATTACTAAAATTTTAGAGGCAGGAGAACAAGTATTATTTTCTAGTCTACTCTATAAATTCAATGAAGTCAATAAAAGACAAGAGAGAACATTGCTCATAACAACTCATAATCTATACAATCTATCAAAATTGACTGTGAAAAGAAAAATACCTATCAAAAGGGTTTATGGAATTACTATTGGTTTAATTGGTACAGAATTCGTGGTACATGTGCCTGGAGAATATGACTATAGATATTCAAGTTCTGAGCGAAGAGATTAAGCAGTGTTGAGCATAATAAAGGCCTATTGTTTATAACACAGAGGCACTGCATTGCCAGTCTTCTACAAAGATGAACTCACGCTTACAGCATACACAACAACAAAAGTGGATAAAAGAAAGGGCATAAATAGATTACCAACAACTGGTTCAGAATTAATGAATGAGGATTAATTCAGAAAGAGGATAGATTCATAAACAGAAGAACGGTTGCAGACTCGCGCAAAGACTTCGACACTCTACGCAAAGTAGAAAGGAGAGGCAGTAACAATTGATGACTTTGACCTAATAAAAGTGTTGGGAAGAGGAGCTTATGGAAAGGTGATGTTAGTGGAGAAGAAAAGTGACAAATAATATTATGCTATGAAATCAATTAGAAAAGAGGATGTAGCTGATCCAGAATAATTAGAACACACAAAAACAGAAAGATTGGTATTGGAACATGTGAATCATCCATTCCTTGTAAATTTGCATTGGGCATTTCAAACACCTGAAAAATTGTTTTTTGTTACTTAGTTTATGAAGGGTGGTGAACTATTTTAGCATCTCAAACATGTTAAACGATTTGATGAAAGCAGGACAAGATTTTATGTTTCAGAAATTGTAAATTCGTACCCTTATTTTCATTATAGGTATTGGCATTAGAACATTTGCATTAGAAAAATATCATTTACAGAGATCTGAAACCAGAGAATGTTCTATTGGATGAAATAGGCCATATTTGTTTGACAGATTTTGGAATGGCCAAAATGTTGAAGAAAAATGAACTTGCCAAATCATTCTGTGGAACACCTGAATATCTAGCTCCTGAAATACTTCTTGAAGTTGGCCATTCGTAATCTGCTGATTGGTGGGCATTAGGTATACTAACATATGAGATGCTATATGCATTACCTCCATTCTACAATAAAAACTAAGATATGATGTTTAAATAGATCCAAACCAAAGAAATTACATTCCCAACCACGCCACCACTCTCCAACGAGGCTAAAGATTTTATTTATAAAGTAAGTATCCCATTAATGTAGTTAACAATCAAAGATCCAAAGTAAAGATTAGGTGCAGTTAAAGTTGATGAAGTAAAAAATCACCCATGGTTCAAAGGAATTAATTGGGAAAAACTCTTGAAGAAAGAGATTGATACTCCTTTCAAACCTTAGATCTAAGGAGAGGCTTGGATTGATAATTTCGATAAACAATTTACAATAGAAGAAGCAATCAATTCATATGCCCCTGAAAATAATCTAGTCAACCAAGACGAATTTAGAGAATTTGACTATTATTAAAAATGAATTGAAATACAGATTTCAGTATAATAGAATCACTTATTAATTATGAATTTATGCTAAAGTAGTTCCTAAGCAGTAGGTCTTAATAAATGATCCCTTTATAAACATAATCTAATAAATTAACTTAGAACTTCATCTAAATCCTCAGGTATCCTTGGAAGAGCATCCTCAGAAATTATTAAGAGTAAAGCACTTAATGGATTATCGAAATTGTGTTCATGCCAAGGTTTCTTCCCTGTTGCCATCTCAAGAACAGTGCATCCAAATGACCAAATGTCACTTGCTCTACAATTTTCATCCTAACTAGCCACCTTTAAAATTAGGAGATCTATTTACCTCAGGAGCCATATACGGAATGCTTCCCTTTAAAGAATGCAATATGTCCCCTCCTTGCTTAGATCTCGATATAGTTTTCTCTTTGATTTTACTACACCCAAAGTCTCCTAGCTTCACCTCTCCATTCACTCCTAATAAAACGTTGCCCCCCTTTATGTCTCTATGAATTATATCATTATCATGGAGATAGGCTATGGCTGATAACAATTATTCAGAATATGTACGAACTGTGTTAATACTCAAAGGACCAAATTTCTCAGTCAATTAGGTTAAAGTTCCTACTTTATAATAAGGATTAACCTTAAGACATATACTCTAAATAGAGTAACCAGTACTCTTCATTTTATTGGCTCCATGCATATCTAATGATGTTGTTATGTTTAATTCTCTTCAATAAATCGATTTCGCTTTTCAATCCCTACAAATCCTCCTATTCAAAATCTCCCTTCAGATTAATTTTCTTAACCGCATAGATTTTGCCTGTTTTGTTTTCCTATGCAATGTACACTTATCCAAAGGATCCTGCACCTATCATATCTCCTTCAGTAAAGCTTGGATTTTAAGTAGAAAAATTGAATTATGAATATGTAGATGAATCATTAACAATTTTATTTGAACTACTAGATTCTATTGCTTGTTTTTAAGAACTAGAGAAGGATTGATTCTTCATTGCAGTAAATCTATTTTCCATAAATGATTCGATTTGCGATACAGTCTCTTCCTTTATGATTGTATCATCCTGAAAGTCTATATTAAGATTGATCAATACCATTGATTGGAAACTCAATCATTCTAATTGCTGGACTTTAAAATTTATTTTCTATCGTCTCCTGTGATTCTGTATTGGATTTGATAAATTTGACTTGATGATTTTAGAGTTTGCGAATTATCATCCCTTAAACTTTTGATTTTTTGACTGAAGAGTAGCTTTTCTATTTTTGGGTATTGTCCGTAACTGGTCTGTTATCCTCTTTCTTCTCGATGGACAACTTTTTCAGTGTCGAAGGTGATCGAAAGGTCTATGTGATTTTTGTTGTCATGGAGGGATCAATTTTTATTCTTGGAGAAAGAAGCGGAGGCAATCCAGTGTTATTATAGACCTTCGGTTTGCTTTTATCTAGAACTCATATTTCTTAATACTTTATATATCCCCTCTTTTAAGAATCGAATTCATTTTCTAATTATATTATATTTTAATATTACCATTTGAATACTTCAATAATTTAATACAGACGTGCCCTAAGAATGTATTATAATAAAATACCTCATTCTTCAATAATGATTATATAGATACATTTTGCTTCATTAAAAGCACAATAATTAAATTACTATTTCTTTATACTTTATTTTTGAAACCATAATATTTGAATCATTAATAATATATATTTTTATGAAAATATACGAATTTTAGATGCTCGGTTGATTCAGAAGAATTTTAACTTAAACTTTAACATAAACTCAACCTAAAATTAATGTTATCTTACAAATTCTATGTTTGAAGACTACTTAAAAATGTTCTCCATAATAATTACAGTACGATAACTTAAATTTAAATATGGTAACAATCAGAAACTTAAAAAATATTAAGGATTGTTATTAAAAATTGATTAATTATTTATACTACATCATCTCAAATTAAGTATTATTAAATGAACTAACTTCATTAAAAGAATAATTATTTTAATTTACCAAAATAGTAAGGATAATTTTAATATTAGACTGAGTAATTTAATAATGAATAACTATTATTAGGAAATAGATGCAGATTAAAAAGATTACTGAGGAGATGTCAGGCATAAGTAACGTAATCCATCGAAAGTGATGTGGCTATTAAGGATGCCATTCCTAAGCAAGAGATTAGGATATTTCACAACAGAAATAGATGACTTAGATATGAATTTATATTAATAATTTGTCTAATCATAAATAAATTAAATACTCAACTGGAAGTTTGTTATTCAACTCTATTTAAATAAAAATGCCTTATAAATATTAAAAGACGATAAAATAAGATTTTTGTTTATTAAAAATTTAATTAATTGACATTGTTAAAAAAAATGGGAACATGTGCTTAATGCAATTCAAAGATAGAAATTGTAGAGAGCGACCCTTTGATTTCTAAACAAAGTGTATTTTATAAATTAAAAGAATTGAACCAAAATACAAAATCAACAATTTTTCTGACAATGAGAAGCAATAAGAAAATTGATAATGAAAATTTGGGTGATCAATCTTTCTAAGTTAGTGAAGTAAATGATGAACAATCAGATGTTAAGAATATACATGGGAGTGTGAAATTACGACAGAGAACATATAGTTTTCAAGAATAACAAATCTAGTAGGTTCATTTCCAACTCAACGATCAAAATGATTCTGCCAAGGTTAGGTGTTTCAGATTTACAGATCCTAATATCCCAAGAAATTTATCAAATTCCTCCAGTTCCAATAGTCAGTTTAAAGAATTCAATGCACATTTCAAAAAAAGTGACAAATAAATTATTGAATCTGATGAAAGCAAATCAATAAAAAGTATACTCAAAAAAGAGCCAAGACAAAAGAGTGAAACCAAATCAGTCCGTTTTGCTAAAAATATCTCCACTAGTCAAACAAGGATAAAATCTAAATCATGTCATCACAAATAACATAAAAAGAAAAAGAAAATTTTAAATTAAATTCAAAGATATGAAAATTATTAATTTTGAATAAGTATCACTTCTTTGATTTGCTACTCCTGTTTTATCCTCACTTTAGGATTAATTCCAAGAATGTATCTCAATTTTACATTTTTAATTTATAAAGTATTTAAATATTATCAAAAAATTATTCCTTAAATTTTTATAGAATATATCATTTTTTCAAATTATATTGTTTCTATGTATCCTGAGCTAAAATTTCCTGATGTCTACTTATTATTTTTGAAAAATAACCTTCCTAAAATTCAATTATATCTATTGGCTTTATCATCCCTACCTCAATTTTAATCACTTTATTCCCACATCCTTTATTGCTTTGTGACCTGACTCGAATTTTCAACAAGCAGGAATGAATTTCATGAAAGACAGAAATAAATCATGAAATTCTCATTTTAAACTAATAATTTACATAGACCAATGTCAAATGCCATAATTTAAACTTATTATATATATAAATATAAATATATCACCTCATATTCGTATAGTCTCATAGAATCATTATTTTAATTATTAAGATACTACTTTTAGCAGTAAACAGAATTTTGGATAAAGGTGATACATTATTGATATATTTTTTAACTATAAGAGGATTTTTCTAAATTGATTGTGAATATCTGTTTAGAAGAATTTATAATAATAGTTGATTCTTTAATTATTTATTACTAAATTAATTTAATTTATCGTTAAATGTTTGTTTGTTGTGGTAAGAAGAAGAAGGATCGTAAGCATTTATCCTTAGGAAATCTAAATTAGTTAAATTTAATTTGTTAAGATGGTCTTTATTTCGATAGGAATTTGAAGATAATAACAGAATATAATAAAACTAATGTATATTGATTGTTTATGTGTAGGTAAGTGAAATAGGGAATAAAGAATGCAAGTATTACTGTCCAATCTGCTTCAAATATTATGATTGTATGGATAATAGATTAAGTTAGGTATGTTACGATCAACCTGCTGTTCGAATTATGTTTGTCATATCTGTGCGGTGTAATCTTTAACAAATAAAATGTATAATTGTCATTACTGCCGGAATGAGCATTGCAAGTACGTGGATGTAGATCCAAATCAATAGTTAAAAGTATATACAGATTCACACTATAAATTATGAAACACTTATATAATAATAATTAATATAAATGAACCAAAATAAAATTTTAATATGTTATGATATGTATCTAATGTATTAATCATTCATCAATGGATTTTGAGGCATAATTGATTTCACAATTATAGATTGTTTATAATTCCTTATTGCTGAGGGTATCGATAGAGTTTAATTGTTGATAGAATCTAAAAATATAATATGAAGCTTATACGAGTCTTATGATTTGGAATCCTTGATAGCAATTTTTCCTAATTATTTGAACTTGTTTTAAAGAATTCCAGCTAAATCGCAATGAGTGTTTCTAGCATGACCAGAGGGGAACATAACGAATTGACTATCCAAATTCTTGCCATCTTTCAACAAGATTTGAACTCTTGTTGGAATACCTTCGGGATATTTATCATCATATTCTTTTCCACCATGTTCGAACTCTGTTAAGGCCATGAGTTTCTAAGAATATAAAATTAATAATATACTCTTGTGTCCTAATTTCTAACAGCTGCATGACTGTAATCAAATGGTGAAAGGAAGAGAGCTTTCCAAATTTCATTCAAATCATTGGTACTTGATAAGAGTTAATGGAATGATTTTTCAGTGAATGCCTTTCTCAACATAGTTCCCAAGATGTAAACCATTGAGTGATCAGCAGATTGTCTTGTGTGAGGATCTCTTTTGGCTGGGTCTCCAATAATTCCGAAAGCTGGTTCATAAGCAGTGACTTTAATTTTATCAATGGAATCAATTGAGTAATTTTAGACAAATTTGGTGTCCAAAATAAGCTTTTACAATCCTTCCAAAGCACCAGCAGATTGATGTTCATACAAACCTAATTTGAAATGCATTCCCATCACAGCGTAATCATCTCCACTTAATGAGAGGGTAATATCAAAAGGACTGTCTCCCTTAGTCTTTTAGAACAATCTGAAAATGGCTTCTGGGTTACGGAAGATATCAGCTGGACCAACAAATCCATTCATTGATCTCTACAAACATTTAATGGCTGCTTCAGTAGAAATGGCAGCTGATGCACCCTTTGAATCTGATAATTGATGTCCTGCTCTGATGGCTCTGAATGGGATGTAATGAGCGACAAACATACCAATGGCTGATTCAATTTAAGCTGGAGTAGCTCCCAATAATGCTCCGTATGTGCAGATTGATGCAATAGCTCCATGAACAACGTGATCTATACAATATAAGAACAATATCAATACCAATTTTGTATGTTTTCAATGAAAATACTTCAGCTAATCTTCCTCTGATTTCATCACTCAATACCATAGCCTTAAGTGCTGTCTTTCCATCAATAGTTGCATTTTGTTAAGCAGCTGCAATAACTACTGGGTAGTAATCATTGTGACCAAATTCACCTGCTCTTCTTGCTGGACTACTAGCATCATATCCAAACACTGTGCCATTTGAATCCCATTCTCTGACAGCTGCAGAGTTGGCTACGATGGCATTTGTGGCTGGCACCCATAAGTTGCTTCCGAAAACTTTGGCAAATCCAGGCTTTGGTTTTGTGGCTGCTCCAGTCTTGGCTGCCAATGATTTGGCTTCTTAACTAATATGTTTATTGAAATAGTCATACGCTAAAATAGTTGGGGCATTTGTCTTCAAAGCTAAAGCACTAACACCACAGAAAACTGAATCTGTGTGGAAGAGTTTACATCTCTCAAGGACTTTCTTACTTGGATTACCATTCTTCATGAATTCTATGGCGTACTCTCCCAACTCTCTTGCTTGATTCTTGTTGGCTTTTAAGACGACTTGACTGAAGGCACGGCTGATTGTTTGGGTTAACATAAATATCTTTTTTATTTACTGCAAATTAAACTCACTCTCAATTAATATACCGCATCAATATGATGAAATTTAATATGACAATTATTCATATTGATCAATTTATTTACGCAATACGCCATAATTAATTTTTATATGAAGCATTATGTGAAAAATCTTGTTCCCCAAATTCTCTTCATTTATATCCATAAATCTTACTCTTTCTACATGACTAACACGTAAATTATGATGTGCAGTAATAGTTAAATCAATAAAATACGTATATATATATTAATAATCAGACAATCAGAAACTCATAAAAATCTAATACTACTATTGAGTCATTGTTAAATATGTGTAATTTATAAGCATATAGACCATTTACTAAAGACTAATTAAGCCACTTATATATTGATAAAATAGAACTACTCAAAGGGATATTTTGATTATAAAATTAACTACTTTTTTTCCACACCTTTTTCATTGATTGAATCTTAGGACTTCATTTTTCTCAATTTATATCAATTTCCTCATCATGTTGATTATAAAAATAAACTACCTCCTTAAAATGCTCCAATATCATAATAATTGAATAAAAAATAGAATTATCGGTGATCAAATTATTCTCTTCATTTAGATTACTTCAAAAATCATTAGGCGTTAACTCTTCTGATTACTATGCTCTTGAATATTTAAATTTCATTATTTTCTAAAATAGAATATTATATAGTTACATCTGTATCTTCTCAAAAATTCAAGAAGGCATTCATAATTATCCCTTACTATGCAGTTCTTGTTGTATATTTGTAACTTGTTATTCGTATACCAATTAAATAACCTCTTCACTTTTTCTATTATAAAATATTGACAGATACGTTGTTGTAATTTTTCTCTATATCGTAGACTGAATGATCAAGCTTATCATTAATTGAATTGAGAGGACATTCAATACTTAAAGTCCAAAAGTACGTCTTTGTTGATTCCATAAATAGTATTAGAGGAGTCAATGGAAATTAGAAAGATGGTGGGTTTCTCCAACTAATTAGTAGAACTCTATTACGTTGAAGGAGATCTAAAGATGAGTATTTTGAATTTTAGAAGTGTATAGTATAAAATTAAAATTTTAATATTTTCCACCAAAATCTCAGGGATATGTTGATTCTTTGTTTTCTGATAGGATTATGTTCTAAGGGGTTGACGAAGGAGTTTTCAATGTATTAGAATGATGAATAGGTGCTTGATAGTTTTTCTTAATTTGGAATAATTTTGGGATCAAATATAACCTATGAAAGTGCAACAGATTAACCCTGCTACATAATAAATTAAAAGTTAAAGAATAAGCAATCAGAAGAAATCATTCTAGTACCCTAATTTAAGGAGGATGCCTTTAGCAATTTTTACAATGATGGATAATTAAATGGGGATATAAATTTTATAGTATAAATTGTACAAATTTCGACAGGGGCAATAGTATTGACTAATCAAGGAGAGTTGATTTATTTAAAATTAGTAGAGAATCGGTTTAAATTAGTTGAATCAAAGATGTTATCTATTAATAATGAACAATTCCTCAAACCTGTGTATATGTAATACATCTATAAATCGAATGAATTGTTGATAATCCTGAATGGCGAAACCTTGAAGATAAGAATGGAACAAGAAGGTGAATCTATATTTGGTGAGATTCTGAAGATCTACGATGTTTTTTTAACAGATCAGATAAGGAGCGTGGCATTTATAGAGGACCTCTTATTTGTGGCATCAGGAGAATAGGGATTGCATGTTTATTTGGTGAGTAAGAGAGTGTTTGAGTAGATACAATGTACGATCGAATTCAGAAACATCACAGATTTAAGAGTGTTTTAGGAGAATTCAATTTACTTTATTTTTGCCCTTGATTACGAGAAAGGCATAAAGGTGATCACTTTCAATGGCAAAACCTCATTGTTTTACGAAAATAAAAAATTAACTAATATTCCATTTCGAGGAGAGATAATTGATTTATACTAAGATGTCTTAATGGTTGTGGAGGAATAGGAAAATGAATCAATAATTCATGAGTTGCAAATTTCATATGTGAACAACACTTGGAAATTGGTGCATTAGCATTAAGCATAGAAATACATTCAGGATATTGAAATGACAGAGAATTATGCGATAATTATAGGGAGAAATGGACATGAAATAATCTACCATTCTCTGCCTTCTTATGATATTAAAATTTAGGATAAGATCATCATACCTGGATTACAGAAGCTTTTCTTTCTCAATCAGACGGAGTCCAATAACATTCAGATGTTTGGAGTTACGAAGCATAAGTTCTTCACTACAAGACTCCAATTGTTTCCTCAATTCATTAGTTGTTTCTATAGCAAAGAAGAAGATGAGATCAGGTTTACCTACCATCAGAACTCAACGAAATGTCCTGGTTCATCTAAAAGTAGACTTTGCCATTTCAAATAAAACTACACAATACAATTCGTTCATCCTGTTCTTACTTCTGAATAATCAATTTATGTGTATATTACCTGTTTGGGTATTGTGGCAATCTTTGTACTGGTCTTGGGCTTACTGATTAAAGAATTCAAGAGGTACTAATATTTTGTAAGACTTCACAACTCAAAAGAGTTATACCATCAATAAAGTGGTAGTCAAGCACAACCTACTCATGACATCTACGCTTTAAACTCATTTGATAGTCCATTGAAAGTGAACAAGCATACTTATGTACCTTCCATTCCTGTATAAAATGACTAAAAGATTGAATGAAAATATAAAATTAAATAATTTTAATTGTATGCTCATCATTCTTCAACTCTTGGTTTATGCAGTCTAATCTGAACCTCTCTAGATTCTAACCAAGCAAGAAGCAATCTTAGATGTCTTCAGTCCATCTGAAGTAATCCTTGAACAATATTTGAATGATTCAAAATTATGCCAAATTGTCCCATAGTAATTGGTGGCTCACGATATTGATGATAATTCAATAACCTTGATTGACAGCTACAAGGATGAAATATTTAGTTAGAACTTTGAGATTGGCTCCTTTATTGGGAGTATAGGAAGAATTATTAAATTTGTGTAAATCACCAATGGTGTACTGGTGTTACTAGACGATGCAGAGTTGAAATATTTAAGTTATCGCAATAACTCATTTCAAGTGAAATCCACCTTCAAAATAGAAATTGAGAAATTTGCATTGGAAGGCAAGGTATTCTTGGAATATTTCTATTACCAATCGTAAGTGCTATTGATAGCCAATACCTAAACCATAGCTTTGGATTTGATTTATGACGATGATGATCTGTACATTAAGTAATACAGAGTTTATGAGCAATGGCAAATCTCACACATCAATAGCATGGCAACAGTAGGTAATATTATGATTGTAGCCATGGATACTGGGATAAAGATGTTTGAATTGAAAGATCATATGTTGAATGAGATATTAATTGCAATCGACTAGATTAATCGGGTGTCTGATATCAAGATCTTCAATCAAAAGAATAATGAGATATACTACATTTATTTGTTAGACAAAATCTAAGGAATTAATCAATATATATTTAATACGGTTACATAGGAACTTTAATGTAACTTTAGGTTGGGGATTATACCTTATCCAGGAGAAATTCTTGACATTCACGGCGAGATCTTAATGGTTGTGAAGGACTACAATTTATTTGAAATCCATGTTGATTATTATTTGAGTCAATTCACACTTTTTAAATAGCACTAGTTAGAAACAGAAATAGTAGACATAGAATTGACTGAATAATTTGCAATTGTAATTGGTAAGAATGGCCATCAAATAGTGTTTCACTCGATTCCACCCATTTATTCTTAATTTGAATGGATGAATCAATTAGTTATACCGAATTTGAAACAATTGAGCATATTGTCCTTTAATTAAGGTTCTTAACTCAAAGAGCCACTTTCTAAGAACATCATCATTGGAATCACACAACATAAATTCTTTTATTCTAAGGTGCAATTGGTAAGCATCTCATTTATTATCTATTAGGAACAATCTTTCATATAATGTTACTCAGATGAAGCCACATCCGAAATTGAATTGCAATATACTCATAAGGCCACCAAATGTAGAACCAATTTGAAAAAGAAGGAATGCAATTTAGCTAAAAGTTATACAATCTAATTTGTAGAACCTAAACAGTTTGGAGGAAACAAAAAAACTTATATTCTAATTGTATTGCTTTACTTGGCAATTTTGTTACTATTTCTTTTATTTATCGGTTCCCTAATTTATCTCTATAAGAAGTACCAGGTTGAACCCCAGGCACAATTCCACCAAAATATGCCTGAAACAACTGTTTAACATTTGGGGACTGATCATCATCACAAATATTAATTGGCAACATAGAAGAAGTTGGCCCCTCACTCTAGAGATGATCAAACTCCAATTTCTGAATAGCGAGATTAGATGAGCCAGAAACTTCATAGCAATAGACCTGTTACACAAGAGAATTGTGATTAATCTCCTGGCCCTTTTGAAATCGGCTGAATAAATAATTGTATTTGTTTCTATTTAAAGAATATTTTTGTGCTATTCTAATTATAAATATATATATATATATAAATATTATATGTCAACCACGTTAAAAGCGTTAGGCGTAGAAGTCTTAAGTTTCACCAAATCTCGATAAGAAGAAGCAGTCCACACTCAGTCTTCCTTAAGAATTACTCCATTTCTTAGGATTGATTCCGAAACGTTCGATTGGAGTACGATCATTGCCAAGCCTGAACTCATCTCAATCAAAGGCAAAAAGCACGAATCTTATGTAAATGCAGAAACTATGGAGGAAGACTTATTGTAAGGCGAAGCATAATGGCCAGTATAGTATTTCAAAATTATTCAAATTAGTATGCAGAAAACTCCCTTTACTTGTTTTCCTCATCAAGTCCTTTCAGGCTGAGTCTGTTGCAGACCCTGAGTTCTTAGAAATTAGTCAACTTTATGAGGTTAATTACGATAATAAATGTGGCAGCAGTTTGTGCCTATGATTATCAATCCAGAATAGAATCCGAAGATTACGAAAGGAATAGGATTTGTACAACCCTCGAGATAGTGTGCAATACATTGTTTGGTTTAGAATGTTTGAGTTAAATAATCGTTTAAGGATTTGTGTTTGGAAAGAATACGTATTTAAAGTCATGGTGGAATATTGCTAATTTTGCGACATTCATCTCCACATGGGCAATTTTAGGCGATATTAATAGTAGCAATCAACTTGTCCATATCTTGAGAGTCATAAGAATCTTTAGAGCTCTCAGATTAATTCAAGACTCAAAAACACTAAAAAAATAATTGGATGCTTTCATTGGTAGTTTTTAAAGACTCGGACCAATTCTAGTACCCTTATTATTTGTTGTTTTGTATTACAGCATTATTGGATTGCATTTATTTATGGGAGTTACTGAATATAGATGCAGAGAAACACCAGAACCTGAGGATGGAAAATGGATAGCAGTGGAAGAGATAAAGCATTTGTGTGGGATATGGGACTGTCCAGAAGATACTTATTGTGGGTCATTGGCTGATCATGGGTTGCCCAAAGACTTGTAAGAAAACAGATATGAATAATTTGGATTTGGATTCATAAGATTTGATGACTTCTTTTACTCCTTATTTGTTGTCTTCACTTTCCTTACTATTATAGGGTGGTCAGGAACAACCTTTATGTTTTGGAGAGCCATGACAACATACGTTACTGCATTCTATTTTGTTTCATTAATTTTCATTTTGTATTTCTAATCCATTTTATTTTAGGGCTTACTTGTTATCCAATCTACTGTTGGCATCATTCTACGAATCGTTTATGGTGCTCAGTTCAATTAAATAGAATAAGAATTCAGACAATGAGCAAGAGGCTCTGGAGAATGAGATCAAGAAGAAGAAGCAATAATAGATGATGACTAGACTTCAACAATTGAACGATTAGAAGAACTAGAAAAGAGTCAAGAAGCGAAAATACGAAGTTTCACTTTATTATGAGGAAGAAGAATAAGAAAATGACATATTGGGTGAGAAATTCAAGAAGTTTCAACATTTCTCAAATCTCATAGTGAAATCCAATTTGTTTAATTATTTGAGTTGTTCAATGATTTTAATTTCGACGATTGTCATCATATCGGATCATCATTAGATTTCAGATGAAATGTATTTACTTAGTATTAATTTAGTTATCAAAATTTGTTGATTGTAGATTTCATTTGTATTGTTTATTTCATTGTGGAACTAATCATAACTATATGGGGAATAGGCATGGAATAATTTAAAGAAATAATCGATATTTTTGACTCTCTTGTCATACTATCCTAATTTATCTTAATAGTAGTACTATTTTTTTTGGATGAAAATGTCATTATCAATTATAATAATTACGTCAACTTTGTCAAGGCTTTGAAGATGCTGAGATTGGTAATCATCATTTATTCTATAAATAGATGAAATTCCTGTATATCGCAAGAATCTTCTATTCCATTAGTGTTTTGGCTCGTTGTCTAGTGCAAACCTTACTGAAAATTAAGGATTTAATTTTCCTGTTTATATTCCTGATCATCATTACTTCACTATTTGGACAAGAGTTATTAGCCTATAAAGTGAGATTCGAAGAATTACCCAATGGGGAACTTGAGATTTCACATTCAAATGAAGGAATATCTGCTCCAATCAATTATGAGGGATTTGGAAATGCTTTGATGGCAGCTACAAATGTGTTTTATAACGAAGAATGGCATATCACCATGTTTATTCATGCTTAAAAAATATGGGTTTCTATATTGTATCACATCATCTCCATTCTAATGGGTTAAGTGTTGTTTGTGAGACTGTTCCTAGCAGTTTTCTTAAATGAATTTTGTTAGCAACTAAAAAAGATTGAGTAAGAAATAAAGCCAATCAATTTCCTATTGCATGGTAAAAAGGTTTTCAATTTTATCGTTCAATTCATTAAAAAAAGAAGAAGATCCAAAATACATTCTCAAGCTCAATTGTAACAATAGATCAATCCTTAGCCCAGATCATCAGCAAATCCAGCCAGAGTCTCAATGTTTCATAATTTAAATGGAATCAAATTATAAAGATTACCAGAAAGTACTCATAATGAATTGTTAGATCAAAAGGTTTAGACCCCTTCCAATATATTTTGTACATCTATGAATTTACTATTATTAGCAAACAAGGAAAGTATGATAGATCCGTTGAAGAAAGAGGATAAGCCAACCGAGAAAAATACAGACAATAAGAATCATCCTGAAGATGATCACATTCAAGATCATAATATCGAGGATCATTAGCATGAAGAGGATGTCGATCATGACTCTAGTTAGGATGAACATCTAAAATCCCCAGATGAACCTTCTCATCCAGTTTAAGGTAAAATAATAAACAAAAGAATCCAATAAAAGTCTGTAAGGAAGACTAATTCCGAAAGAACTCTATTCATATTTGCTCCTGAATCAGACTTTAGACAATTAGTCACTACTCTCGTAACTAATATCTACTTCAGGATATTTAATTTTACACTGATTCTTTTGACTTGCATTAGAATTGCATTGTTGAGTCCACTTGAAGATCCAAACTCCGATCTCTCTTATGTTCTACAAATAGGGTACATCTTTTTAACAGTGTTTTATATTTTGGTTATCTTGCTTAATTGCATCGCTTTTGGATTATACAAAACTGAGAAGTCCTTCTTTAGATAATCAGTGTACAATATTTTCTCATTTGCAATCACGATAGTCGACTTAATAACTTTGATTTTTGACATCTCACACCCATTAAGTAAATTCATTACTTCTCTGAGAATTCTCTAATTTATTCAGATCGGAGCTGTGTTCTCTTAGAATATAGCATATGCATAGGCATCCTTGTTGAATGCATTCACTCAAATGATTTAATTAGCAATTTTCTGCATAATTATATTGTCGATCTACGGGATATTTGCCCTTAAAATGTTGAAAGGAACAATGTATTATTGTGATGCGTACGATGCTGAGAATAAGGAACATATAAAAACATCGACGGATTGCTATGATTACGGGGGATCATGGATAAATCAGATATTGACATTTGACACTATATTTTCAAGCATTTTGACTTTGTTCTGCGTGGCAACATCTGAGAATTGGATACCTCTCTAAATTTAAGCTTGGAATGCTGTAGGGATTGATAGACAACCCATATCAAGCAACAACAGAACGTTTTCAGTTTACTTTTAGATATTTTTCTTTTTGGGTTTCTTGTGCTTATTAAATATGTTTATTGGGTTGATTGTTAATGCTTATTAGGAGGCTAAGATGAAGGCTTAGAACTTGCATTTATTGGACGAAACTCAGAGAGAGTGGTTTTAGATAAAAATGCAAATTTACACCATGAAGCCATTGGTTAAGTCTAAGAAGCCAGAGAATCCATTGAGGAAACTTCTATTTTTTATGGTCAAGCAAAAGTACTTTAAGATTTTTTGGTTGGTAATCATATTTAGTAACACACTTGTATTGGCACTTCATTTTTAAAGAGCAGATGAAAATTACATAAATGCTTTGGATGTCATCAATGATATATTTGTGTCTATTTTTGCTTTTGAAATTTTGTGTAGATTCTTTGCTAAAGAAAAGCATTTATATTTCAAAGATATCTCTAACATTGTCGATATCATAGCTATTTGGTGGGCAATTGCAAATCTGTTCATTAAAAATAAGGATGATTACAACTTCTACTTTAAACGAATATCAAATGCAATATCTGTGGCATATCAATTACAACGAAATTATCGTATAGTGAAAAGATTCAATAATTTAGAAAAGCTATTTTCGTCCATCTTCTCAGTGATTCCCAATGCCTTATCGATGCTGTTCATAATGTTTATATTTCTATTCATTTACACCACCTTGGGAATCGATATGTTCGCATTTATTCGCACATAGACAAGTTTGAATGGATGGGATTAGCATTTTCGTAAATTCTCAACTGCGATGTTTGCTTTGATTAAAGTAGCTAGTTCAGAAAGTTGGTGGACAATAATGATTGATACTCTGCATGAGTAATCTCCAAATTACGCTTGCAATTACATGTCAACATATGAAGATTTCTTAGTTTATGGTTTCAATGGGTGTGGTACTCCATACGCCTATCTATACTTTATCTCTTTCCACATAATCTTCTCATTGATGATTTTGAATCTCCTTATAGCCTCTGTGTTGGTAGCTTATGAGGAACATGTAAAGAGCGAAGAATCAGCAGTCAGTAAATATTAGTTAAATGATGTGCTCTCGTTGTGGAGAAACTATGATCCTGAAGGCAAAGGGTTCATCAATTATAAAGACTTTTGGAAACTGTCATCCGAAATAGCCATTATATTTGGAGTAGCTCAAGATGATCTATTGGACGTGAATAATAAGAAAAACTTTTTGAAGGTGTTGAACATCCCCATTTATGAATCAAAGGAATCCAACATGTTATGTTACAAATTTCATGATGTCATTTTATCACTGACCAAAATTTCAGTCACTCTTAAGTATGGAGTCACAAAGTAATTATTATGTGTATATCTACTATAGTCTCGAACCAACTGATAAGATCATATAATAGAAGTTGTTGGCTCAATTGGGGGATTTGCAACGCAAGGATCTTATGAATTAATTTACTCCTACCAGTTTTAACAGTGGTGACATGGTTGCCATTATTTACATCCAAAAGAAATTTAGACTCTGGAAAAAGAGAGTGTAGGTATTGAGAGAAGGCGGAGATGTTAAAGCTATTTACAATGAAATGTCAGATCTTAAGAATATGATTAAGAAGTAGCTGGAACTTGAAGAATAACAGGAAAAGTAAAACTGAATTTATTGATTTTATTTTTATTGTTTGTTATAATAATTTAAATGGCTGAGGATATCGATTAGAAATTACTTTAGAGATTTGAAATCATTCAAAAAATTAGGAAGGTCTCAGGAGGAGTCATTTGGAAAGCAATAGATAGGAAAACTAATAGTGTATTTGAATTCATTGAAATATTGTTAGTCGCTATTAAAAAGATCGATTATTCAGCTAATCCTTTACACCTTTTGAAATCAATGAGGGAAACAGTCATTCTGCAGGAGATTTCAAAACATCCGAACATTATGAAGGTGCTCCAAGTCATTAATAAGGGCAACGATCAATATACTATTTATGACTTTGTAGATATGGATTTGATTTCCTTAATCAAAGTCAAGATACTCCAACCAGTATTAAATTCATCACATTCTAATAGAAACACATACAAATAATTTTATGCAATATTGTAACTGCTCTTTACTTTATTCACTCTGGAGGACTGGTCCATCTGAGTTTGACCCCATCTAAAATATTGGTTGATTCTGAATGCCAAATCAAATTGATAGGTTTCGGATTCTCTCAATTGCTACCAATTAAGGATCCAAAATACACCTGTTTGCATTATCTTCCACCAGAGATCCTATTGTAAGGGAAAGTCAACACATCAGCAGATATCTGGTCATTGGGCTGCATTTTTGGAGAGATGTTGTGTCATCATCCATTATTTGTAGGCAATTCCACTTTCAATTAAATCGAAAAGATAGTTGAGCTTATTGGAAAACCTAATGATACCAATCTGAGCGAATTAGCACCTTATGTTCTCCAAGGCATATAGCCAGATAGAAAGAAGGCCTTCACAAGCATAAGTGATGATTCAACTGCTGTTGATTTATTAAAGAGAATGCTTGTTTTTGAACCTCAAGAAAGAATCACTCTAATTGATATTTTAAAGCATCCTTATCTTAGCGAATTCGCCAATAAATGTGAATTAAAGAAAGCCATTGCTCCCTTTTAAATCGAGGAGAATTCCTTCAAAGAATTTCAGAATGTTTTACGAGAAAGAGGAAAAAAGGTCGAGTAGCCTTCTATTAATAATTCCTTCAATCAATAATTGGATACTAGCAGAAAGAAATCATTTAGAGAATCCACTCCCATTTCTGCATTGAAATAGAAGACGTCAACTAAGATCAAAGTGAATTCGCCCATCCAAAGTCCTAAAATATAGAAGTTATATTAAATTGATGAGAAATAGAGATGAAACTAGTTATATTCATTCACATTAGTCTGCAATTTATATTGTACTTATATTATATAATATCAATCTGTATGTTAAGATCCCTTTGTGGCACCAACACCTGGCTTTCCATGTCTTGTTGGTTTATATGTCAATGAAAATTCACCCAAATATCTATACGTTTGCATCTCAATATTACCTGCCAATCATGTCAAACTTAATTTCGACATTGCTGAATTATCTACCATTATACACACCTACGATTGAGCCAACCATTTCTGGGACAACAATTGTATTTCTTTAATGAGTCTTTACTGGTTTTGGCTTCTCTCCTGGTAAGGTCTCCTTCTTGGATTTACGAATCTACATATATTTATGGTATTCTCTACTTTCTTCATTAAGTTTTGGAAAGCGTGAACTTTCTCACCTTAATTAGAAATTCTTCTTCTTTGTCTTGCTCTGAATTATTCAACCAATTTATCCATGGGCAATTTAACAAGCTCTTCGAGTTATAATCCTCTGTAGGTGAACTTTTTAACACCCTTGAATTATTTATCTTATGTTTATTCAGCCATTATTTGAAAAATGAAAATTAAAGATTTTAATATAATCTAAAATAAATAATTATAAATAAAATACCTAACCTTAAATAATCAAATCAATCCCTCATTAATTCATTTCAATCAACATCCCTTGACATCTCAATCATGAACTCTCCCAATTACACAAATTCTTACCTATAATTGTTGTGAATACAAAATGATACGAAGGATTGAATTCTCATTGTATCACTCTACGATAATATTATTAGAGATTGTATATCAATATATTAGATAAGAATATGGAATTCCATAGAACAAATATGATTGATAAATGTGTTCATTTTGACTGAACAGGTTTCTCTTCAAAAACTCAAAAATGAAGGAAAATCTTACTCTTTAATTTAGATTTCCTCTTTAAATTCTCCTCATTTAGATTAAAAATTATCTTTTACAAATCTCATAACATGCAATAAGTAGTATTTAAGCTTAGAAAAATATTTAAAAATCTTAGCATTTATAAAATATTGAAATACTCTCAAACTATTTGTGTTCCTAGGTAACAAGTTGATTAAGTTTGGCACAAATTACATTATGAAAAAATAATATACCCAATTACTCTTTAAAGATTAATGAGTATTATTCAATTAATATAAGAAAATTGCGACAATGTTTAAGAATATTCTCTAAAATTATTAATTTTGAAAAAGAAGAAAATGTTGATATATAACAAGTTAAAAATAAAGAGAAATGCCACAATTTGTTTTGTAAAAATTATATTATGAAGTTGATTCTTATTACCTATGAATTAGAGGAATATTGCTTTTGATTAAATCAATAGAGAAATGATTTGTTATTTTTGATGATGTCATCATGAACATTTTTCTTGATATATGATTCATTATAGATAATTAATTTATATTTCAAATGGAAAAAGCTATTCTAACATTGGGCCTTGCATTGCTGCTGGGCACTCTATACAATTTGGATTATTCTCCTTCTCTTGATTTAAAGTAGAAGTATAATGATTATAAATTGACTTACAATAAAGAATACACTGCTGCAGAAGATTAATATAGATTTTAAGTTTACTTGTAAACCTTAGAAGAAATCGCACTCAAGAATGCCAGATTGGGGAGATAAGTCTATGGTGAAACCTAATTTGCTGATATAACTGATGAAGAATTCAGAGAACAATATTTGACATTAAAATATTCCCCAGAAGAGTATGCAAATGTACCAAGAGAGTCATTCTCCCATATTACAGCTGATCCAAAAGAAGTTGATTGGAGAAATCACGGAGCAGTTACCCCAGTCAAGAATCAACTTAAGTGCGGATCATGTTGGACATTCAGTACAACTGGAGTTTTGGAAGGATTTTTCAAAGTTACCACAGGTGAATTGCCTTCATTATCTGAATAATAATTGATAGATTGTTCAACCACAGTCGACTTAAACTTCGGTTGTAATGGTGGTATGCCATAAAGAGCATTGAATTTCGTTAAAAGAAATGGTTTGACAACAGAAGAAGGATACCCATATGTACTTTATGATTTAAATCATTATAGTAAGGAGTATAAGGAGAAGAGTGTCTTATGAAAGGAGGAGTATATAAAGTCAAAGGATCTTAAGTATTAGATATATCAGAGTGGGCATTGTATCAAGCATTGTAAATTCAACCAGTGTCTATTGGTGTTGATGCAGGAGGATGGAAGAATTATAAGCCAGCTGAAAGAGAGGTGTTTAATTTTGAAGAATGTGGAGATAATTTAAATCATGCAGTCTTGGCTGTTGGTTTTACTCCAACTGCAACAATAGTAAAGAATTCTTGGGCTAGCACATGGGGTTCTTCAGGTTACATTTATCTTGAAAGAGGTAAAAATACTTGTGGACTTTGGAATACCATGGTTGTTCCAATTTGATTAATATTATATAATAATCATTGATTTCCAATCCTTTATTGTCATAGAAATGTCTTTAGACACTCTTTTGATATTAATAATTATATAATGAATCAGATTAATCCAGATTAAATCTTATCATCAGAGGAGATCAAGGCAGCGAAGGATGCCTTTGAGGCATATGATAAAATGGGCTATGGAACGTTGGAAGTTGAAGAGTTGCAAAAAATACTTGAAGAATTTGGACATAAGCCAAGTAAAGAGGAGTTATAATAAATGATTATTTAAGTTGATGTGAAGAATAAAGGATTTATTGGTAAAAGTGTTAAGTATGATTGAGACTTTGAGGATTTCAAAAGAGCGATAGCAATTTACAAGATCATAGAAGAGGATAACGAAGAAGATGACACATGTAAGTTAACTATAATATTTGATAAGTGGATGCTTTTGTGGCTATGGGAGGGAATGCTGATAAAAGTGGGACTGTGGATGCAACAAAATTGATACAAGTAAGGATTACTATTATTTAGATTATTAAATCTGATTTTAAGATGACAATTGATATTGAAGTAAAGTTGCATAAATATCTACTTAGAGATTGATTAATGAAATGGATCGTGACAAATCAGGTTAGATATCATATTAAGAATTTAAAAACCTACTCTCTGATTGAAAGATGAAGAATATTATATATATATATACATTATGTTTGAGATTTGACTCATATATTTTCTTGATAATTGTATTTAAGAAATAATTATTTGTTTGTTAATTTAACGATGTCGAAGTGGTTAGATCTGGGTTTGACTTGTACACAAATTAGTTTCAAGACACAACAATCTGTTTCATGTATTTTCACATTCATCAATCCAAGATAGTCCTATGAATTGTGTCTTCGAACTTGATGGACGCAAATTGTATCTAGGAAATATCAATGCTGCAAATGACTCCTCGTATCTAAGAAAACATGATGTTGGTGCTGTATTGTCTGTCATAGACACCAGTGATATCAAATTGGAAAAGTCAGTTATTCATCTAGTAATTAAATTCATTATCATTTTAGTGGATAGCAGCCGAAGATTGTGAAAAAGTTCAACTAATAAGATACTTTGATTAGGCCTCTAATTTTATACAAGATAATCTTAGACATACAAATGTGTTAGTTCATTGCTATGCTGGCATATCAAGATCTAGTTCATTGATTATTGCCTACCTACTCAAATGCTAAGGTTATTCATTAAAAGAAGCATTAACCAAATTGAAATGCTAGAGACCTTAAGTTGATCCAAATGATGGGTTTTTGGAACAATTAAAATAATATGAAGAAAAACTGAAACAAAGCAAAACTCGTCCCAATTCTAGTCTAAATAAAAGTGATAGCAAATATTTAAGTTTGAGCTCGAGTGTTGAAAAATAATCTTCACTCCCAAAAACTAGATAGAGCATTTCAAACTTCAATATTTATAGTAATCTTAATTCTTCAGTGACTAAAACTAATATTAGAAATCTTTAATTAACTACAACTGCGGTTCCCAAAGTAAAATCAAGCTTTTTAGAAAAAAGTTGTAGTCCATCTAATATCAACACATAAAATAGCTCAGGAAAGACATTCTTTTCGAATTCGAAACTTGAAGATCCTTGGAAACAATACTAAAAAATAAAAAATTAAGAAACTTCATGGAATAAATCAATTTTAGGAATGAAAAATATTTATAGCAATCACAGCAGATAGCATTCTTTAAACCAATGAAATTGATTATTTTTATAAAAAAGAGTTTACTAAATATCAATTCTAATTATTATCTGCTTCTGAAATTTTAATGCTTAGAATAATGTTGAATATTGACTTCTAAGTATTTATTTCTCTATAGCCAATCATGAATTTATTGAATGATGGCCGGTCCTTATTTGAAAACTGAATTATTTTATAATATTTAAAATCAAATTACATTTATGTAAACAGCAAGTTTAATTGATGCTAATACATGAGTGTGTAAATAAGCTATTTGATAAAATTTTCAACTCAGCTAACATTTTTTTATATGTGATTTAAAATTTTTTAAAATCATATTTATTCTAAATCTTTTTCCTCTTTTAATTAAATTATAGAAAGAAAGAAATTATTAATTATTTAATTTCAATTATAAATACTAGATCTACATTACTTATGTCAAACTTCTTATGAAACTAATTTATTGCTTACTCATTTTCTTGTTTGCTTATCCATTTTTCTTCTTTATAAATAATATTATTTATTTATTTGGAGTATTAAGTTAATATTTAAATTTTTACATTATCCTCATTTATTAACACCATTTTTATATATTCTATAATTTGGACGGATTTAACAAATTAAATAATCAGAATTCAGATCCTTGATTTAAAAATATTTCTATTTTTTCATTATATTTACTTCTATTTTCGCAGAGAAATTATTCTTTCAGGTTTTTCAAACTTAGCATCCAATTTATTTAATCATCTTCCTATTCCTATTGTTAATAAACATTGTGATTAAATTTTAGCCACTCAAATAATTACATAAAAATGCGGTTGATACAGTTTAATTGGATCAGAGATATAGAATTATATGAAGTGATTTGAACATTTGTAATGGACATTCATAATACATTTGAATATTGAATATAAAATAATCTAAGGGATTGTTGATGTAGTATATTAATGGATTAAAACTAATACTATTCTCAATAAAAATGATCATCTCATTTTAAATTTTGATAGTCAGTCGTGATGTTGAAATTTATGATCAAGAAAATACTTCCATTGTAGTAATTCATCTGTTATTTCTTAAATACTTCCTTTTCTTGACTTTCTTTTATCTTTAGCTTTGTTTAAGTGTGTTGCTTGTCCAGACTACATAATTTTTGGTAACTTAAGCGGACTCTGCTCTTCTTCGACTGGACTATTGTCACCACTCAAAATAAATTTGTTTATGGCTTTAAATGGAAATACTTGCATGTTAAAATAATATTCCAAAAGTAAAAATAGCAATTAAAATGAATAACTTAAATTTTGTTATCCATTTGAATAAAAATTACGAGAATTGATCAAAATTATAAAAATGATTTTAAAAAATCCCAAATAAAATATTTTAATGTATTAATATATAAATTCATTTGAATTCTTTTAGAAACATTATAAAATAAATTTTTTTGCAAATCTATTCGTTCTTTGTAATTGCGATAACTATTCCACTTTTCCCTAGTCTACCAAGGAGACCTTGATTAACCTAAATAATTAACAGGTTTCCATTGTAAATTAATCTACTCACATATATTCTTGGATTGCTGCTCATTTCAACTTAGTAATACTATAAAATTTGGATAGGATACATCTGTATAAATATTAAATATGTTTTACTTTATTATAAGCGATTTATAAATTAATAAACAATAGCTGAAATGCGATGCCAGATAAAATGTATTTTCATCATCAATCTATTTTAAGAGTCGAATAACTATTATTGAGTTCTGAAGAAAATGAAAATGAAACTTCAATAACATAGAATTGCTGCTCTTCCTCTGGCACTCCTACTATTACTGGTAGGAATTTAACTTTAAGAATGTAGAATAATAATCTTCACAATAATCAACACTCCTCTTGGCAAGAATATATATATGTATAGTTAAATTGTGACACTCATAATTTTACTAATTTTTATATTAATTTTTAATATTATTATTAATGTTTTCTTTCATCAGACAGGTGGCTTTATCCCTGAAACAGACTATCTAACAGTTGAACCCGATGTTTTCACAACTGATTTGGTGACTGTTGTGGACGAAGTCACAATCTATATTAAAAACAATTGTAATACCTTCTGTTTCTTCAAAGCCTCTAATTCTATTTCAGCATTCATTAATTTCTCTTGAGTTTCATTATAATCATGATTAATTTCTTAAAACTTTCTCTTCCATACTTCTGCTTCATTGTTGACTTCAGTAATTCTTTATGTCACTGTTTCGCTTTGAGTTTGTTGAATCAATAATCTCAGCCTTTCATTTTCTTATTCCAATTCATGAACCTACATTCGATAAAGATGCTAATACTCTTGTATTGTCCATTTCCTTAACAACTTCAACAGTCTTTTTCTTTTCCAATTCGGCAATCAATTTTTGTAAATACAGCACTTCATCTCTCCAGGGAGCCTCAATTTCTTCCCTGGACACAACTCCCAATCTCACTACTGCCTATTATTAAGGTGGACAGCAAGATTAAGCATTTGATCCGCACTATATATTTGAAGCACAACCTCCAAGTTGTATTGATTACCCAGGATTGAATGATGTTTACATTTGATAATGTGTAGAGAGCACTTTGCTTTAGTATGAATTTTGTTTGCCTTTTTTATGCCAAAATTAATAAGCCTCTGGTCTTTCTGATTTCAAGTAGGTTGTCGTCTAGATCTAATTATATAAATTTACATATTGAGTTTAAGGAAGAGTAACTTACTTTCTTTCCTAAACAGTGGATTCTTAACGAATTGTTGTAAAATTACTCATATCTTTAAAATATAAATTCTATAATTAAATATGAATATAGCAGAATCAGATCGAGTGTTCTGTTTAGAGTAAGTAGACAATATTGCATTAAGTCAGTATAATCATTAGATATTCTGAAACCAATAGATGTTGATAAACGAAAAATCCCAAGCAAAATACAAATGTGTCTTATTTACAAATAATGGCTTGGCAAGACTATAATTCCTAATAAAATATTAAATTTCAAGGGGAATAACAGTTAAAAATATTATTCATTATCAAATTAATAATATCTCATCTTGTGAACAAAGTAAAGGATATCTATTAATTTTAAACAGAACAAATAATTGAAAGAAATGACGAGGATAAAGAAGAAAGTCAGACGATCGCATAAATATCTCTTTATTTATGTAGATATAAAAACCTGTGTTGCAACTGATAATTTAATATCATTATGATAACTCATTTTGCTAAATTTGCTTTTAATACTTCTGCTACTTTCTGGATGAATTCTAAAGTATTCAAATATTAATCTCTTGGGACACTAAAAAATAGATCTATTGATATACTTCAATGTATTATGGACACAAATGGCCAAATCCTTAGTCATGAATCCTTTTTCGACGGCTTCAATTATACTTGCTTCAAGAGTATTGCAAAATCTTTCTAATTCTTTATTGTTATCTAATTTGGCTCTATGTAATAATCCTCTTGTCCAAGCATAGATACTGGCAATAGAATTAGTTGAAGTTTCTTTGCCTTATTAATGTAATCTGTAATGTCTTGTAACAGTTCCATGTGCAGCTTCAGCCTCAACACATCCATCTGGACTAACTAATACACTTGTCATCAAACCAAGAGATCCAAAACCTTATGCCAATGTATCAGATTGAACATCTCCATCGTAATTCTTGCAAGCCCAAACAAATCCACCTTCACTCTTGATCATATATGCAACCATATCATCAATCAATCTGTGTTCATACCAAATCTTCTTAGCATCAAAATCAGCCTTATACTTAGTATCATATAAATTTTAGAAGATGTCTTTGAATCTTCCATCATAAACTTTAAGAATAGTATTCTTGGTTGATAAATAAAGGGGATATCCTAGTTCAATTGCATGTTAGAAACAAGCATGAGCAAATGCTGTTATTGATTCATCTGTATTGTACATGGCCATAGCAACGCCTCCTGTGCCTTAGAAATCGAACACTTCAACTCTTTAAGGTTCACTTCCATCTTTTGGTGTGAATAACACTTCAAACTTTCCTTCCTTTTGGAAACGGAGATCTGTAGCCTTATATTAGTCACCAAATGCATGACGACCAATAACTATTGGCTTTGTCCATCCTGGGACAAGTCTAGGAATATTCTTAATCAAAATAGGTTCTCTAAACACTGTTCCATTAAGGATGTTTCTAATAGTACCATTTGGAGACTTCCACATATACTTGAGGTTGAATTCCTTCACTCTTGCCTCGTCTGGAGTACTTAGAGAATTAATATTAAATTCATACATTGTAGCGCATTTGATGCCTACTTTGCACTCTTGAATTGCCTTTGCGCATTCAATAGTAACCTTGTCATCAGTCTTGTCTCTATTCTCCATTCCCAAATCGTAATATTTGATTGGAATATCCAAAAAGGGAGTAATGAGATATTCTTTAATCCAAGCCCAAATAACCTTTCATATATATTTAAATTACTCTAGTCATTTCGTCTCCATCCATCTCTACTACTGGGTTTTCAACCTTGATTTTTGCGTCCATTACTAATAATTTTAATATTATGATGCGAAAATTGATGAGACTTTATGAATGACGATTATAAAATTGTTTAATAAGATATTTTCGATTAATTATATATAAATGAATTATATATTAAATTTCAATTACATTCTAATCAAATAGATTACCTTAATCTTAAAACCCTTCATTTCAATACTATTAAGACCATGTATATTCTCTAATTGAATTTTTCAAAATTTTCAATAAATGGTATACATTTTCATATAGAATAAATTTATTTCTATCTAGAAATATTGATACCATTTTAAAAATAAATTAAATTCAATAAAACATATTAGATTAACAATAAAGTAGTATAATTGCCTAATGTAATAGAATAAATAAATACGTTTCAGGAAATTAATACTTACTCATCAATTAATAGTCTAAGAGGAGAAATACTGTGTTTATATATCTTAGTATTACTATTTAGTATTTATTTCATAATTTTAACGAATTATAAAATTAAGTTAATGTTAAATTCAAAATTTACTGTGAAAAGAGAACCATTAAAGGAAAGGTTTCTTTAAATAACAAACAAATTAAATAATCTTGATATTAAACAGGGGACAAGTAAAGCTCATCGAATTGATAAACTAAATGAGAGAAGCTACAAAATAGATGAAAGAATCAGAGCAATCAAAGAAAATTACAATAAATAAGTTTTATAGTTAAAAGAACAAGTCTAAGAGCTCTCTGATTAAATAGATTAGGAAAGACAAGAATTCAAATAATAGCATAATTAGTATTCTCAAAAATTATCTAATTTGGAAAAGTTCTCATAAAAACAATTATAAGTTGAATAAAGTGAAAGGGTAGATGGAATTAATTAATTGTAATCCTACATAAATGAAAAGGTAAGTTATTTTAGAATATTTAGATTACATTCCTTAAATCAGATTTAACAATTGAATCAAAACTAAGAGAAGAATAAATTGATGAACTCTAAAGAGAATTGGAAAATCAATTACCTAAGATAAATTAATAAATCAAAAGTGAAACAGAAGATAGAGAATTATTTGATAAGCAAATTTTAAAAAAAAGCAGTGTTGAAATGAATAAATTGTCAAATTAGTTAAATGATATTTCAAGATAGACCTTAGAACAAGAAAATGAAATAATTGGAATGTTACAAGATTTAATTATAAGAACTAAAGGGGATTTAAAATAATTGTCTGAAGAAAGACAGGAAAAAGAAGAAGAAATAGTTAATTTAATTGAAAAAACTTGTGATAGAATGGTTTAAGCATCGTTAATTTGATTATTAAATTTAATTTAAGAATTTTAGTAAATACTATCTGTCAATTTTTATTATTAACAACTTGATTTTAAATATTAATTCTTACTCACTTTGAAAAGTTATTAATTATATTAGAACTTAAAGTAATATGTATAAATAATGTAAGACAAAATATTTTAAACTTTTAATATTCAAATAGACCGGACCTAATTAATTATTATTATTTAATTGATAATTTTTTTTTTATATAATTTAATATTAGATATTTAGAATAATTAGTTTTCAGTAAGAAGAGAGATACTATGAGAAATTTTGATAAATTATTATATTAGATTTGAAGAAAGGTTCAAGAATAATTTAATAATAAATTTTTTCAAAATGGAAATTAATTTTCTTCAAGTAAATGAAATAAATTATCATCTTCATTATAGCCAATTTTAACTATTAAATCATGAAAGACCTTTTTCAAAACTTAAATTTAATATTAATCAACTGCAATTTCTGAGTTATGCCCATGCTTAACCAAATGAAGAATAATATACAATGCATACAATCCACTATAATCATAATTTAAACTCTAACCAAAACTATTAGTATCGTTCACAACTCCAAATAAATAACTAAACCTACCCAATTCTTCTCTGGGTTTCTTCAATTTGATTTCAAATTCATATTACAGAAATGAAATCACATTCTTCATATATGGATTCTTTTCTGGATTTATATATTGCGGATCCTTAATTCTTAAAGACAGTGATGATAGTAAATAACAATAGCATGTCTTTCGTTTTAGATTGACAAAAACTATTGAATATTCAGTAGGATATTCAACAATAGGGACAACTAACCAATCGAAAATATCAAAAATAGTTTCATCTTACCCTGTATATTCAAATGTAAATTAATTAGCCTCGAAATAATTAATTCTAAAAGTGGAATGGATTAAATTGAAACATAATGTTTAATAAAATTAAGTTGGAAACAATTTAACATTAGTGCTATAATGATGAAATACATTATTGTTTTTTCTTTGATGAAAGGACTTTTCTTCGAAAAATTTGAGTAAAAAATTAAAGATCAAATTGTTTACTTTACCATCTTTATAAAATTGTTACATCATTGGTACCTCTAATTTCATTCCATATCTTTTGGCAGTTATATTGCTTTTTTGAAAGAATTCTGAAGTTTGTCTTCTTATGGTTGGCAAATTGATTGATTGGTTTTTTAAAGTGCTTTCTTCTTTTAATTTTGGAAATTCATAATCTACATTTGGAGTACTTACATCCATTTATTCCATTTATTTCTTCACGTAATCTTATCTTCTTAAAAGCGTATTTTAAAGAGATTCTTCATTTTCTTCTCCTTAAATCATCTCATTAATCATTCTTAGAATTGATTGATCATCATGTAATATTGTGCTATAATTTTATAAGTTAGAGTTATAAACAGCGCTTTAATTAATAGTGCTCTTATTTTATACAGTATCTAATACTTCATCAATTGTCATCTTTTTGCGTTATTCTAAATATTGCTTTATTTTCCCATTAATTCTAAATACTTCTTGTAACTTTTAAATTTCTAAATCTTTATCGACATCATCATTAATTAATTCATGATAATACTCAGTCAGTTCTTCTTAGATCTTGGCTAATCTATCCTAATTGTCCATATATTACTATGGATTATCTATTGATTTTTTCTTTTTATTAAATAAGTCTGAAAATTCATCTTCATCATATTCTTCACTTCTCTATGTTTCAATAATTGGCTCTTATTTAAGAAGAGCAGAACTATTTTTTGTTGTACCTACTTTAGTTCCAGATTATAAGACTGTTTTTTTTCCAGTGAAAGTCCTGGAGGCTGGTTTTGCCAATTAAATTGAAGTCTCACTTGTTTAGGATTTAGGTGACTAATCTGATTAAGGTTTGCTTTTACTAAATAAAGATGACTTTTTTGAAATTGGTTCTTATTATTCAGACTTTTAATCAGAAGCAACAGATTTCTATGGAGAATTCATAGGTGATTATTAAGAAGCTATTTATGACCTATTTCGAAATGAACTGACAAATGTCTTTTTTTATTAAGGAGTTTATTCCTCTATGTTTTTATTAGATTTCTATTGCGGTGAATCGTTATTAGTACTAGTGTTATTTCTAAATCGACCAAATCTATTACCACCAGCTTAAGATGGCGTATTTTAAACCTCACTTTATTGGGGTTGTGCTTGTGGGGTTTAGGCTATTTGTGGAATAGTTATCTTCTTTTTTGAGGCTATTTATATTGATTTTTAACTTGAAACAACAGTTTATTACATCTTAATTAAAGCCCAAACAAGCTTTGATCTCAGTTACCTTTTCTCTGAAAAACCAAATTTTATTTTATCTGGTAGAATCCCTTAAGTATATTACCAAAGCCAATTAATAACATACTCAGTTCCATCTGAACTATCTGTATAACTTTAAAATATATAATTTGGTGCTGGATTACTGTACGTTACTAAAGATGATATCAATTTATCAAAGGAATTTTTCAATTCATCCTTAGTGACATTTTTATTTTGAAGATCTATGATATCCAAAGTCTTTTAAATCATGTGATAAATGGCAAACACCCATCTCGTATTTTTGATATACTACAAAATGATCAATCTATGATTTTCAGCACCTTATCTTCTCCTTGGTTTAAAAATTACTTCGAATTCTTCGCGGATTTCATCTCCATTTGCTACTACAAAAAAAGGGATTAGAGGTGTTTTACTCAATAAGTCAAAATAATTTAGATATGATAACCAAAAAGCAATCATGTGAGGCTTTGATTTTCCAGATTTTTACAATAATTCAAAATCAGCCTATTATACTTCAATTCCTGTCCAATATCCAGTAAGAAATGGCTCTAGATTAGTATTCTAATATTATTTAATTTCATTTTCATTCCATTAAGCTAATGCTGGTAATGGAGGATAATCAACATGCTATGATTTTTCACCTCTAAAAAATAACCATAGCAATAGACTTTTCAATTTTACCTTATCATTCGGCTACAATTTTACAAATGACTGCCCTTTAACTATTGTTTAATACAGATAATTTATGATATACATCCCTCCATCAGTTGTTTTATCTTCCTAATATACATAATTCACTGTCTTAAATGACACCTTAGCCAACCCTGTTTTTTTTAATAACTGCTCATATGTTTTTTTTAATTCATCCTTCGTCTTATTTTTCTAGAGGTCCACGATATCTAAAATAGTTGTTTTTAAATTATAAATTCCAGTCACCCATCTGTCATTCCAATAGAATATAAGAATGTAGTTAATAGGATCTCCCTTTTACTGATTTTTTCTTAATAAAGGATTCAATTATTCTACAAGATCTAACATTTGTCTTTAATAGGCTAAGTAATACTAATGGACTGTTTTAGAACGCTTTTAGAGATAATTGATAAAGTAGATCATGCTTTTAAAATTCATTTTTCCATCATTGTTCAATTTCAACACATCATCATAAGTAATGTGCACGCTCAACACTAAATCATCGATAAACATAATTTCGTCTGGTGCTGTAGTCAATTATTAGGCTGATTCTGAAAATTTTTCATATAAATCATTGAATTCCTCATCTTCAAATTCGCTTAAAGAAATATTCATTTAAAATTATAAAAATCATAATGGAATTGGCACTCTTATCCAAAATTCACATAATATAATGTAAAGATCTCTAAAAATGATACCAAAGCAAGTCTTAGGAGTTTAGAATATATAAGATGATTATCAAGTTCTAAACTCAAATGCCTATTAAAATAACACCAAAAATATATATAGATCAGTCTTAAGTACTTTATTCATTCTAATTCATAATGAGCTGAGTAAATATTCATCATTGTGATAAATAAGAGAAATTTTCAATTTTTACTATTACAATTATATTTTAAATAATTATGGGTTTTGAGGACAATCTAAAAATTCAAAGCTTGTTTAAATTTCTCATAACTCTGTTTATTGCCCGGTAAGATAAGCATATTTTATTAAGTTATGTTTTGATGATTTGGTTCTTTTTGGCAATTTGAAACACTAAATTTTATTGATGGTCAATAAGCGCATTAATATAATATCGTTATGAATTTTTATGTGATATTATAAATGATAAATTAGAGTAATGGAAAAATTATGATTGTAAGAATAATTACATATTATATCACTGGAATTAATTAGTTTATTAATATTTATGGGCTTGCTTAATAATTGCATGTATAAATGTGAGTATTTTTAGATTTTGTTTATTTAATAAAAATATTTTAATGATATCTGAGTTTGATTTTAACTATTATCCACTCCAATTATACGATTTACAGATGCCATTGACATCATAATTGCTATACGAAAATTTCAATGAAAATGACGTTTCTGCAAGAAAGTTAAGAGTTAGCTCTCAATGTTTAATTTTAAAAAAGTATGAGATTTTGTTATAAACTTCTAGAAAAATAAGACGTAAGCAAAAAAGACCTTCACTCTTAAAAATTGATGAAACTGCTAGAAATGTGAAAATCTACAATTTGGGTCCTAGCCAAACCAATTTAGAATGTGCAAATGATGAGTAAAAATAAATTAACGACTGAGAACCATTACTAAAACTAGAACATCCTTGATCTTGATTAATTTATATATTATGTTATACTTCATAGATTGAGATCATTTGTATAAGATTTGATAATAAAATATTACCAAAATGAACTTAATATATAAATATTATTACACAAAAATGAATTAATAAAACATTATCGAATTCTTTCCACACTTACAAGAACACTTTTAATCCATCCTTTTCAATTTATACAGAAATGAAACTTTACAAAAGTATCATAGCATCGTTCAACAAATAAAAACTAAGTTTCCATTACCAGAATTAATGCCTTAATTTATCTATCCAAATGCTGAATAACTCTCGGAGTTCTTTCTTCAAAACTATTAACCAATCATTTTGGATTTAGCTTCTCTCTATTAGAAACCGAATGTGAAAATAAAGTTATTTAAGAATGCAGTGTATTTTGGAGAAATATATCAAGAAATGAGATAAGGACAAGGTGTTCTTATCAAAGAGAACAATCAAATTTATGAAGGGTAATTTGCAAATGATAAAAAAGATGGAATTGGCTTTGAAATATTAAAAGGAGATACATTTTATCATGGGCATTATGTTTAGGGATTTCCTCATGGAGAAGGTGTTTATAAATCAGTATCTCATTCATATATTGGTTAATGGCAACATGGAAAGAAAGTAACTATTATCAATTTATAATAAGAGTGGAATTGGGTGGTGTGTTGGAAATAAGAATGATTATTTTTTAGGGAGTTGGGAGAATGGAAAGTTTTATGGATTTGGTTTACACATTCATGATTCAATGTAAGAAATATATCAAATTCAATAGTTATTTTGGTGAAGTCATCAATGATTTAAAATATGGTTATGGAGAAGAATACTTTCAGGAAGGTGACATCTACAAGGGATAGTATAAGAATGGATTACCAAATGGTAAGGGTAAATACCTTTGGAAGAATGGAAATTCATATTCTGGAGAATTTCAAAATGGTTTGAGATGGGGAGAAGGATTTTGGGAGTAAAAATCTGAAAAAGGCATTTAATTCTATAAAGGCCAATATGTAAATGACAAGAAAAATGGTCACGGCCATTTTCATTATTCTAATGGTACCGAGTATATTGGTGAATTTAATGATGATCAAAGACATGGATTTGGAGAAATCATTTGGCCAGAAAAGGCTAATTATAAAGGGTATTGGAAACAAGGTTTAATGGAAGGAGAAGGGATTTATGCTTATGAAAACAATAAATTACAAGGCATTTGGAAATAAAATTAATTAATTTCTTAAGAGAAAGTTCGAGTCTCTCTAAATCAATTTCCTTTGTTAAATTAATTGAAAGACATTGTAGAAGATGAAGAAATACAATCCCAAATTGCTGAGGAACCTGATCATGAAAAAATTGGTGATATTTTCAAAAAGATCACTCTTTAAAGCAAGACTAGTTTATGCATTTCTGACACCTCAAAATTACCTTAACTTGCATCAATTTAAAAATAATAAGATTTAATTATTTGTGGACAGCCCAGTTCTTACCCAACATAAAGAACTAACTAAACTTCTTCGATTGGTATTTAGACTGAAAGTAATTCAACAAAAAAAAAATTACTTACTGAGTTGCCTTATATATCTACAAAGAGAAAGCATGCTTTATCAAGCTATAGAATTGATAGTAAAACTAAGATTACTAAAAAGAATTTGAGTGAATCAGTTACAAATACTAATTCCCCTAATACAAGAGAAAGCGAATTTAAAAATAATATTAATCATTAATCATAAGAAAAGAAATCACGTAAAGTCAAATAAAGGTTATCTTTACTAACAAAAGTTGAAGAAAAAGTATTAAAAATAAGACTTGAGAAATAAAAGTTGAGTCCCTATAAGTTTGAAAAATTATGGAGTAAAAAAGTACATCAATCCCTTATTATATTAGGTTGTTAATTAAGCTAGATCTTTGATATATCCACCTGTATGGGTTCCTCCTTCTTTACATCCATAAATCTGTAGAAAGATTTGAAACAAGAATTGATTGTTTTTTGTAAATAATTTTCCTAATATAATTTAAAACAATAATAATTAATTCATTAATTTGGATCATTAGTGTTGAGTTGACGATGATCTGAATTATTAATCTAATTATAATCTCATATTATTTACTGTTGCTATGCAATAGTTGATTATTATATTATTGCATTTAAATATTGTCACCATTCCCATTATAAATTGGAATGGATGCATGATCTTTAAGTAATAAACTTTCATTATGATGATTTTTTGGCCACAATATTCCATCACCTACTGGTCGTCCTCCTTCCATTTATATTGGCAGGAACCATGACAATTTACTCATACCAAATACTTGTACCCAATTATAATATGGCTTTAAATCATATTAATTAAAATCATCATTTTGCTATCCTGTCTCTTCATTTCTTTTCTTTTCTAAGTTTTCTATTGTGGTTCTATTACTTAATACCAATTCTAAATGGAATTTAAAAAACATAGTTATTAAACATGATGCTAAACAACTAATTCCAAAGGCGCATAATAATAAAAGCCCATCAATAAAATGAAGATCTCCTTCTGAATTTAAGAAAAGCATTATATTTTCAAATTCCACATATATGCCATACCCCAAACCAATTGCAGCACAATATGAATCAAGGATAACATAAAATAACATTTGCATAAAAAACTTTCTGTTTTAAAATCCGACACAATTATTTATCCAAGGACAATGGTGATCCATATTTAACACACATCGATTGCATGCTGAACAATGCTAATTATTTTTTATCAAACTAAAATACATGGCATCTTTCAGGTTTGAAAATATGACAAATTAAACAAAATTTTCTTTTTTTTTATTCAGGGTCATTCAAGAAATATCCCCAATTTTAGGGAACTCTGCCTGGGTCTGTAAACATAGTTTTAAATAAGCTCCATCCCAATAAAGCTGTTAGTATTGTAAATAGAAGCAAATAAGGAATTCTATAATTCGAACCTAATTTGAAAAATTAAATTGTTACTTACTTCCAATCAAATCTATCCAAACTACTTTTACATTAACTATGTAGACGAACACTATTGAAAAACAAATGAAGTAAATGAAAAATTTATTAAGGTACTTCTTAATCATTCTTTGATATAAATAATAATATAAAATTCAAATTCTATAAATTTCTTATTAGAATTCCTTATATGTATTTTCTCCCTTCCTTTTGTTTTGAATTAAAAGATATCCCTAATTTCTTCCTCAAATTCTTTATATATAGTTTTTTATTATTGATACAATTTTATCTATTATTAATATTTTTTATAGATGAATTATAAAGTTGAATCGGCTGATGAATATTTAAGAAGAAATAGAATAATGGAATTATTTGAAGATCTTTGCACAAAAGCTAGCTATATTCAACCCGAGAATTTAGAAGAGTTCTTTGTTGAAGACTTGAGGATTAAATAAAAATAAGGGTATCAATAAAAGTATAACGATTGGGTAGATTCATCACTCCAATTTTTACAAAGGCTGAAATCTAAAATATTTTTGAATTATTTGATTTAAAACGTGACGGATATATCACATAAGAGAATTGCAGAAAGGCATTATTGACAATTGCATCATCCCAAAAATAATAAGAAATTATTGAAGCCACCCAAGTAAGAAATAAACATATTATTTATAGGTAATAGATGAAAAAGTAGATATCAATAGATTTTAAAGATTAGTTGAATAATTTTTAGGATGAATACTTGAATAAATATTTAATTATGATAATATAAATCGATAATTAAGGCACCTAGTTTAATAATAATATTAAATCTATAAGTTATCTCTCATGCTTTAAATAACCTGCAATTTATATATTAAAGTTAATGCAAATTTACACCAAAATGTTATCAATTATTTTAATTTTTCATAATTTTATAAATGAAATTTAGTTTAATTTTTAGAAGAAAAAATACTAAGAATAATAAAAGAAGAAAGATAGCAGTAATAACCTTGAAGAAATACCCAATTTAAATCTAATAGATATATAACTATTACTTTACTTTGAAATCATAAAATAAGAAAAACATACTATTGATGAATAGCATCATCAATTAAATTGTTAAAATTACCCTAAATATCGAAATTACCAAGAAATTAGTTAAGGCCCATGAGGCATAATAGTCAATTAAAATAATTTAAAGATCATTAAAAAATAATATCAAAGTTATCAAGGAACAAAAAGGATGATAATGCAAGTTATTATATTTATAGGATAAGTAAAACGATATCAAGAAAGTTGCTTTAAACATAATTCATCTTTATAAGCATTTGATTTGTAAAATCATTGAGCAGGATTGATAATTTTAATTAAGAAGTTTACTATATTCGATTAATAATTATCATTCGTAGTAGGTAGGCAACAATTGTAATAAAAATCTGATAAGAAGGAAATTTATTGATCTTTGGTTTCAGTGAATATTTAAAAGACAAAGTTTTCAATGACCAAAAATAATAATATAAAGCTTTTTCAATAATGAAAATTCACTTCCAAAAAAAAATATTAAAAAATATTTGATAAATAAGAATCAATATTTAGTTTTAGTTGTTATAAATCTAATTCTATTCATTTATTTATAAATCAAATATAAAATGCTATTAAAGATGTATACGATAACTCAAATTGAATTATTTTTACAGATTTTAGTAATATAAATTTAAAGTGATCCGTTCCAATTATTACAAATTTAACCAGCATTTTAAAAAAGATTCCTTTATTTTTCTAACTAAATTTTGTGTTCATTTTGTATTTTGATTATAAATTAAAACCAATAATTATTTATATAGTAAATGTAGTTTCTTAATCCAAAAAAGTAAAAATTTTAGTAAATACAGAAACAAGAGTTCAATTTTCAACTACTTGATGAAAATAGAGTGTTTATGACAGGAACATTTACTGCTTTCACTGATGAGGTGAAATAGCACATAAAAGTAATCCACTTCATTATCAGCATAGTAAAATAATGGAAGCTTTTAAAATTTGGATGGAGAGAAAGGTTGGATAATACCAATAGGAAATTATTAAAATTTGATAATGAATGTAAAATCAATGAATATTTTTAGCTAAAATCATTGTAGTCAGAAGTCATGATAAAGTAATTGCCGCAATTATTGTAAAAACTATAAAATCTCAATATGAAAGAAATAAAATATTTTGATAATGGTTAATTGGTTACATTAAAGTATGATAATCAGATACGTTATGAGTAAATTGATAAAACCTTAGAAGAAACTTTATATGAATATTAAAAAGATTGCATTAAATAAGGTTTAAAATTCAATGGTAGAATTTTGATTGCAGATGATATGGGCGTTGGTAAAACAGTATAATCTTTGGCTCTTGCAAGTATGTATAAATAGAATTGGCCTCTGTTAATTATGTGTCCCTCACCATTGAGATTGAATTGGTAGGATGAAATCATACATTGGTTAAAAATACATAAGACTGATATTCAATTAATAAATTGTGGTCGAGAGGGTATAAGAATGAATGCTAAAATAGTTGTGGTTTCATATGATATTTGCGCTAAGATTAAAGATGTAAAATTATCTAATAAACTTAGAATTTAATGAGTCGAAAGTTCTAAATTTGTATTGCAGATGAATGTCATTATTTAAAGAGCCCTTCATCAATAAGAAGTCAAGTATGCGTTCCAATTCTGAGATAATGTATGCAGACAATTCTATTGACTGGAACACCTGCATTATCAAAACCAAAAGATTTATTCAATCTATTGAATATTATCAGGCCTGATATCTTTGGTAATTTTAAAGAGTTTGGATATCGATATTGTGATCCAAAATTAAGTAGATTCACAAAAGGGATAGACTTTGATGGAGCATCAAATTTAAAGGAATTGTACTTCTTATTGAGAAATTATATTATGATACGAAGATAGAAGAAAGATGTCTTGAGTTAGTTACCTGAAAAGAGGAGAGTTAAAGTAAGAATTCCAGGAGAGGCAAGTCAAGTTAAATAAATAGGAGCTCTTTTGAATTAATTGGGGAATATTGATATTTAATAGCTTATTAATAAAGACACAATATTTCAGGAATAAAAAGATTAAAGTGAATAATTGCTTACAATAAATTCGATCTTATAGAAGTGCTATATGCTTACTGGTTAAGCAAAGATTAAGGCTATAAAAGATTATATTAACACATTGTTTGAAAATGAAATTAAATTTTTATTTTTTGCGCATCATTAAGATGTATTGGATGCTGTATAAGAGTACTGTGTTCAAAATGAAATTTTATATATGAGAATTGATGGTAATGTTGGACTTGAACAAAGACATTTGAATGTACAAATGTTTTAGAATAATGATGAAATTAGAATTGCAATTTTGAGTGTTACATCTGCTAATTATGGAATTACTTTGACAGCAGCCTCAACTATAGTGTTTGGTGAAATGCATTGGACTCCTGCTATCATGATGTAAGCAGAGGATAGGGCGCATAGAATTGGTTAGGTTTAATGTGTTGACTGCCATTATCTAATAGGAGATGGAACTTTGGATGATCATATTTTCAATAAGATTGAAAATAAAATGAATACTGTTTCAAATTTTATTGATGGGTAAAAGCAAAACTTAGGAGCTATAGAATTTTCAGCTGAGGAAGCTTTGGTAAAAGGAACATCAAAGCCGACCTTGATTTCTGATAAAGGTGAATCTATTTTGTAGGATGGAAATATATAGCCTTCAAACTAAGCCTTAACAGAAGATGATATACAGGAAATCTATCAACTATTAGAAACTAGATCAAAAGAAAAATAGGATTAACTAGATTTAGAGTAGGCTGAATCTTAACTAAAAATGAATATTAATAAAAAAAAATAAGTTGAAATTTCTAGTCAGGTTAAAAATTAATGTTCAACACTAAAATAATAATTATTGGATAAATATTTGAGTAGCAACAAAGCAAAGAAAGAAATTATAGAAGATAAGAAGGAATTTAATAAAATATAAAAGGTTATTGAAGAAAACAAATAATTAACTTATGGAAATCTTCCTTAAAAATTGAATTATTAATACTTGTAAAGTAGATTAAACGGAGATAGCAAATCAACTGAGTCAGGGTAAAAGAAACTTGTTCTACATTTCACGAAGTAACAACCAAGTCCCAACAGCGAAGAAGAAATAATTGATTAAAAAGTTAATTGATATATTAGCATATTTATTAATTTTGTTTTATAAATTAATTTGGTTACAAAATCAACAGTAGGATGTATCAACCTTTTATCAACAAAATAAGAGAATTTATTGCTGCAAAAGATCCAACGATTATTCCAATAATCATTAAACAACAATATGTTGTTCTTTATCTTACAGGTTAGTTATCAAAGAAATTCTTCTTGTAGATTATCAATGGGAAATAGAATTGTAGAGCACTTCCAGAAAATCCACCTACTAGAGATAAAAATACAGCAAATTGTGGAATAAACATCGCTATCAAACTTAGGAGTACCACTTAAACCATCCTTATTATTATTCGTTTTCTATTTGCTGATTCTTAACTCTTTTATATCTACCAATATTGATTATTATATTACATATGAATTTACTCTTTAGTTAGTTTCTAAAATTTAGAATGCAGGCAATAATTAAACTGGGAATGAGAGTAATAATCCAATTGCATAGCTTATTTAAACTACTGCCATGAAAGGATTATCTTACAAATTAAACAAGACAATTTAATTTATATCTGTGCCATAGCCAATACCACACACCAAAGAAAATATAATAAATAAGAACACTACAGCAATTGTAGTTAATTACAACAATCTTTAAAATTTCTCCTTCTTCTACATCGAAGATTGAATGTTTAGTAAAACTCCAACAGCTTCAAATGAGTATATTGAGACACCAATCATTGTTGATAATCCTGTAAAGTCTATTAAACTTTATTTTTCAGGATAACTCTCATTGATAATTGCTTATATAGCTGAAACCATTATCATTACTAGTGGAAATACTATTAGACCATTCGCAATTGCACTTACCTTTGTAAATACAGCCATATTAGATATTAGTGTCATTGGGAGTAAAATTAATAAGGCTATTAAAAGATAATATAATTAATGTTGAAATGATGATGCAGAATTACCGTAGAAAGCAATTTCAAAAAACTCCATAAAAAAAATAACATAACTTATGCAACATCCCCATTACATAGTTCCAACAATTAATTTACTAAATGATCTATACCTTGCACCCAATGTTATTTCAATAAATTTTGAATAATCCATTAATTGATTAGGTTGCCTATATTTATCGGCCATCATGATGAAATTCACTTACTAATAATTTATGAGCAAACTTAGAAGCACAAAAACTATAGTTGATAAAACATAACCTCCTTTAGCAAAACTGTAAGGAAGTGCGAGTATTCCAGAACCAACAAAGGTTTTAAAAAGGGTTAGGGTCGCCCCTTTGTAAGATGATTGCTTCTTTGGGGCCACTTTCTATTATTGAATTTAGTCTAGAGTTATTGGTTTATATTCTAGATTTATTTCAATTTGAGGAGCAGGCCCTAATTGTTTCTCATCCAAGATGTTATTAGATCCAAATTCATTGGATCCTATATTTTAAGATTAAATCCCTGCGTTATATTATTTTTCATCAAGCATAGTATTTATTTAAATAATTATTTAATAAAGAGATTGTTAGTACATTTTATCTTAATTCCAGATAATAAGTCATTAGATGGATATGAATATTTGATTAATATAGACCCATAAATTAATTTCACTAACAATCAGTTCTAACTGTTAAGATAGTGTAGATATTATTCATATCTTAATGGCGATTATCTTTCATTTATAGCTTATTTCTCTATTTTCCCATCTTTAATATATATAATCCTGTGAGCATAGCATTCAAGATCAGGATTATGAGTTACCATAACCATAGTGCAAGGTGTGGGATTAGATTCATCATATCCAAAATTATTGAGTTTCAATAAGATATCCATGACCTCGACTGTTGATTTTGAATCTAAATCTCCTGTAGGTTCATCCAATAATAAAATTTAAGGTGAATTAGCCAAAGATCTAGCTATAGCCACTCTCTATTATTCACCACCTGATAACTCTGATGGTAAATGATCCATTCTATCTTATAGTCCCACACTTTTCAGCAATTCTCTGACTCTTTTTTTAATTTCTTTCTCTGACTTAAATTCATATATTATTATGTTACTAATTTAGCCAAAATTCTCATGGGCAACTCTACGTTTTCATAAGCTGTCATTGTAGCGATTAGATTAAATGTCTAGAAGACAAATCCAATAGTTGTCAACCTAAGTTCGCTTAAATATGAGTCTTTTGATAACTTATTGACTTCCTTTCCTAATAATCCTATTATATTAATTATTAAGTAACTTATTGTTCCACTAGTAGGTGTGTCAATTGTTCCTACTTAATTTAAGAATGTTGTTTTTCCACCACCAGAGGGACCTCTAATAATGACAAATTCTCCCCTTTTTATAGGATAAAATTCATCATTTTGTTTTAAATTGATTTCCTTAAGAGCATATATCTTCTCATCCCTTCCAATAAGGTTAAACTCTGTAAGATTAAAGATTAGGATACCTTTTGATACATCTTCACATTCAATTACATTCTCATCCTATGGCCCAAATTCTTTTGAAGGCAAATTATAAATGTCTTTAACCTAACCCATCATTGCTTCTTTTTCTGGAGATCCTGTAAATATCATTAATGAAATATTAAGATGTAAATATTAATTTTTAATATTTACTTTATTTTCCATTCCATCAATTAAAACAGATCGCAGAAATCCATCATTCCATAGAAACTTAAATTCAGCTTCAAGAGAATTAGATGAATATTGAATGAATAATAATATTTTGTTCATTCATAAAAATTGAAACAAATAGAAATTTGATAAAAATCAAGTCCTCTCAAAAAATTGACTTAGTAATTAGCTAAAATCTAATATCTAAGGCTTAATTTAATAAAGTTAGTTGCTAAAATAATCAATACATCTTTGATTTCTTTTTAGACATTCACAGTACTTTTTTGAAGAACTAAAGATTTTAAATAAAAATAAATACTTTTGCTTTTAACATTTGCAACCTTAATATTCGATAATAGGACTTACAAATATATTTTATTACTTAATTGTGTTGTTTACTTATTGCACCATTCAGTGCATTCACACTTGAATGAGCATTCCTATCCATAATATATATATATTAGCAGCATTCACAATAATATTTTATACATTTAGTTCTCTTACACTTACATGTTACAGATTCATTTCTTAGGATCTCATACAGACAAAAAACGTTTAGAAACAAAATCTTTTTGTAATTTTGGAATCAAATGAAAAAATTTAATCCTGCTTTTTATTTCTCTGAATAATGATAGACTAGATTTTAAATAATTCCAATATGATGAATTGACGAATCGTTATTATTTTTGATTTACCTTTGTACTCCTTATTAATTGCTCTTTTTTTTTATCTAAAATGAGATTGTTCTTTCTTAATAACCAATTAATCATAATCAAATTCGACTATTTGTACTACTTTTTTGACTTTTTATTCCAATTTTATTCATTCTCTAATGATTAGAATACGAAAGAAGAATTCCGAATTCTTCTATCGTTGATGTATTCTCTGGTACTTGAGATTACACTTTTTTAGGAATTTTAACTAAATGAATTTGAAAATTTTATACATTCATATTCGTTTAGTTGCTTTACTTGAAAACTCACTCATTTTATAAACTTGAATTATCAAAATTAATACATACCTATTCTTCCAATATTAATTGTATTGAGAAACCAACCTCTACTCTTCCCACCAAATTTTCAGAATTTATCAGTAAAAATAGAATATTATTAGAAATAATAATTTACGTTTAGGCTGAATATTAAAAGGCGTTTTTTAATTAAATGTATTTAAAATAGAAGTCAACAATTATATCATAGAGGCAAAAAGTATAATGTTTCAATACTTACTAATTGAAAAATTGACGATATTTTGAGGTTACTTACTCATTCTTTTGTTCATTTCATTAATGATATTTGTAATATGCTATTGATAGGAATGCTAAACTTGTTTGGTACTTTTTTAACATTTTCCACAGATTAATTAGATTAGACTAAAAATACAAGAAATTTATCTATCAAATAAATATCATTTAATTTATTTAGTAGTATTTTGGTATGTTTGAGAAATTCAATCATAGACAAAAATCTAAAGGTATCATAAAATAAATACTGAAAAAATTAGATATTTTGTGTTACTGCCCTTTTGAATTATCAATATTTAATTTCTTATTATTTAAATCTATATTTGTATTTCAACATATAACTCCCTTTTGATTTAAATTGTTTTTGTAAGTCTGTTGATATTAGAGAGGGAACTTTTAATAATAATAAAACCATTATTATAGGTTTATTGGTTAGAAACAGAAAAGGATAGAGATTAACTAAAGTCTTATCAAATCTCTCCTAAATTAATTAAAAATTCTTTTAAGGGCAAATAAAATATGGTTGAAATTTCAATATCCATTTACTAAATTCATAAATTTCTTTTCCTATTGGAATGTCCATAGCAGGTCAATCATCGTCACTACCAAATACCAATTCAGTATCAAAAAAGAAAAGCACGTTAAATAACAAAATAGGTATGATCATTTAATTAAGAATTTTAGTTATCAAATTTTAACATCCCAAAATTGACACACTTATCTTAAAACTAAACTAATGTCGTAATATCAGGTGAAAAATTTACTGAATTAATACCAGTACTATGACCATCTAATTGAGCATTTTATTATTGTTGTAACATTCCATAAACAGATAGATTTATCCTCACTCAATAGTCTCCATAATTTCAAGGTGCAAAAGTAGCACCATCAGGAGTTATCCTAATTTAGAAGTTAATGAATTTTTGTTGTTGTGAAGAGAAAAAATAGGACTTTATCATGGTTCTAAAAGGAAAAGTATGCTTGCAAAATCAGAGTACCCAAAAATAGACAAGCATTGTTAATTGAGTGATAGAACCTTAAAAATATATTATGCTTTATTAATACGAATAGGTAAACAGATGTGATCAAAAAAATTATCATTAAAACTAGCCTTATAGAATAAATGAAAACAACAATTAGAATAAAATATACTTTAACATCTATATCTTATTCATTAAATTATGGTATGAAAATCGGAATTTATGAAAATATTTTTGGGGTTGAAGTCTTGTGAATACCTTATTTCATAGAATTAATTAAAATTTGTAAATGTTTCTTCCAATCTGTTCAGTCTGGATAAAGTAGCAGCTAATAAATTATTTGTATTTAGTTTAACTTTTGCACTAAGAATAGGAATGATTATCTGGGATTATCTAAGTTGCTATATCACAATTTTTCTTGGCTTCTTCTAATCTATTCCTTATATTTAAAGTTAAAGCTAAGAAATTAAATATATCTAATACCTATATTGTTGTAATAGAGAGAATTTTCTGGATTTATCCGAATTGCCAAATAATAATTTTCCAAAGCCTCATCTAATCTATTCAATTTAGTTAAAGTATTTGCTTAGATATTATATATAACTATGCCTTTATTGTTGTAATAGTCAGAATGTTCTGGGTTTTTCTAAATCGCAGAATCATAAAATTCCAAAGCCTCTTGCAATCTATTCATTTTATCTAAAACTATTGCTAAGTTATTATGCATCGTAAATTACACCTTTGTGGTAGTAATAATCAGAATTTTCAGGGTTTTTCTATATTGCAGAATCCAAGTTTTCCAAAGCTTCATCTAATCTATTCATTTTAGTTAAAGTATTTGCTAAGATCTTTATATAATTATGCCTATATTGTTGTAATAGTCAGAATTTTCTGGGTTTTTCTCAATTGCCAAATGATAATTTATTATTGCCTCTTTTAATCTATTCATATTATTTAAAGTGATTGCTAAGATATTACTAATAATAAACCTTTGTTGTTGTAATAATCAGAACTATTTGGGTTTTTCTTAATTGCTAATTCATAATTTTGCAAGGCTTCTTCTAATCTGTTCATCATCTCTAAAGCAATTGCTAAGATATTTTAAATATTTAATTATACCTTTGTTGTTGTAATAGAGAGAATTTTCTGGGTTTTTCTAAATTGCTAAATGATAATTTTCCAAAGCCTCATCTAATCTATTCAATTTAGTTAAAGTATTTGCTTATATATTATATATAACTATGCCTTTATTGTTGTAATAGTCAGAATGTTCTGGGTTTTTCTAAATCGCAGAATCATAAAATTCCAAAGCCTCTTGCAATCTATTCATTTTATCTAAAACTATTGCTAAGTTATTATGCATCATAAATTACACCTTTGTGGTAGTAATAATCAGAATTTCCAGGGTTTTTCTAAATTGCCAAATAATAATTTTCCAAAGCTTCATCTAATCTATTCATTTTAGATAAAGTATTTGCTAGGATATTATATATAATTATGCCTTTATTGCTGTAATAGTCAGAATTTTCTGGGTTTTTTGAAATTGATGAATCATAAAATTCCAAAGCTTCTTCTAATCTATTCTTTTTATATAAAATGCAAGCTAAAAATTAGATAATAAATTCTACCTTTGCGATTGTGATAATCTGGATTTTCTGGGTTGTTTTGAATTGCTAAATCATAATTTTCCAAAGCTTCATCTAATCTGTTCATTTTATCTAAAGTAGAAGCTAATAATTTAGATTAATGTATTTATACCTTTGTTTATATAATACAATGCTTCTTTTGGGTTTTTCTCAATTGCTGAATCATAATTTATTATAGCTTATTCAAACCTTTTCATTCTATCTAAAACAATTCCTAATTATTATGATAGTAAATATTACCCTTATTGTTATAAAAGTCAGAATTATTTGATTTAATCAAAATTGCTAAATCATAATTTTCCAAAGCCTCTTCCAATCTGTTCATACAAAGTAAACAATAGGCTAAGAATGAATTGATCGTAAATATACACCTTTATTGTTGAAAGAGTCTGAATTTTCTGGGTTTTTTGAAATTGCTGAATCAAAATTTTCTAAAGCCTCTTCTAATCTATTCATTTTATTTAAAACAATTGCTAAATAGTTGTGCATAAGAAATTAAACCTTTTTAGTTGTAACTTTCAGAAAATTCTGGATCTATCTAAATAGCAAAATCTAAATTCTCTAAAGCCTCTAATAATCTATTCTTTTCTTTAAAAGAGTCCTATCTAAATAAGCAAAATAGAGAATAAGCTCAGAAATTAGATATATTTAATATTACCTTTGTTAATATAAAACATCGAATTATTTGGGTTTTTCTAAATTGCTGTATTATAATTTGCCAAGGCTTCTTCCATTCTATTCATTTAATGTAAAGTGTTAGCTAAGGTAATTATGAATAAATTACACCTTTGCTGAAGTAATAGTCAGAATTTTCTGGGTCTATCTTAATTGCTTAATCAAGATTTTCCAGAGCTTCTTCAAACCTATTCATTTTAGTTAAGGTCTTTGCTAAGATATCATACATATTGAATTATACCTTTGTTGTTGTAATAGTCAGAAATGTCTGGGTTTTTCTAAATTGCTAAATCCCAATTTTCTAATGCTTCTTTTAATCTGTTTGCTATTTCTAAAGCACATGCTAAGAATTAGATATAATTATTACACCTTTGTTCGAGTAATAGATTGAATTTTCTGGGTTTTTTGAAATTGCTGAATCAAAATTTTCCAAAGCCTCTTCTAATCTATTCATTTTATATAACGTACAAGCTAAGTAATATTAAATATTTACCTTTGCAGTCGTAATACTAAGAATTTCCTGAACTTTTCTAAATTGCGAGATTATAGTTTTACAAAGCTTCTTCAAATCTATTCAATTTAATTAAAACATTAGCTAAGGAAATTGAATTTTTACCTTTATGGAAGTAATACGTAGGATTTTCTGGTTAGTTTTAAATTGCTGAATCATAATTTTATAAAGCTTGCTCTGACTTATTTATTTTATTTAAAATATAAGCTAAGAAATTAGACAGATGTCACCTTTGTTGTTGTAGTATATAGAATTTTCTGGGTTTTACGTAATTGCTAGATCATAATTTTCCAATGCTTCTTCAAATCTGTTCATTATTTCTAAAGTATTTGCTAGGTATTATACTTGTTTAATTATACCTTTGTTGTTGTAATAGTCAGAATTTTCTGGGTTTTTCTAAATTGCAGAATCATAAAGTTTCAAAGCTTCTTCAAATCTATTCATTTTATCTAAAATGATGGCTAAGTAATTATCTATAATTAATTATACCTTTATTGTAGTAATAATAAGAATTTTCAGGCCTTTTCTATATTGCTGAATCATAAGTTTCCAAAACTTCTTCTAATCTATCCATTTTCTCTAAAATATAAGCTAAAAAATTAGGCAATTAACAATACCTTTGCAATTGTATTAGTCAGAATCTTCTGGGTTTTTTTCAATTGCTAAATTCGAATATTGCAAAGCTTCTTCTAATCTGTTCACTTTAGCTAAAGTAAGAGCTTTGAATTTAGATTTATGTAATTATACCTTTGTTCTGATAATACCTCCCATTTTATGGGTTTTTCAGAATAGCAAATTAGTAATTTTCTAAAGCTTCTTCTATTCTATTCATTGTATTTAATGTATTAGCTTAAAACAATACTTTTTTAATTATACCTTTATTGAAAAAATACATTGACTCATTTGGATTTATCTAAATTGCTAAATCAGAGTTGCTCAAAGCTTCTTCTAATCTATTCATTTTCTATAAAATAATAGCTAAAGGATTTAATATGTGAAAATATGCCTTTGTTTGTGTAATGGATAGAATTTTTTGGGTTTTTCTAAATTGCGAAATCAAAATTTATCAATGCATCCTCTAGTCTATTCATTTTATTTAAAGTAGAAGCTTAGAAATTAATGATATCTAAGAACCTTTGTTATTATAATAGTCAGAATCTTCGGGGTTTTTCTAGATAGCTGTATCATAATTTTCCAAAGCTTCTTGCAATCTATTCATTTTATCTAAAACAATTGCTAAGTTATTATGCATAAGAAATTACACCTTTTTTGTTGTAATAGTCAGAAACTTTTGGATTTTTCAAAATCGCTAAATCATAATTTTCTAATGCTTCTTCTAACATGTTTATTTTGATTAATGAAGTAGCTAAAAAATAATATATATAATAATACCCTTGTTGAAATACTAGTCAGAATCTTCTAAGTTTTTTTAAACTGCTGATATAAAGTTTGGGTTAGTTTATTCTAACTTATTTATATTTTTCTTTAAATGATAATTTATTATTGTTTATTTATTTTTTTATATTTTCATTTCATTTCTCTTTTCTCTTACCTCCTTGAAATTTAAATTTCTCTTATATTTATTCATCTTATAATTAAAAATGCTTACACTTAATGTAATTACTTTTGCCTTCTCTATAAAAATTAGGCTTGGAAAACTATTAAATGTTATTTATTCCAAACATTTAATACATAAAATTTAAGATTCTTTATCTTTAAATATTGTTATCTATCGGTTTTTGATATTCTTACAAAATTCCATATTTAATTTCAAAATATATTTTTGTAATTTGAATTACAAAAAATTAATACCCTTTAAACCTACAAATAATATAATACAAAAATCATTATAACTATTAGTTAAATCAACATTAAGAATTAATAACAACATTTGTAAAATTAATATTAAATGGTATTTTAGTACTTTCTCTAAAATTAAACTACCTTTAGATTTAAATTATGATCGTAAATCATATCCTATATAATCTAAAAACTCTCTTTTGAAGATTAAAGCTCCTTAAGCTTCTGACTTTCTGGAAGAATATTATATTAAATAGTTGTAGGGTTATCTTTATAACGATTATTTGAAGATAACATTTCTACCCTGTCAAAAATAAAAAAAAAACGGGATGTTAAAATAATTCTTCACCGAATGGATATAACGAAATTTATGTTAAAATAGAAAGCTATCCTTTTTGTTATAACAAGCTTTTCTATAGTAATATATTTATCTTTTATTTAGGAGAATTATATATTATAATCTAATTTTTTTAATAGGTTAAGAGTGGGTGGGTGAATGAGATGAAGTGATGCGAGCGATGCGAGCAATAGATATTAGGGGATAGCCAAACCCCCTATACAATATAAAGTAGAAGAGAAAAGTAGGAAGTAATGAGAAGATGGAGGAGATCAAACTTTTTAAGAGAAAATACTACATTTATGTAATATCAATAAATTTAGTTAATTCTAAAAATTTATTATCCAATTGGGATAATCTATAAGTTATAGAGAAGAATACCAATCCTGAGTAATTTCTTAATTTCATAACTAATTGATGGATATTATCGTTGTAGATAGTAATTAATTTTGTAAAAAAATATCGGCTTGAGTAAAATTACATAGTTCTTAACGGATGATTCATAACTGTTCATTATATATATATCTAATTTTATCAATTGAAAATAATAATTAACAGACGAAAGTATTACCAAGATTAGAGTAGAGTAATTCTAAAATCATTTAATCCCAATGTTTTAACTTTGTTATCATTTAAGATTATTAATAAGATTAATTTTATTTTTTTCATTCTTGAAATGTATCTTCTTCTTATCTTTGTTATTAATTGTATCATTATCTTTATTATAAACTGAAAATCTAAATTATACTAAAATATTAGTAATCATTATTAGGACTAAACCTGTTTACTCTGTTTATTAAAAATTTAATAGTGTATTGTACTTCTATAAATATTTATTTATAACCGTTGTTTCTAACATCTCAATATTAAGCAAATATTTAAATAGTAACAAAAAACACATATGATTCAAAAAAGTTATAATGAAATGATTAAAATTATAATTGTAATGTTTTTAATGAATATTCAAATTCACTTTTGCTTTAAGTCTTCTAAAAAGCAACTTCCTTTTGTTTTTAATAATGGTTTTAAATCTATCCCTTAATAATTCATGAATTGTCCTTATAAGATAAGAGTTCCTGATGCTTGGAATAAAGGATTCTAGCATATTCTAAGTATTGTATGATCAGGATTAACTAAATAATAATGAATAATAAATACCATTTGGCAATAAGGAGCTATTCTGAAGAGGTATGTTGAACTAGGAAAGCAAATCTTTATAGCTGCTATCTGATTGGAGTATTTCCTTTGATGTTTTTACATTCCAAAGACGAATAGAGTTATCATCACTACCAGAAGCTATTGTATTTCCATCAGATGAGAAATTGACTGAATAAACTGTTGATGAATGACCATCTAATTAGGCTGTTTATTATCCTGTCTTAACATCCCATAAACGGATAGACTTATC